GTTTTGTATTTGCTTTTTTTCTTTTGAGCATGATTGACTCCCTTGAAATGAGCCTCTGCATCTGAGTTATGTACTTGTCTTTTGCATCTGCGTTTTGGTTTTCTCGTTTCTGTCATTGTGGCTATTTTTTTGGCGCCTGGGTAGAGGTTGGAGCCAGATTGGTTAGTTGAGTCTTGCGGTGATATATATAAGCAAGATATATATAACTATATACATAAAGACCAGTACCTACGCCGCGATATGTCGTCCGGGGACTCTGCAAGATGTCGTAGGTTGGAGATCAGTAATCTTTCTATCGACTATCCCGCTGCCAGCTAATGACGGTATCAGGCAAGTACAGCGACTACGAATCCCATAAGCATGAGCGAATTCTCATTCCAATACAATAATACCAATTGATCATAAAACAGTCTATTCTCGAATCTGACCAATACATGGTCCAATCGGCAAAGTTGTCTAAGCAAGCAAGATGTCCAAGCAAGATAAGTAGGATGGTAAGGGCAGATAGATAAAGTGTAGGTAAGCGCAGCTCTACTACAATCACAACGGGAATGACAGGAAACTAGCTAGCATCGACTTCTGGCTCCCCCTTCCCTGAACGACGCCGGATGATAAGGGCCGAAATATATGGGATGATGGCTTTTTTGGTTTTCATTTGGATTGAATTTATAAACGTCCGATGTGCGATGTACAACGTGCTGCTTAAGCACCGGCCTCGGTGGCCTGTTTGCCCTGCTGAGCGGCAGCGGCGAGCTGAGCTTCGCGACCTCCCCAGCTGTGTACTTATTAGCGACGTTCATTTAAATCTAGTGGTGTGTGTGTGTCTGTGTATGGGTGCGCATCGCGACGCCTTCCCGAATGGGAATATCTAGAGATCTCATAGGGTGACGTACTTCCAGTAGTTCAGGTAACGGTAACCCTGGGTCATCTGAGCGCCGCAGTTGACCGCGTGGCAGGCGAAGAGGAGGTAGTTCTTGGGGGAGACGGCGAGGGCGTAGCGCATGAAGGTAGCGGAGTAGATGGTCAGGGCACCGGTCATCTGGCCAGAGATGCTGGGAGGAAATTAGCGATTCGATCGCACATATGGCAAAACACCCAACTAGTCGCAGCGACAGAGTTTGTTTTTGCCGGCGATTCTAAAAGAGACCGGGCTCGGTGGACGTACATTTCAGGATCCTTCTGGGTGTCCATCACCGCCGCGATGGGGATACCGAAGTTGGAGGCCGGTCCCCAGAAATCTGTTTGATGAATAGCTTCTTGTTAGCTTTCACCAATTCAGGTTGCATTCCGCCCTTCTGATTGCTCCCAATGGGTTTGATCGCTTTGTCCGGGGCGATGTTGACGCCGAATCAAATGGATCTAAGGCCGATCTCGGGTTGCACGTACGTGTTGAGCAGACATAATCCAGAACCTTGTTGGAGCGGATCTTCGCGTTGATTGCCTTGATCACCGCGGCCATCTTGACGAGCGGAAAATGAAGACGGGGGGAAGGGGAATAGGAAGGGAGGAGGGGAGGAGGAAGAGAGAGACGAGGAGGAAGAAGGTTTCGATTTGATGGATCCCCGACTGCGGAATCATCGCCGGGCGGAGTGCCGTCACGTGAGCCCCTGCTTCGGTGAGTCGCGCTCGGTCCAGAACTGGCTACTCCGTACGGTTGAATGTTTTTGTCTAGGAAAAAGAATAGACAGGGTAATATAGTCATAATAACAATAATAAAGAAATCCCAAATGATTATAATTCACAAATCACAGAAAGTAGAAATCACGTCTAGCATTACCGCTACCGGTCTAGGACCGCTCTCGACTTTTCTGGCTCTCCCTGCATCCGCACACGCCGCAACGCCTTTTGCCTGGTATGTTCGGGGTGCGATACTGATCCAGTCCGCATGGTTGATGAGTGATAAATGATTCCGTATTCTTTCTTCGGTGGTGGATTTCCCCAGCTACGCGTAGCCAGCATACATCTCTCATGATCGTCGGAGACCTGAAGCGATCACGCCGTTTCCATATCCCATCAAATCACCGTCCTCCGAAAGGGGGAGGGAACCCACGACCCTGTCCCGGAGGCTGGAATCCAGGAGGAGGTTGGAATCCGCCCGCTGCAGCAATCGAGCTGTTAGTCCACGGTCCACGGAGAGGGGAGAAGACGGGGGTCAAAACTTACGAGGGCCGCCCGGGGGCGCAAATCCGGGAGGAGGGCCAAAGCCAGCTAGATCACCGTCAGTATTCTTGGCCTCTCACGGCATTCGGTGTTCACTTACGAGGTCCACCAGGAGGAGCACCGCGGCCAGCGAAGCCCGGAGGAGCGCCGGGGAAGCCACCGGGGGGGAAACCCGGGAAACCGCCCGGCGGAGGGGGAGGACCGCCCACGCCAGCGGCAGGACCGCCCAGACCGACGGGAAGGCCCCGGCCAGCGGGTTTACTAATGCCAGGGCCAGCGGAGAGGGTCGCAGCAGCAGAAGCCGCACCGGGGACATTGGATCCCAAGCGGGACGAGGGGTCGGCGGGCGGGGGACCATCCACCGAGCACGAGACGACGTGAGTTCCACGCACAATCGTCAGACCAAGCGTTCGCTTCTCTTCGGCTTCCACGAGGGGTGTGTTGGAGGGGCCCGCGGTAGGCTTCGACTTGCGCTTGACGCGACGGAACTCTTCCGTGTCGGCGAGGACGAGGTTCATGTGCTGTCGGACGACCAGTCAGTACGCGCATCGTACTAGGATCAAGGGGAGTAATGTCGACGAGAAAGGATCTGCGAGAATCTTCCTCCCGCACGCGCCGCGAGTCCATACCTTATCAAAGGCAAGCATCTGGCCCGTCATCTGTCGGCCGTCGTTCAGGGTAACCCTCATCCGATAATTGATCTATACGGGTGGTCAGAAGGGGGGTGGTGAGAATGCGACAGTCACAGTCATTACTCACGAGGTTTTGCTACAAGAAAAAAAGAGATTGACTGTTAGCTTGATCGTTCTTCCTAGTGCTCCATCATGGACTTGTTGGTCTCTCCCAACACAACCAAATCAACTCGGAGACTCACCATCTTTCCCTGCTTGTTGGCCGCCATGGTGGCAGGATAAGGCGCACAGATGCGACCGGAATGCGACGCGTCGACAGGAAAACCTAGAAAGAAATGACGAAAGAGGGGAGGCGAGAAGCGGGGAAGGAGACGAACAACTGGGCAAAGACAAGTGGACTGGTGGCTCGTGAAGTTATCACCACCGGAGCTGGGCTGACTGAGCTTTCGCCGGCCGCTTAGGTCAGCAACACATGACTCAGCCCTGACTCAGCCAGGCCGCGGCTCTGGACGCCAAGACGCTAAGGGCTCTCGCTTCCCACCCGCACAATTCCTCTTTCCGTCCATCTCTTCCCACACTTTTTCGTCCCGTCGATTTTCAAGTTCACCGAGTCGACCAGTTCAACGCCAAAAGCAGTCGCCATGGTATGTTCTCCAGCATCATTATCACCACCACCACTGTCATTGCTCCTCGATTTTGAGCCAGCAGAAAACTCTCGCCGTGGCTGTCAGGACTTTCTAACAGATAATGTAGTCGGAAGGAAAGGACAAGAGCGCCAACCCCATGCGCGAGCTGCGCATCCAGAAGCTCGTGCTCAACATCAGTGTCGGCGAGTCTGGTGATAGACTGACCCGTGCTGCGAAGGTGCTTGAGCAGCTGAGCGGTCAGACTCCGGTCTACAGTAAGGCGCCTTGAAACATCCCACATCCGAATCGATCAGGCACAGATCACGAAGAGAGAATCAAAAATTCGGACATCAGAGAGAACAGGAGACTGACGGGACAACTTTTCTGCACGACTATAGGCAAGGCCCGTTACACCGTCCGTACCTTCGGTATCCGCCGTAACGAAAAGATCGCCGTCCACGTCACCGTCCGTGGCCCCAAGGCTGAGGAGATCCTCGAGCGTGGCCTGAAGGTCAAGGAGTACGAGCTCCGGAAGCGCAACTTCTCTGAGACCGGTAACTTCGGCTTCGGTATCAGCGAGCACATCGATCTGGGTATCAAGTACGACCCCGGCATCGGTATCTACGGCATGGACTTCTACTGCTGCATGTGAGTGATGGGAATTCTTCTTTTGATCGGTGTCGGCAGCGCGGTCGGAACCGATGTTTCCCTGGAGAAACGGAACTGACAGACCATGTAGGACCCGCCCCGGTGAGCGTGTTGCCAAGCGCCGCCGCTGCAAGGCCCGTGTCGGCTTCCAGCACCGTATCACCCAGACCGAGACCGTCAAGTGGTTCAAGAACCGCTTCGACGGCATTGTCCGGTAAATGTACCGTTCAAGTCTCGGGAGTCAACGGGGGGTAAAGGAAAAGGAAACGAACCTGGGTAGCGTTCTAATGACGATTCGATGGACAAAAAAATAAAATTGAAGATCGAAACCACCGACCGCAGGCGATCTCTCCCTGCTGGGACATGCTTTGCGTTATGATGTGCCAATGCCTTGTGATCCGTGGCATGAGGATATTAGGCGTGTTAGAGAGATCTACCATATCAAATCAGCAAATTTTTCTTGTTCCAACGGACGCATCCACTTTTCACACAATGCAGGCTTCACGAAGGGTGATGAATTCCGCTTAACCATTGGTGAAAAGTCAGTCCCTCTTACGGGGGGGACTCTTCAAGTTTGATGCGTTGCTGTTTCTGGCCTTGGGGCTTGTTTCTGTGTTCGCATGGACAAGCTGTGTGTTTGCATGGGAGGGTGTCTCTTCAACCTTGACCCCTCTCGCGTAGCTGGGGAATTGTTTCCGGGATCACTGGCCCAACCCAGTGGTACCGGACAGACCCTGTCTTTCATGTAGATTACCCGGGGTATCCGTGTGGTCTCGTAGTGGAATATGTCCTGGAGCATGTAGTCTGTTCCCCTTGGGAGACCGGATTAACACCCAATATGAGCCCTAATATCGTAAGTACCTCAGTGGTACCAACGCCCAGCTCTCCGTTTCCCGTTCCCGGCTCCTACGTGTTGGCTGTACACAAGCCACTACTGCGAAGATGTCGACTTATCGTTGCCGTCTCCCAGTTAAGTGTTCATTTCTATCATCCATGACACTACGACAACGTCCTCAAGTCGAACGATTACGCTCCATCAATGATGAAGTTGCATTGTTATTCATTAACATATGCACGTACCCAAATAATCCTTCCGCACCATCCTGCATCCAACTCCATCGATCAAGCATTGGAATGGCAACCACAGATGAAGGGACCAACATGCGTATCAAGACATATCAATCTCCCTTTCTCTCATATTGCATATCCAAAAACAAAAGCCACTGAATCAACAAGAGAAAGATGAAAACTAAGATAGAAACCCCTATTTACCGCGGGTATATTCATCCCACATTTTGGAGAAGTAGCCGCCCTTAGCACCCTGCTCGGCGTAGCTGGCCCGACGGGCAGTCGCGCTGGCATCGCCGGAATTGCGCTTCTGGTTGGTCAGACTCTCGAACAGCGTCGAGGGGCCATGACCGCTGGAGCGGCGTCTGTTGTCTTGAACTGTGGGAGGGTTGGCTTGGCTGTCGACAGGGTTGTTCGAGTTGTTGGAATTGCTAGACATTGTGGAGGAGGTGGAAGGCTGTATTGATAGGGTTAGATTGCATCCAGTGGGGTGAATTAAAAGAAAAAAGAAAAAAAGAAGATAGCGAAGACAGATGCAGTGCAGATGAATGATGGAACGCAAGACACTAGTGTCAGATCAGGACGTACCCAGCGGTCGATTGGGAAGGACTCGAGGAAAGAGGGTCGTCGATATGGGCCGGGGGGACCGCCCGTCACCCAGACATTGTGATGCTCATAACGGTCCCCGACAGTCCCGTGCCAGTGGCGAGGGGGGGAGGAGGAATCACCGGGATTGTTCATCTTCTTTTTTCCTTTTCCTGATTCTTGATAACGTTCTCTTTCTTTCTTTCTTTTGTTTCTCACTCCTTCAGGTTGATAGGTTGATAGAGGGTTGAGCAAGGAAGGAAAGTGGGAAGAGGGGAAGAATGACAGACAGCAGTGGGACAAAGATGCCCAGGCAAGAGGAGAAGGTGTTCACGACGTCATGAGTAGCAAGGATGTAATACTTACTAACTGTGTAGATCAGGAATATGAGTGGTGGATGGATAGCTTGGATGAAACGCTGGTTGGGGAGATGGATGACTGGATGGATGAAGAGACCGATGAGGGGATGGGTGCGTTATAAGGGAAAGGCAAGCATGGCTCTAGTCATCGAGTGACTCGACTGGACCTTCATCATCGATCATGCTAGGATCATAATCCCACTTCTAGGCTTTCTTCCATCCAAGGCATCCGGAGGGTTCGCCAATGAGAATGATGCGTTGCGTTGCTGATCCGGGGAATGCGGGCCATCGTCTGACGTCAGGTGATTGAGCTTTCACCCTTGATTATGGATCAGACCGATTGTCCATTTGCTGACCAGGAAGACAATACCGGGAGACATCTATTGTCAATATCAAGCTGTGGATTAAAGAGAAGATGAATCGATTGATGATCGATATGGGGATGTATGTCTCGTATGTTCTGTATGTTCTGTAGGCATTGTATGTTCGGTATGTTCTGTATGTCTTGTATGCATCGCCCACTCCATCAGAGACCAATATCCCGTGACTCTCATAGATGGGGATAACCTCACTTCCTCTGTCTTCGTCTTCTTCTCTTCTCCCTCGGTCTATCTCCGCTTCTCGCTCGGCTATCTGCTGTGTGACCATGCGGGGAAGAGAACCATAGATAACCCCCCCAACCCCTCATTCTGCATACCACCATGCCCTGAATCCTCTATTCTATTGACCACATCCATCTGCTTGCTTCTCAACCGACCAATCGAAGGAAATATACCCTTTCGTCATGGAAACCTTCCGACATCCGTATCACAAGGCTCTCGCCCACCGCGGTCATGTCGAGGGCGTGACCATCTCCGCCAATGACTCGCGCCAACCCCTGTGCCACTATTTCGGAGGTCTCCGTTACGCCCTGCCTCCAGTCAAGCGCTTTTGCCAGGCACGCAAGCTGCCGGCAACCTACTCGTACGGCTCCAAGGACCAGCCCGGCTTGTGTGGTGGTTTGGCTGGCGTGTGCCCCCAACCCAGTTTCCTGACCCTCTCGTCCGGCAACGAATGGACGGAGGACTGCTTCCAGTGTAACATCTGGGTCCCGCTGGGCGAGCCTCCGCAGGACGGTACGTCCGAGCCTCCGTAGAAACGGCTCGATTGGAAATAGATCCACCGTCCAAGATGCTAATGGCTGTACTCAGGGTGGCCGGTGCTCTTCTTCATTCGTCAGTGACTCACAACCGTTGATGAGACCCCAGTCGCTGGAATGTCCACTGAGCATACACTGAACATACAACGCAGATGGGGGCTTCCTCCAATTCGGCACGCCGAACACGTTCTCCGCGGCCGCTTTGCTAGGCGAGGCCGACTTCCAGGCCATCATCGTCATGCCCGCCTACCGGCTCGGAGTCTTCGGCTTCCTGTCCTCCTCCGAGATCCAACAGGACGTCGCCGACTCCGACCAGCCCGTGGGTAACCAGGGCTTTTGGGACCAGCGTCTAGCTCTGGAATGGACCCGTGACAACATCGCCCTCTTCGGAGGCAATCCTGCTCAGATCACTCTCTCCGGATACTCCGCCGGTAGGCCAGCCCCGAAAGCCCCCAATCCACCATCTCTAACCCTAACTTCCCTCCCTCCACGTACCATATAGGCGCATACTCCGCCTTTTACCAGCTCGCCTACGACATCCACCTACCCCCCGAAAACGCCATCATAAAGCGAGCCTGCATCTGGTCCAACAGCCCCGCAGTCCAACCCAAGAGCCCCACGACAGCCCAAACGCAATTCAACCAGCTCCTCTCAGCCCTCCGCATCCCTGCCTCCCTCCCCGCAGCCGAAAAGCTGTGCCAACTCCGCGCCCTACCCGCAGCAACCCTCCTCTCCGCAGCGACCAGCATCCCGCTCCACCAATTCCGCCCCACCACGGACAGCACCTTCATCCAGCCCACGCTCTTCCACTCCTTCGACACAGGCGCCTTCGCGCGCCGCCTCGCCGCCCGCAACATCCACATCATGCTCGGCGAATGCCGAGACGAACACAACCTCTACGCCACCTGGCTGCCCCCACCAGACAACACCCGTTCCTCGCTCCGCCACCGCCTCCTAGCCGACTACCCCCAACCCGTCGTCGACACCCTCCTACACCTCTACGCCCCCGACACCACGGACACCAAGACCACCTACCCCCCCTCAACATTCGGCCACATCTACGCCGACATCCAAGTCCACACGACCCAGCGCGGCCTCATCCAATCCCTCGCCGCCAACGGCGCAACCCTCCTCCTCCACCGCTACCGCATCGAGTACCGCCTCAACTGCGCCGCTAAGACCATCCCGCGCGAGTGGGGCGTCACCCACGCCACAGACATGTACCTTTGGTTCTGGGGGAACGGGGAGGTGCTCGATCCGGCGGAGAAGCGCGCTATCCGGGCTGCCTTGATCGATCCCTGGGCGAGGTTTGTGCGTGGTGACACCGATGACGATCTGGGATGGGGCACGAACGGACCCCGCGAGATGCGCACGCTGATGCCGGATGGGTCGGTCAAGATCTGTCGGGATGAGCTGTGGGATGAAGCTATGCGTGCGTGGGTGGCTTTGCGTGGGGTGCGTGAGTCGGAGGTGGATACGCCGTCGAAACTGTAGATTACTTTCGTCAACCCTTGGGTGTATCTAGTAGCAGTGTGGTGGTCTACGTCGTACGGGAGATCCACTGTCGTCAGAACAAGCAAGAAGAGAATCAGAGATCAGAGTAAACACAGATAATGTACTGTAATCCAATTGCGGTCCCCCCTCTATCTGAACCAGATTGGACGGCAGAGGCCATCGAGGCCCACTACTCGTCCACCCGCGATGCCAATCAGCCAGCGGGCACAGAACCCAACACAGTGGTTGACCACCTGTGCGAGGAACTGCTAATCGGGGACACGCCAAAAAAAAAAAAAAACAGAGACAAAGACTTGATAAATGATAAAACAGAAATGTACATCAAGGCCAAACACGCTCGAATCGAAACAGCAAGTCATCCCGCGTTGAACCGTTTTCTTCCTTTTTTTTTTTCCTCTTTTTTTTTTTTGCCTCTTTAAGCCTTGGTGATCTTGCAGACCAGGTCTTGGCCGTCGACAGAATCACCTTCCTTGACCTGCAGGTCGGAGACCTTGCCGCTGTGGGGGGCAGAGATGACCATTTCCTAGATATTGTTAGCAATGCATTCCAATTTACAGAGATAAGAGGGCAAGGAGGACGAACCATCTTCATGGCGCTGAGAACAGCGATAGGATCACCCTTCTTGACATCGTGGCCCTCGTGGACACGAATCTCAACGACGACACCGCTCATGGGGGCGCCGACCTGGCTGCTGTCGCCGACGTCGGCCTTGGGGCGGGCGACGTTCTCGACCGAGGCCTTCTGGTCGTCGACGCTGACCTGGCGGACCTCGCCGTTGACCTCGTAGAAGACCTCGCGCTGGCCGGTCTGCTCGGACAGCGGACCGATGGCCAGGAGCTTGAGGATCAGCACCTTGCCCTTCTCGAGCTCGACGTGGAACTCCTCGCCGATCTCGGGGCGGGCCAGGAAGTAGCGCGTGGGCAGGACGGACAGGTCGCCGAACTTCTGCACGAACTTGCGGTAGTCCTCAAAGACCTTGGGGTACATGGCGTAGCTGGCCACGTCGTACTCGGTGGCACCGCCGAACTTCTCGCGCAGCTGGGCCTTGATGGCGGCCAGGTCCAGGGGCTCGAGGTAGAGGCCGGGGCGCTTGTTGAGCTGGCGGCGGTCGCGCAGGGCCCGCGAGCGCAGGGGCTCGGGGAAGCCGCCAAAGGGCTGACCCATGAGCCCCTCGAGGAACTCGAGCACGGAGCCCGGGAAGTCGAGCTCGGCGGCGCGGGCGACGACGTCCTCGGCGGACAGCTTGTTGGAGACCATGAACTGGGCCAGGTCGCCGACGACCTTGGAGGTCGGGGTGACCTTGACGATGTCGCCGAGCAGGTCGTTGGCGGACTCGTAGGCCTTCTTGGTCTCGGCCCACTGCTGGCCGAGGCCGAGCTGGCTGGCCTGGAAAATCAGGTTGGTCAGCTGGCCACCGGGGATCTCGTGCTCGTAGACCTCGGGGTCGGGGCCGGTCAGGCCGGCCTCGAAGGGCGAGTAGAGCAGGCGCAGCTGGGCCCAGTAGGCGTCGAGGGCGCGGACCTGGGCGCGGTCGAGACCGGGGTCCTGCGGGGTGCCCTCAAGCGAGGCGAGCAGGGCGCCGATGCTGGGCTGGGAGGTCATGCCGGACAGGCTGTCGGTGCAGACGTCGACGGCGTCGGCGCCGGCCTGGGCGCAGGCGATCATGGAGGCGACACCGGTGCCGGCGGAGTCGTGGGTGTGGACGTGGATGGGCAGGTCCGGGTAGCGCTCGCGGATGGCGCCGACCAGCTGGCGGGCGGCCTGGGGCTTGAGCACGCCGGCCATGTCCTTGATGCCGAGGACGTGGGGCTGGAAGGCCATGATGCGGTCGACGAGGGCCAGGTAGTAGGCGAGGTTGTACTTCTTGGTCGGGTTCAGCATGTCGCCGCTGTAGCAGACGGTGGCCTCGACGACACCCTCGGCGGCGTGGACGGCCTTGATGCCGACCTCGAGCTGGTCGACGTCGTTGAGGGCGTCGAAGACCCGGAAGATGTCGACACCGCAGCGCTTGGCCTGCTTGCAGAAGTGGTAGATGGCGTTGTCGGGCAGGGAGGAGTAGGCGACGCCGTTGGCACCCCGCAGCAGCATCTGGAAGGGGATGTTGGGGACGGCCTTGCGCATCTTGCGCAGACGGTCCCAGGGGTCCTCGTACAGGAAGCGCATGGCGACGTCGAAGGTGGCGCCACCCCAGCACTCGAGGGAGTAGGCGTTGGCCAGGGCGTGGCTGGTCTCGTGGGCGATGTTGAGCAGGTCGATGGTGCGGACGCGGGTGGCCAGCAGCGACTGGTGGGCGTCACGCCAGGTGGTGTCCATGATCAGGCAGCCCTGGTTGGCGCGGACGGCCTTGGCGAAGCCGGCGGGGCCCTCGCGGTCGAGGACCTGCTTCCAGCCGCGGGGGCAGGGGGCCGAGACGTCCAGGGGCTTCCCGGACTGGGGCTCGAGCAGGGTGGGACGGACGATGTCGCCCTTGAGCTTGGGCTCGCCGATCTGGCCCTTGATGCTGCTGCCGTTGACGGCGACGTCGCCGAGGTAGGCGAGCAGCTTCTGGGCGCGGTTCTGGCTGCCGACGAGGGCGAAAAGCTCGGGGGTGTCGTCGATGAAGGTGGTCCAGCAGCTGCCGTCGACGAAGGTGGGGTGGCTCAGCAGGGAGGCGAGGAAGGGGATGTTGGTCTTGACGCCGCGGATGCGGAACTCGACGAGGGCGCGGACGACCTTGCGGCGGGCGATCTCGTAGGTGGAGCCGCGGCAGGTGCACTTGACGAGCATGGAGTCGTAGTGCGGGGTGATGATGGCGCCGGCGAAGCCGTTGCCGCCGTCGAGACGGACGCCGTTGCCGCCGGCGGAGCGGTAGACCTCGATCTTGCCGGTGTCGGGGGAGAAGCCCTTGGCAGGGTCCTCGGTGGTGATACGGCACTGGATGGCGAAGCCGCGGATGGAGATGCGGTCCTGGGTCAGGCCGAGCTGCTCCAGGGTGGCGCCGGCGGCGATCTGGATCTGAGCCGCGACGATGTCGATGCCGGTGATCTCCTCCGTGATGGTGTGCTCGACCTGGATCCGGGGGTTGATCTCGATGAAGTAGTGGCGGTTCTGCTGGTCGACGAGGAACTCGGCCGTACCGGCGTTGCGGTAGTTGACGGACTTGGCGAGCTTGACGGCATCGGCCAAGATGCGGTCCCGGACGTCGGCGGGCAGGTCCTTGGCGGGGGCGACCTCGACGACCTTCTGGTGACGGCGCTGGACGGAGCAGTCCCGCTCGAAGAGGTGGACGACGTTGCCGTAGTTGTCACCGAGCAGCTGGACCTCGATGTGCTTGGGTCGGTCGAGGAAGCGCTCGACGAAGACGGTGCCATTGCCGAAGGCGGAGCGGGCCTCGGAGGTGGCACGCTCGAAGGCGCCGCGCAGCTCCTCCTGGTCGCGGACGACACGCATGCCGCGGCCACCGCCACCGAAGGCGGCCTTGATGATGATGGGGAAGCCGTAGGTGTCGGTGAACTCCTTGACCTCCTCATAGCGCTCCACGGGGCCCGGGGTACCGGGGACGACGGGGACCTCGGTCCGGATGGCCAGCTGCCGAGCGGAGACCTTGTCTCCCAGGCTGTCAATGGTGTCCGGGGAGGGGCCGACGAAGACCATGCCGGACTCCTCGACCTTGCGGGCGAAGCCGGCATTCTCAGACAGGAAACCGTAGCCCGGGTGGATGAGGTGCACGCCGTGCTCGAGGGCGATCTTGACGATCTCGTCGCCGGCCAGGTAGGCGCCCACGGGGGTATACTGGCCGCGGTGGCCGATCATGTAGGCCTCATCGGCTTTTTGACGGTGCATGCCTAGACGGTCCTCATGGGAGTAGACCGCGACGGTCTGCAGGGACAGCTCGTGGGCCGTCCGGAAGATCCGGATGGGGATCTCGCCACGGTTGGCGACGAGGATCTTCTGGAATTGCATGATGGAGGAATTGGCCCGCAGGCGGTTGTGAACGGTATCGCGGAAGTGCTCATGATGATGCTCCTCGACGAATTGGGAGTCATCAACAGCCTCCTCTGGCTGACGGGGGGCAGCCATTTTTTCTTCTTTTGATCTTTTTGTTTCTCCTTGGGAGAGGGAAGAGGAGGGAGGAGGCGGGAGGAGGGAGGAGGCGGGAGGAGGCGGGAGGTGGGGGAGAGGAAGGGGAAGAGAGGGAGGGATTGAGGGAAAGAGAGAGAAGAGAGAGAAGAAGAGAGAAGAAGAGAGAGGAGAGAGAGGAGAGAGAGAAGAGAGAGAAGGAGAGAAGGAGAAGTGGAGACTGGTGGGAACCGAGGAAGAAGACGGATTGACGTGAAAAGACCGGGAGACGAGATGGACTGCGGGATAACCTTGGTTAATATAGGGCACGGCGGGGCAGAGGAGGGCGATGACGCATGGGGGACCTTTTTGGAGTGGAGATTTCTGTCACATTCTACGTACCTTGACAATCTGTCTCTATCTTTCAATCCGTCTATCTGAGTATCTCGACCGAAACAATGCGGGGGGGGGAGAATCAGGAAGAAAAGACCGGGTATCGGAACGGACAGGCGGGGAACGGGTGTAGTAGGATCGGAGGATGAAATGATTGGTGGAGGATGGAGGATGGAGGATGGAGGATAGAGGATAGGATGGATTGGATTGAGAAAAGAGAAGAAGGAAAGGATGAGACGGAGAAGAAGAGATGAAGTAGAAGAAGAAGAAGTGAGGTCAAAGAAGTGAAGTCAAATCAAGATCCGGATCAGGAAATCGAGGGGATCACGGGACGGGCGGTTCCTCAGGCCAGCCCTTCCTCACCGGTTCACCGGTTTCTCTCTCCATTCTAGTATCTTGTCGACTATCTACAGCTTCATTTCTACACCCTACGGTCTATTGCAGATCGGGTGATCCAGGTTTCTCGGCAAATCCACCACCATATCATCTGGTCAATCCTCAATACACTCCGTGAATAGGCGAGCTCTCAAAGATCGACATCCCCGCCTAGATTGCCCCGCCGGAGAACGCTTTCCGGTCCCCTTTCTTTCTATCATCTTCGCTCGCAACTCGGCGTCTCTGGCCGAACCTCGGCCATGGTGACTCAGTCACATTGACAGAAAAAAAAAGAAAAAAAAAAGAAAAAAAAAGCCAAGGTGGACCTATGATCAATTTCTCCATCTATCGACCGGTGGACCGCTGGTTCTGGCCAAGACGGAGAATCATTCCTTTCCTTCCATTGCTTCTTTTCTTGGTTCTTCTTTTTTTTTTTTGAGACCTTCCGGATGGAAACCCTTACCCGATCCATCGCCCGGTATCAACGACCTTCACCGGAGGACCGCTGGACCAAGACCCTAGAAGCGATCTCTCCGCCAGCAAGGTATCCGACCTCGTGCACGTTCAACCCCTCCCTGACCCACTTCCACCACCCCCACGGTCTGCTGCAGACCCGCTTGCTCTATTCTCTGTCGTCCGCCTGACCCCTATCACATAAGTCTATACTCTATAGTCTATAGTCTAATCTGGATGATCCATTACGCCCCAGTAAAGGTCAGAAATACGATGTCATTCATTACGGCAGTGCCTCCACCGCTGCGTCTTTTGGGATGAAAATTCGGATCGAATACAAAACAGAATAAACCACAAATAAGGAAATAAAAAAAAATGAAGGAGATCACGATATCGGTCGGGAGAGAAAATAGTGGAAAATGAAAAATGAAAAATGAAAAATGAAAGAAAATGGAGAATCCCCCGTCCACAGGATCACATCGCAGGTCGAACGGCGGCTATACATACACACATGAACCCCGGTGAGATAAAGCGAGATAGAAAGGTCGACAGAAGAAAGATTAGAACCCGCGGAATCCAGTCGCCTGCGGCGTCATCCCATTGGTGGGCCCCGACCCCTGCGTCAGCATCAGTCGAGACCCGCCCAGGATCGGCGTGTTGTCCTCCTCCGTCTGCTGCGTCACCTCCCGCGACTTGCGCTCCTCGTTGTCCCGCTTCAGCATCTCGATCGTCCGCGTCTGCTCGCACAGGAAGTTGATCATGAACGGCATCGTAAAGTCCTGCAGCCCGTGGCGCCACGACATCTCCAGGATCACGTCCGCTCGGATCAGATCGTAGCACGCGTACAGCATACCCACGTAGCATTCCCGGCTGCCAATATCCACAAACTATTCCAGTTAGTATCAAAAGCCCAAGAGAAAAGAAGAAAGAAAGAAGGAAGGAAGGGAAGGGGGGACATACGTAACGCAATAATTCTTCCACCACCTCCGACTTCCCAGACAGAGCGGCCGTCTCGATCGCGTCCTTGTAAAGCTTGTCCTGCTTGGACAGCGTGATCGATTTCTCCCACCGCTTGTTGTTCCGGTAGATGCTGGCCGCGATCTGTCGGAAGAAGATCAGATCGTGCTTCTCCAGCCGCTGCGCCAGCGCCACCGCGTCGAAGTTGTCGTAGTTGTCCACCGAGTCCCGCAGCGTCTGGTAGTCCTCCTCCTCGATCAGCAGGTCGTTGATCGCGTCGTTGACCGCCCGCTTGTTCTGCCCCTGCACGCTCAGCAGGAACGGCTTGATCAGCGGGATGTTGTCCGACGTCTGGAAGATCCGCACCACCCGGTTCACGTCGATCCGCGCCGTGAGCGCCTGCAGCAGGTCCGTCAGCAGCAGCGGCTGCTCCTGCAGGTAGAAGTTCAGCGCCCGGTAGTAGATCTCCAGGTTCGCCACCTTGACCACGATGTCCCGGAACGAGTGGTGCTCCCACGCGTCCGCCGCCCGCTCCATCATCGCCAGCGCCGCGTTGTCCCACTCGTCGTAGTGGCAGTACAGGAACACCAGCTCCGGCCACAGCGCCGCCTCCTCGCACGCCCGGATCATCTTGGGGATGTTGATCCGCGACCAGAACAGCTTCAGGTGCTCCATCACCCGCTCCGGGTGGTACTTCGACAGCGCGATGCCCAGCTCCGTGAACATGCCCATGTGCGCCCGCTCCAGCCCCAGGCCGGCCTCGAGCACCCCGATCAGCTCGTCGAAGTACCCGTTCCGCTCGTACTGCCGCACCAGGTCCTGCAGCTCCTCCGCGTGCACGATCAGGTTCAGACCGCAGATCTGCGCCAGACGGAACTCCTTCTTGGCCACGCACGCCTCGTTGACCTCGCGCCACACCTTGACGCTGTTGGCCTTGCGCGCGCACTCCACCGCCGCCTGGTAGTCCTCCAGGTGCACCAGCGTCGTCGCCAGCTTGGCCCAGTTCGAGATGCTCGTGAAGAAGATCTTGGCCGCCTGGTGGTAGCCCTCGGCGTAGGCACGGTCACCCGACGCCTCGACGTCCGCCACGTTGCTCGCCCGCAGGAAGTCCTCCAGCTCCGCCAGCTGGTCCAGACGCGCGTAGCAGAACGCCAGGCCGGTGTCGACGGCCGGCTCCCGCAGGGTCTTGCGGGCCATGCGGAGGTACTTGACGAGGTCCTCGTCCTTGCCGGCGTGGGTCGCCGTCTCGATCACCTCGGGGTAGTTGGACGGGTCACCGGCGCGGATGTACGACTCGATCGCATCCGACACGCGGAGGCCGTCCAGCTGGGCCTTGGCGACCTTGCTCCACACCTCGGGCAGCTCAACGCGCTCGGCGAACTCCTGGGCGCGGTCGATGCTGACGACGTTCTCCACCAGGACGTTGACGGCGGCCAGCGGGTTGTTGACCTTCTTGTAGACCTCGAAGGCCTCCTCGTACAGGCCGACGGAGATACACATCTCGGCGATCTCGTCGGGGCTGAACTCGTTGAGCTGGTGGATGTAGTCCATCAGGCGGCCCTTGTCGGCCTTGGCGGCGGTCAGCATCAGCAGGTTCTGCAGGCTGCCGTTGTCGCTGAACGGCGAGGGCTCCAGGATGATCTTCTCCAGCAGCTCGATCAGTTCGCCGGGCAGGTCCGCCTCGAGGAAGGACTTGACGGCGACGGAGACCTTGTCGGGCTCGGTGGACTCGGGCACGGCGGTGGCGATGACCTGGTCGACCAGCGACCGGCGGTGCTGGTTGTTCTCGCTCAGCACGAAGGACCAGATCTCGGGGTCGGCACGCTCGACCAGGTAGCGAGCCTGGGCGCGGTACATGGCGTTCTCGTTGGTGATGCCGATGAGCTCCAGGTCGTTCTGGCCCTTGCGGTAGGCGATGTAGGCGAGGTTGGGGTCGCGCTTCTCGCAGTACTTGCCGACGGTCAGCGTGTCGTACAGCTCGTTCTCCTTGAGGAACTTCTCCGGGTTGTTGTTGCTGTCGATGTAGATCTTGGCCAGGGCATTGTAGACCGCCTGCTGCTGGTTGCCGGTGGCGAGCGTGGCCTCGAGGAAGGGCAGGAGCAGCTTCAGGCGGTTGCGCGACTCGACCTGGCTGACGAGCTCGTCGATGGGGATGACGGCGGGGTCAACGGTGCTCAGCAGGTTGCGGATGATGGCCTCATCGCAGTCCACGTCCAGCAGACCGCCGACGACGGCCGGAGTCCGGGACGGGTTGACGCGCTGCACGTAGACCTCAATGGACTTGTACTGCTGGTTCTGGTAGAGGTAGAGGACGAGGTCGTGGATGAGGTTGAAGCGGTCGCAGACGATGATGAGCGGCAGCTGCTCGGTCAGGCGGGCCTCCTTGAGGAAGTTCTTGACCTTCTCGGGGTTGTAGTAGTTGCTCTCGCGGCAGATGCGCTCGACCTCGGGGATCTGGCCCATGGCGGTGGCAGCCTCGATGTACTTGAAGTGCACCTCGGGGTCCTCGCTCAGGTTGACGATGCTGCCGAGGTAGTAGTACAGGCCCTCAGCGGTGCGGTACTTCTCGAGCAGGGCGATGAGACGGGTGGGGCCCAGGAGGTCGGAGAACTTGGTGCAGAGCTGGACGACGGCCTGCAGGTTCTGGCGGATGTTGGCCTGCAGCATGGTGTCCATGCACTCGAGGGTCTGCTCCACGGAGAGGCGGCCGACGTAGGACATCAGCCACTCGGTGCTCAGCTTGTCGGTGCGCACGATGTTGCGCTTGATGACGGCGGGGTCGTCGGTGTTCTCGAGCGCGCGCTGGATGAGGCCGGCGTTCTCGCACAGCTGGGCGATGCGGGGGCGGTCGTAGTGGGTGAAGATCTCGTTGCCGAGGATGGCGTCGGCGACCTGGGGCGCGTTGACGAGGTTCATCTCCAGCAGACGGGTCTGCAGGTGGCCGTGCTCGGGCTTGTTGTCCTTGAGGGCGTCAAGCAGGAAGGAGGTGGCCTGCTGGATCATGTTCTGGGACAGGAAGACGTCGACGACGCGGTCCAGGTCGATCAGGGCACCGGACTCCTCGTTGGCCAGCTGGGAGGCGAACTCGGCGCCCTTCTCGGGGTTGACGCGCACGATGTGCTGCAGCAGCTGGGTGTAGTCGGGCTGGTAGCCGACCTGCTTGGAGTAGGCGAGAATCTGGTCGAACTGGCCGGTCTCGGCGAAACCGGCGATGACCTTGTGGGGCACGTTGGCCTGCAGGTAGATCTTGAGGGCCAGGGCCATGTCGTAGGGGCGGACAATATCACCCAGCTCCTCGGAGCCCTCGAGCTTGTTCTCGTTCATCCACTTCTCCAGCAAGTGCTTGCGGTTCTGCTGCAGGACGGGGCGGACGAGCTCAACGCTCTCGTAGCGGTTCAGCGTGCCCTTGTCGAGCAGCATGCCGAAGTACTGCAGGATGACGGACATCTGACCGGTCTGCGGGGCGTTCTTGAAGCGGTTGATGGTCTCGGGGGTGCGGAGGAAGCCGCGGGGCGAGTTGGCGGCGATCTTGGCGGCCTCACCGAAGTTGCCCTGGGCGATCAGGTTGTCGAACTGCTGCTGGTACAGGTGGTCGGCGCCGGGCAGGCCGGCCTTGGAGGCCAGCTTGACGGCCAGGCCGGACATGGCGGGGTTCTCCATCAGGTACTGGACGATGGTGGACTCGTCGACGCTGACCGAGAGGACCTGACCCTTGCGGTTGACGCCCACCAGGCCGGCGGAGTCGGAGTCGGGGGCGGTGGTGAAGATGGTTTCGCTGGAGATGCGGTTCATGAAGATGCAGGTGCCAGTCTCGAGGTCGTAGAGGTGGATGAACCCGTACTTGGTGACGAGGTAGACCACGTCATAGCGGCGGGAGACCTGCATGGCGACGGGGAAGTCGTTGACGGCCTCCTGGGGGAAGTAGACCTCGACGGCCTTCTTCTGGAAGCGAGGGTTGGGCTCCTGGTGGTCGATCTCGGCGATCTGCAACTTGGCGCCGGTCGGGGTGCGGACGGCGAAGGTGAAGAGCTTGTGCTCCAGGGGCGAGCCCTCGACACGGATGGAGGCGAAGGCGGCGGCGTGACCCTCGATGAACTGGGAGATGCCGCGCTCCTTGGAGTAGAGCTGCATGGACCCGACCACACGGCCCTGCTGGGAGCTGATACCGACCACGACCATCCACTTCTCATCATCATTCACGCGGTAGTTGATAATTTGGCAGCCCTATATCCACCGTGGTTAGTGGGGGGTCCGGGAGCTGAGGATGACGGAGAGGAGGGGGAAGGATGGCATACACTCAGGTTAGGCAGTCGATCAAAGACCTTGAGGGGCTGGGATTGGGTGGGGTCGAAGACATCCCAGTGGTAGACGGAGGTCTCGGTGACCAGACCCAGGCAACGTTCGCTGAACCACTTCCAGTAGACAATGTCCTCGTTCATGACGGCGGACTTGAGCTTCTGCTTGGCGGTCAGGTCGAAGATCTGGACGGTACGGCCCTGAGCCTTGAGGGCGATGATGTTCTTGGTCCAGTGCATGATAGCACTGTCCGCGTTGATCGGCCGCTTGATGACTTCATTGTTGTTCTTCAGGTTGATGATGATAACTTGGGGCTTGTCATCCTCGCTCAATTTTTGCCGAACGCACACGAAGTGATCCGACTCTAAAGTCTGTTGGGAGATAGACACGGGATATTAGCCACCTGGTCTCTCCGTGCCCACCCAAGAGGTGGGTACCTGACGTGGAGAGGAGGGGGAGGACTCACACAGGAGTTGAAACCGATTGAAGCCGGCTAGAGGGGGGTTAAATTGTCAGTCACGGAGGTTATGGTATTGGCGTGGCGATGCAAGGAGAAGGATTGCGCGTCCACAACTGCAGCGAACGTACCGCGATTTCAACATTTGTCAACTAGAAGGGAGCAGATGCGTTAGCCATGCGGTTCTTGGACGGGGGAATTGATCGACCCGGGGAGAGGGACCGGGTCAATCGGACAGAAAGCAAAGGAAGGGAAGGTACATTAACGAGCTCCGTAAACTTGATAGGTAAAGGAGCCATGTTTATTTACCAAGGTCGCCAGGGGACCTCATCCACCTAATAAACGCCGCGCAAAGAGACCGGGAAGATAGGGGCGGAGAAGACGGAAAGGAGACGGGAAAGGATTAGAAGGATAAATAAGAAGCGTGAGAAGAATGAAAGAAGAAGGGAAAGGGGGAAGAAGAAAGAGAAGGAGAAGGAGAAGGAGAGTGAAGTGTAGGGAGAATTGAGAAGTGAGGTCAAAGTAGATGGAAGAAGTGGAAGGGAAAGTGAGAGATGGCCAGACCGGAGCCAGTCAGTGACCTCAGGAGAGAAACCGCTGAGGTGTCGCTTATTGTTGCGGCCTGGGGGGGGCGGTCACGTGGGGTCAGGGGGGAACAAGTTTCTACAGTGACCCCCTTGACTCTCCAGAACACTACAGTATGTCATAGCTTATATTTGTGGATTCTACATATTACTCTTCTCCTGTAGAAGACATGCCCTTTGAGTCTATCTCAACAGAGTTATCGCCATGAAGACCGTTGAATGACGGAGCCGGATATAAATAGCACAGCCTTCCATACTATGGAGATGGAAGTCTGGGGATATATGCCTACATAACAACATCCAGATCTCAAGTACACAGGAATGGTCATCCTCTAGTGTCAAGCTGTAATATCCATTCCAGTGACTGTTTCCCCTGTCTGTCTATCAATGCAACATCGATCAATTGATTGATCTCCGTGGGTATCCGGAATGGGGCATGGCATTCCACGGTTGCTGCGGAAAGGAGATCATCGCACTCGAAACAGGGGCACCAACAGGAAATAATCAATCAAACAAAATAAAACAAGAATAGAACAAAACAAAATAACCACAGCAATTAAGAAGAAAAAAAGAAAAAGAAAAAGAAAAGGCCAGAAAAATATAATAAATAGGATAGTCCAGCTTGATTGTGAAGCAGCTAGCTCCCCCTCCGCAGCAGATAAAAAAAAAACGATCGATATGTATATAAATTTATGACAAAAAATGCTTCCACGCGGATTCGAACCGCGGACTTCATGATTACTAGTCATGCACTCTACCAACTGAGTTATAGAAGCTGGTTGATGTCTTTGTTTTTTCTAGTGTTATGTATCCTACGTTTTGGATTTTGCTGGTTGTTCAAGTTACCTTTCCTTCAGCTGCCGCCACACGCAGTGCCTAGGCATCTCTATACTACCCTCAACGGGTAAGGTTGACGATTGACAATCCCCCGACCAGTGCACACATCTACAGGTCTACCGCCGTGACTGATACAGTCCGCAGCGTTCCGACATTATGATTACTCTACTGGAATATCCACTATCATTAACATATGGAATCTTTTTTCTTTCCTTCTATACTTCATAAAAACAAGGCACGTAGCACAGAGACCTCCACTTAATGGTGGAACAGACGGTTGCCCTGCTCGACAAAGACAATGCCGAGCTTCTCGGCGGTCTCGAACACGGGGCCGTCGTTCTGGCTCCCGCTCGGGGCGGCAATGTACTTGACGCCGGACCGGGCGGCGCGGAAGACGTTGTCGATGAAGGGGAACTAGCTGGTCAGTTGATTTGCTTCAGAACAGAAGGGAGGAAGGGAATGGAAAAAAGCAATGGGGAGGAAGAGGAAGAGGAGGAAGAGGGAGAAGGGAAGAAAAAGAAACATACGAATGCATCAGACGAAACGGCCACCTCGCTCAGCTGGGAGAGCCAGCTCTCCCGCTCCTCGGCGGTGAACGGCGCAGGCACCTCCTCAAAGACCCGCTCGTACTCGGCCTTCTCGGCGTCGTTGCGCGGGGTGTTGCCGGAGCAGAGCAGGTCGATGGCGTTGCTCTTGTCGGCGCGCTTGGTGCCCGCCTTCCAGCGGATGTTGAGCACGCGGTCGTGGAAGCGCATCCACCAGTTGTCGGCCTTGTCGCCGGCCAGACGCGTGCAGTGGATGCGGCTCTGCTGGCCGGCGCCCAGGCCGACGACCTGGCCGTTCAGGGCGTAGCAGACTGAGTTGGACTGGGTGTACTTGAGGGCGATGGTGGCGACGGTGAGGTCGCGCAGGGCGGCGTCGGGCAGGACCTTGAGGTCCTTGGGGGTGACAATGGTGGAGAAGGTCTTGTGCGGGGCGATGACGAGATCGTTGCGGTGCTGGGTCAGCTGGACGCCGTAGAGGGTGCGGGTCTCCTCGGCGGCCGGGACGTAGTTCTCGTCCATCTGGAGGACCAGGTACTTGCCGCCCTTCTTCTTGGACAGGATGGCCAGGGCCTCGTCGGAGTAGCCCGGGGCGATGACACCGTCGGAGACCTCGCGGGAGACGATCTTGGCGGTGGGCACGTCGACGATGTCGCTGAGGGCGAGGATGTCACCGAAGCTAGACATGCGGTCGGCGCCACGGGCGCGGGCGTAGGCCTGGGCCAGGCCGGAGGACTCGATGCCGGCGATGTCGTCGACCATGTAGACCTTGCGCTCCTTGTCGTTCAGGGGCACGCCGACGGCGGCACCGGCGGGGGAGACGTGCTTGAAGCTGGCGGCGGCGGGGTAGCCGAGGGCCTGCTTGAGCTCCTTGACGAGGGCCCAGGAGTTGAGGGCGTCGAGCAGGTTGACGTAGCCGGGGGAGCCGTTGAGGGCCTTGAAGGGGAGCTTGCCCTGGAGGGTGAAAGCGGCGGCGGGCTTCTGGTGGGGGTTGGTGCCGTAGCGCAGGGGGAGGTACTGCTCGCCGTTGCCGGCGTACTGCTTACGGAAGAAGCCGGCGATGGCGGCGTCGTAGTCGGCAGTCTGCTCGAAGGCCTTGAGGGCGTAGAGCTTGCGGCTGGCGGCGGTGATCTCGCCGGCCTCGAGCTCCTTGAGGAACTCGGGGTAGTCCCCGGCGTCGGACAGGATGGTGACGCGGGCGTGGTTCTTGGCGGCAGCGCGGAGAAGGGTGACACCGCCGATATCGATCTCCTCGACGGCCTCCTCGATGGTGACGTTGATCTTGTTGACGGTGGCCTTGAAGGGGTAGAGGTTGCAGACGACGTAGTCGACCTTGGCGATCTTCTGCTCGGCCAGGTCGCGCTCGTCGGACTCGATATCACGGGCCAGGATACCGCCGTGGACGGCGGGGTGGAGGGTCTTGACGCGACCGCCGAGCATCTCGGGGGCGTGGGTGATGACGGAGACGTCTCTGTTATCATCATCGTCAGTACGTTCACCGGCAGCATTGACAGAATATGGGGAGAACTCACTCCACAGGGAATCCGGCGTCACGGATCATGCGCGCGGTACCCCCGGAGGCCAGCAGACGAACATTGTGCTTGACAAGACCCTTGGCCAAGTCCAAGAGGCCAGTCTTGTCATAGACGGAGATGATAGCTGAGGAGTCAGCTTAATCTTTCTTTTTCTGGATATTTCCCTCTTCTTTGTGATTGTTTATTTTCGCTTCCCCATAACTCCATACAGTGGAGAGCGGGGGAGCAATATATACAACCCCATAAACAACCCAACGGAACAGAAACAACTTACCGGACTTTTGAGACATCTTGACACAGCCGCAAGACACTAGAAAATGAATTGAATCAGATCCAGACACTTAATGAGTCCAAAAACGCTGGGGGCAGTGTGGTAAGAGCGCAGGAAGGACGCAGGAGGGGCAGAAGTTTTTTTTTCGTTTCCCTCGGAGATGCCCCTCCATGTGACGGAGTACGGAGGACCCCGGCGATGGTCTGACGACGATGGGTATTCTCTCCACGGATTGATACATGGGGATAACACGGGGGTGGGGTAAAGCAGACGTACCTGAAGAAGGTGGACAGGATAAGAGCAGAAGTGAACAAAGACAGAAAGACAGAGGAAGAAGAGAAGAAAAGACGAAAAGAAAGATCACGCGGGGTTCAGTTCAATCCGTCATTTCTGCCTCCGCTTTCGGGGAACACACGCATAACGGCATAGGTGAGTCATCTGCATAACACTTCACAAGAACCGTTCTTAGTCATCTCTGAGTCAGCGAAATAGACACCTGGTTCACAAGGCAGCAATATCTCGGCTAGCCCCACGTGACGCCGCTAGGCGAAAAACCCGAGCATAAAAACTCTCCATCTGGATCTTCCCTTTCCTTCCCTTTCTTCTCTTTTCCTTCTTCATGAACAACGCAAATATCACGTTCTTTCAAAAGCGTTCCTACGAGGATATCTCCCTCTCTACGGAGGGGGGATAGCTGATGACATACGGAAATCGTCTATAAGAATGGAGAAGGACTGCGATTTATTCGCAGAGGGTTGATCTTGGGTGCAGTGTCTTGATCTTCAAGTGACAGAGACTGCAATGATTGACTCGACATCATATCTACTTCTATTCGTATTGTGTAGGAGGTTCAGATTGGTTCCGATGAGAGGTCTGATTAATTAATATGAACAAAACAATATAATATAATATTAAGGATATCACCATATCATGAATCAGAATAAGAATAAGAAGGCTCCACACAGGGACAGTCACAGTGTCGTCGAATGACTGGTAACCCAATTCTCCAAATCAAAAGAAACATACGACTCTAGTAATCTTACTCATGCTTGCAGTCCATCACGTCGGCTGCTGCCAATCGCCAGCTGCCGCCCGATATTCCCAAAACACACGCACGCGCAGAAGAGCACGCTGGCCACCCACGTCCGCACCGCGATGCTCTCCTGCGTCACCCCCGACACCAACCCGTAGTCCCGTAGTGTCGCATTCAACCCGGGGATCGTGGCCCGCGACGCCTCCGTCGCAGCTGGCACCAGGTCCGGCTTCAGGCTCAGCACGATGCCCATCCCTGCCACTCCTACCGTCGTTGAGAGTAGAAAGCCTGTCTTGGTGCGGTCGATCAGGTACCATAACACGGGATTCGCGAGAGCCAGCGTCACCGAGGCCTGAGTAGTGGATTCCCACGGCAGTCGTCGCTGCGCAAAAAAAAAAAAAAAATAACGTCAGTCGCACAAAACTCCCCGAGTGTGGTTTTAAATGAAGTCGGAAGAGACTTACCATGGCAAACGCGACGCCGACAAAGGCTCCCACGCTTCGAACCACCGCCACCCACGACAGCGTCCGATCCTCCGTCTCCTGGTCATTCTTCGCCCGAGTCACATCCTCCGAGAACAGATCCAGCCAGGGCAGCAGATTGCCCAGGGCGACCCCCACCACGGCCCACGAGACCAGGTACTCCCAGGAGCCGCTCGAGTGCGTGTTATCCAGCTTCACCGGCGTGATCCAGTGGTTCTCGTGCAGATGAATGGTAATGAACCCGTAGACGATGCCAAAGCCCACCAGGCACGCGCTCTTGAGCGTCTGCGGCAGGATCACCCCGCGGAACAGCCCCTGACTCAACCGCGCCGACCGGGTGCGCTGTCGGGCCAATCGATCCGGCGACTCGGGCACCGCGATCGCGGGCGGGTGTTCGGACAAGGGCGTGTGGACTTCCGTCCCCCAGGGGCTGTTGTCGTCCCGGACGCCCTCAAACGCCGTCGGGGAGTAGATGCCAAACAGCGTCGACGACGTCAGGTTCATGATTGACCCATTGCGGCTGACGCTGGCGGACCCGGCATCTTTGGGGGCCAGCAGGTCGGGGTTGGCCGGCTCGGCGGGCGTGGGCGCTTCGGACGACTCGTTGGAGGGGGCGACGTCGAATACGCGACGCGGACGGGGGCGTAGCACCCGAGGCTCGTCCGACATGACAGGCAGAAGCGACGATGGTCAAGATTTCTCCGGAAAAAGAAACAAGCGTGTTTTATGATTCAACCGTCTTGAATGTGACGTCGGCGGAGGCTCAATAAATAGTAAGATAGGAGAGAAACCAGTGGCGCTAAAAGCTTAACTCCTCTCCAAAACAATGACGAATAAATACAGGCGAAAGAAGAAAGAGTGAGAGAGAGAGAGAGGTGTAGACAAGAGGGGAAACGAACGGGGAAGAAAAAGAGGAGAAAAAGAACGGGGTGGAGTCGAATGATGTTGTTGAGACCAGTCACGGAAGCTGGCAAAAAAACGCCCGGTCCTCTATTTTTTTTTCCCTTTTTTTACCCTTTTATTTTTCCCTCACTTAGGCGCCGGATGCACTGCACGGATGCCAAATCAGGCCGGGAATAATCAGTAATGAGGAGATTGGAAGCGATATGTTTCGTGCACTTGTGTCGGGGGTGGAGCTCCTGCACAAGATTCGCCAAGGGGATCGGCGGGTTCGGTCGTGGGAAAACTCCGTTCGTTGTTAGAGTCGCTGGTTAATTACCCCTAGTGCGATGATGTCAACACGGTCTGTCGTTGGAAATGTCGGTTATTCTACACCGTCTGATGGTGGCTGACGTAGAAGATAGAAGATGATCCTAAGAAAAGAGACAGAAGAAGACGACGAAAAAGGAGGAGAAAAGAAGAGAAAAGGTGAAAACACAACAAACAGCACGGTTTAGTCATACGATGTTGACATGTGATTTATGCACAACCCTGGTCCATGCAGTGGCCGAGCACCGTCACAAGCCAGGCAGCCTACGTCGGAGAGGGGGTTCTCGATGGGGAGACTCAATCAATCCAGAGCGTTTGTCTGTATCTCATAACATCTGCAATTGCTAACACAGGAGATGAAGAAGGTAAATGGTATGTTGAAGTGAGTAAGGAAAAGGAGACAAAATAAACAGATCCAATCCGGACCAGTCGTAGAATACACACCCCCACGGTTCGCCCATCGAGGAAGACCGGGGGTCAAAGAATACAATAAATATTAACGATGGGGAGAAGAAGGCGGAGAAAAGAGAAAGAGAAAGAGAGCAGAAACAAAATGGTGCAACAGTAAGAGAGACTTCAGCACACCCGTCGAGCATTTCCAACCTCCGGCCAGATCTAATCCCGGTCGTCCATGGTCTCGTGGTCCTGGTCGTCCGCGGCACGGTGGCGATCTGCGCTGTCGTGCGTGTCGAGGGCGGGGCCAGGGCCCTCGCCCGCGACGGACGAGGCGTCGCTGGCCCCGGACCCATGGCCTCCGTCGAACGTCGACGAGTTCTCGTCGGCGTCGCCTTCATCCAGATCATCGTCGTCGCCGTCATCGTCCGACGAGAGGGCGTCGGCATCATCGTCCCCGACTTCGCCCATGAAGCTGTCCGCGTCGCCTCGCTCCCCGACGGGGGCAGCCCGGTCGTCGCGAACGACAGGCCCGTCATCCTCGTCGCCGCTGCCTTCTCCTAGGAGCTCCCGGTCGATGTCGTCCAGTCCGTCCTCGCCATCGGCGGGCATGGACGAGGCGTCGTGGTCCGGCAGGGGTCGCGCGTCAATTCCGTCCTTGCCGGCGTCACCGGCGGGGTTCGCGGCTGCCCCCGCCCCCCCGCGACTGGGCCGGCTGCGGCTGCTCTTGGGGCGCGGGGTGGACGTCGAGCCCGACGCGCCGGCGGCGGTCGTCGCACCCGCGGCCTCGGCGAGCTTGCGGCGGGCATTGCGGGCCGCCCGGGCGCGGCTCCGCGCCGAGGTGGGGGCCCGACCCCCCAGGTCCAGGGAATGCTCCAGGGCCAGGGTGGTCTGCTTCGCCTTCTGGCGCTCTTCGCGCTCCTTCTTGCGGTCCTTCTTCGGCCCGTTGGCGTCCTCGTAGTCCCACCGGTCCAGTCGCCGGGAGGCCTTGCGGACGACCGACAGGTAGTAGCTGGCGCATTCGCCGTAGTCCTCCTCCTCCTCGGGGTTGGGGAGGATCCCGCCCTTGCCCCAGGAGCTCTCGTCATCCTCCGTGTCGTAGCCGTCGGGAAGCGGCTCCAGAAGACGGCCGTAGCGGGCGAAGGGGATCTCCGTCTCCCGTTTCGCGCGAAGCATCCGGTACGCCTCGTTCCGTCGCTTAGCCAAAATGTACTCGATGCGCTGGCGGCGGTTCTGCTCGACGGCCAGCTGGTGCTGCGTCAAGGGACGGGGACGGCGCGCTGTGTTTTGCTGCGTCAGAGAAGAGTCCGTGACAAAACGGTTCAACACTGGGTGGCTAGAACCTGGAGGAGCTGGGGATGACCCGTCAGGGGTCTGTTCCATCTTGGTTTTGAGGATGAGACGCTGCTGCCCGACGGCGCGGGTGAGCGAGGACTCCCGCTTTGGCCGCTTGTACCGCGACCGGGCCGACTGCCCTGGGGTCAAGAGGTCCTCATCCTCGTCGGGTGGATACCGCTTTGCGGAGGGATGCATGGGAGTTGACATGGCCGAGCCACGTCCATCGCCGCGACCTGGATAGATGTCAGCTACAGTCGGGCCTGTTCCGTCACCGAATGCACTTACCAGAAGCGATGCCTGAGAGATCACCCGACGCTTGGTCGTCGTCGTAGCCGAATTCTGTAGCGCCGTATATCAGTTACATGGATCCTGTCCACAGGCGGGCGCGCCAACATACCTTTTTTGGGCCGCTTGACCACCCGGGGAAGAGGCTCATCCTCGTCCAAAATACCTAAGAGTTTGGGGGTTAGTCCGGGGGAGGACATCCGAAAAAATTGTGTCTCGAGGAACTTACGCTTCCGTTCCAACCGCTTTGCTTCCCCGTATTCCATCTCTTCCTGGGTATCCACATTCTCCTCGTTCGCCTGCTCCTCGGTGAGGCTCTCGAAATTGGGGACCTTGATGGGCAAGCCGCCCGTTCCCTCGCCATCCAGACCGGGGCCGAAGGGGTTGTTGAGGGCCGCCTCCCGGGAGAAATCGCTCTCGAGATACCACCACATCAGCCAGAGGAAGGCACGCGCCCGGGTCTTGCTGCTGAGGGTGGCCCTCATGACCAGGTCGAAGAAATCGCGCGGAGGGAAGAAGTGCAGCTCCGACACCTTGGGGGCGTACTGGGCCAGCACAAAGATCAGGTTGACGGGGTTGGTTCGGGGGACGTTATGGCGTCGGATCTTCTCGAGGGTATTGGGCTGGTCGACATCCTCCGATGCGCCCTTGAGGATGGACTTGAGACGAGGCGCATCCTGTAGCTGCTTGTAGGCATTGGGATCCTGGTGCGCCTGGAGCGAGGGGATCGAGTGGTATGTTCGCAGCTGGGCTCGCATTTCGGGGAAGACTGCGCAGGGTGCTTGCGTTAGTATTTTGACATTCGGTCAAAGCGGGTGGCGAAGGGACGCGATGTCGTTGCAGCTAGGAACACATACAATTGAGCGTAGTATTCATCCTCCCAAAATTAACCAACAAACACACCATAGCCATATTGATCGCCGCCTGCTTATCATTTTGCAACTTATCCTTCAAGATCTTACTCGTCTTGCTACTCCTAGCCATCGCATCGATATAGATATCCGCAAAGTCCAAATTCTTCTCGCCGTCCGGATACCGCGTGAAGACGGGGGTCTTATCCTCAAAGACGTTCTTCAAAAACTGGTACTGGATGTCCTTGCGCCACAGGGGGATGCCGTCTTCCTTCTTGAGATGCCGGATTTTGTTGCCCGAGTAGACCGACCCGATCGTGCCATTCGCCTGGCGCCTCGTGCCGACCGTCATGTTGTGCGTTTGCTGGTCATCTTGGGCTTCGGAGGGTGGGAAGGAGTCGTCCGCGACCGTACTTTCGACGTCGGCCATCGCGGGATTTGGGAGGGGGTTGTTGGGTCACGTCCGCAATGGCTTTTTCCGTCGGGTGGCGAGCGAGACGGCTCTGCTTGAGTATCTAGTCCGATGAGCGTGATGGGGGAGGTGAGGAGATTGTCGAAGGGTGTGCCTGTCTTAGCAGGGCGAGAGGCTGGGAACGGCCGTCGGGGGGAGGAAAGGCGGAAGTTGGCTGGGAGAACGTGAGTGGTGATGGAGGGTTAAACAAGTTTCGTCATCGGGAGGGATAAAAGGAAACAAAAGAAAAGAAGAAAGAAGGGAATTGGGATGAGAAAGGGGGGGGGGGAAGAGGGGGGGATGGAAGAGAATTGAAGGATGAGGTTCAAGAGAGAGAGAAAGGAATGAACGAGATGAGAGAATTCCGGTGGTGAGCCTGAGGTGTGATCCCTTCCGATGATTCTGTATCTTTTCTTGGGTACCACCTTGCAATCCGTTCATTTTACTTCGTTATAGATCAATTCGGATCATCAATCGATATGGTCAGTTTTATGGAATTTATATTCAATTTCCAATAGTCACAATATCAATCTAGTTTTATTTTTCAGACCTGTTGGTATGCCTTGACCCTGGTTATATATATCTATGCCTCCTTATGTAACTAGGCCGATATAAGGGAACATCCCCATATACCCTAATATATAGTCAGTCCGACCTTCACAATTACATCATTTTCTCATACTGGTATACTCGACACTCGACTTCATCCTCAATCTATCCCATACAATTCATCCATAACAAGCTTTACCCACATGTGCCAGGTTCCATAACAGCAATCTATACAGAACCCATACGGAATCAAACCCTAAAATCACATCAACAAGAACGTGAACAGGGCAAGAATGAATGGCGTAAGATAACCAGATTGAGATTCTTCCTAAGAGGTGTGCGCTCTCCCCGTATGCGAAACGCTATCCCATACTTAGCACTAGGGGATGTGAAGTCTTCGTGGCTATATAATGTCGTCGCTTTTGTTTTTTGCACGAAAATTTGGATCTGATCAGACTACGAGATTCCTAGCCGACACCAGGCTAGAGGGCCTGAACCTAGACGTTCATCGATCCCATCTACAGACACCCTACGCAGATAATAGAAGAAGAATAAGACGAGCATCAAACTTTTGTTTGGATCAATGCTAACTCCCCGGTAAAACAGGGCCACCTCCGGCGCACCGAAACTGCGATGGACGCGACATACCCAGGAGAACTTGGCGAATACAAGCGCCTACTCTCCCCGGGTTCAACAGAATCTAGACAACGAGGATCCACCCAGACGGGAAACCCTCCAATCTAGCAAACCGTTCCTTCATGTGGACACCGCACGCTCCAGCCAAACGCCAGACAGAAATGCAATGAGTTCCCATTCCCTCTATCCCGTACATCCCGGACGGAACAGCCCACGTAAGGAACAACACAAGCCAGAGTAGGACTGGAAGACAAGCAGACAACCCGCCAGGAAAGACCGAAACAAAAAAAAAAGAAACAAAGAAGGAAAATGAAAATTGATAAAACGGTCAATTCTATGTTGGAAGACACGGTCGATGTAGCTGCCACAGCACCAAGCAGATGAAATCATAAACAGCACTTTTGTTTTCAAAGAACACGAAACGCCGGCTCGCCGGCCCGGCATGTGTCCCTCAAGCGGAATCTCCACAATGGCCGCCTGAAAACAACAAAGGGTATCTGGTGCAAGCGGTCGCAGGAGAAAGACAACGCAATCTATGACATCCACGCAATGCCGATCTTGACGCTCACGATCATAGTAGAGATACAATCAGGAGCTGCAAGATGATGAGATCGGACCACATCGAAGACCATGTCTAAAGCAGGAGGAAAAAGCGAGCAAGACAGGCAGAAGCATCAAGAAAACGAACAGAAGAAAAGTAAAGAAAGGTGTTCTAAAAAAAAACACAAAAAGCCGTGGCGGTCATGACAAAGCCGGTCCCGAGATCCTTTTTTGCAAATGAACAATGAAGATGAACAATAAAGAAATAAAAAAAAAGAAGATTAAAGAGACAGCAGAACACGGGAGCAGAAAAGGAGTTAGAAAAGAAAAAAAAAGACTCAGGAGGACTTAATCGTATCCCGTCAAAAAGCACAAATCGAGAACAGACAACGGGAGGCAAGAAACCCAAAGGATTCAACCGGACCCGATAGCCTCGTCAAGAGACCACAACTTTTTTTTGTTTTGCGTACTGTCTGTGGGGGGATGGTAAAAGATTTACCACCAGGACGACGGACCGGTAGGGCCGGAGGGGTTGCCGTAGCTACCACCACCACCACCACCGTAGCCACCACCGTAGCCGCCGCCGTAGGCCGCACCACCGCCGTAGCTACCACCGTAGCTGGCACCACCACCACCGTAGCTGGCGCCGCCGCCGAAGGAGGGCGCACCACCACCGCTGGGGTTGCTGGTGAAGCGACGAGCGTCACGGGTGGCACCGCCGCCGCGACCGCGACCGCCACGGCTGCCGCCACGACCACCACCGAAGCCGCTGCCCTCGCGGGCGATGCTCTCCAGGAAGGCGGGAACCTCCTGGTGAGCCTCCTTCAGGAGGTCGAGCAGGTCGCGGACGACGCCACGGTTGCCACGGTTGAAGAAGGCGGTCGCGATACCGGTGTTACCGGCACGACCGGTACGACCGATACGGTGGACGTAGTCGTCGATGTCGGTGGGCAGATCGTAGTTGATGACGTGGGTGACGTTGGGGATATCCAGACCACGGGCGGCGACGGCGGTGGCCACGAGGATGGGGCAGCGGCCGGACCGGAAGAGGTCGAGGGCGCGCTCACGCTCGCGCTGAGTGCGGTCGCCGTGAATGGCGGTGGCGGGGAAGCGCTGGTTGAGCAAGAAGTCGGACAGGGAGTCGGCCATGCGCTTGGTCTCGACGAAGATGAGGGTCAGACCGGTGGTGCCGTGGGTGTGGAGGATGTCGAGCAGGACGGAGCGCTTGTCCTGGTCCTCGACGTACTCGACTTTCTGGGTGATGTTCTCCGAGGTGGAGCCGACGCGGCCGACGGACAGGAAGACGTAGTCCTTGAGGAAGTCGCGGGCGAGCATCTGGATGTCGCGGGGGAAGGTGGCGGAAAACATGAGGGTCTGGCGGTCGGTGACGTTGGGCATGTCCTCGCCCTCGACGATGCGGCGGATCTGGGGCTCGAAACCCATGTCCAGCATCCGGTCGGCCTCATCCAGAATGAGGTACTTGATGTTCATGAGGGAGATGCGGCCACGCTCGATGAGATCGACGAGACGGCCAGGGGTGGCGACGAGCAGATCGCAGCCCCGCTCGATCTGGCGCAGCTGGGAGCCAATGTCGGCACCGCCGTAGACGACGCAGGGACGGACCCAAGAGCGGTAGGCGAACTTGCGGGCCTCGTCGAAAATCTGGGAGACGAGTTCGCGGGTAGGGGCCAGGATGAGGGAGGTGGGGTAGGCCTTGCGCTGGCGGCCGTAGCTGAACTGACCGGGGGCCTGGGCGGGGGCCTGGGAGGGGCCGTTCTGGAAGGCCTGGGACAGGATGGGGAAGAGGAAACCGCCGGTCTTACCGGAACCGGTCTGGGCACAGGCCATCAGGTCGCGACCGTTCATGACGATGGGGATGGAGTACTTCTGGACGGGGGTGGGGGTCTGGTAGCTGGCGAGCTTGATGTTGGCGATCAGGTGGTCATCCAGGGGCGGGTTAGTGAAGGCGTTGACGGGCTCGGGGACGTTCTGGCCGGAGGCCTCGACGGGGATGTCGTCGTAGTTGGAGAAGTTGATGCCGGTGTTCTGCTTAGAGGGGTCGTCGGGGGCACCGAACAGCTCGATCTCGACGCGGGGGTTGGCGGGGCCGGGGATGTGCTTTCCATCACGCCACTGGCCGTCGCCGGAGCCGCGGGCAGCGTAGGAAGAGCCACCACCAGAACCTCCGTGACCTGGGTTTCCGTAAGCATTGGGATCAAAGGAATGGCGCGAGCCTTCGGTGGAGCTCCAGTTGGTGTTACCATTGGGACCGCGAGGGCTGAAATCGTTGGCATGGGCCCAGTTACCACCGCGAGAGCCACCTCTGTAGGACGAACGGAATCTACCAGTTAACACAATCCATCCTTGGATAGTGGAAATTATTCCGAAGGAAGAATACACACCTAGGGGCACCATAGCCGGGGCCGGCGGCGGGGCCAGGCGGAGGGGCGGCACCGTCTAAGTTGGCGCCAGCGCCCATGGGACGTTGACGCAGATGGGGAGGGATGTAGGCAGCGCGGCCGGTGTTGGGGGGAGGACCCGCGGGCGCGTGCTGAGACTCGTTGAGGGAAAGGTTTCCCATTTGCAAACCGTCGGCCATGATGAAGATTTCTAGCGAGAGAGATATTAGCGTGATTATGGGAGAAAACTGTAGGGAGGGGGAGAAGAGAAACGGATAAAAAAGACCCAGGGGCGAACGACGAAAGTGAAAAAAAAAAAACAAATCTCAAGGGAAAAAAAAGGAGGGGAAAGAGAAAGAGAGATGGAGGAGCAACGTACGGGGTGAAAATCGACTTTTTTCTGTTGAAATGGAAACGATCTGTGTATCTATGCAGAGAAGAGACGGTGAGTTTTGTGTACCAGACAGGAAGAAGAAAAAGAGGGCGATGAAGCCAAAGAGCGATTCCCGGTCTTTCTCTATCGAATGAGGCGAAAACAAGTCCAACTAGGAGAGAAGACGTACCGGACCAAAGAAGATCAAGCGAAGGTCTGAAGAGAGAGAGGGAGAAGAGTAAAACGAGTCAAGAGAACAAAAAAAGAAGTAGAAGATGAAGAAGCCAAGTGATCTTCCGAATCTAAACCTCTATGGTAATGGAGGGAAGGAAAGAAGGAAAATCAAGACAGAGGATGAGAAAGAAATCAAGATGATGGGAGAGAGGAGAGGAAGAAGGAAGAGAAGAGAGAATGAGAAGGAGAAGTGAGATTGAAAGATGGATGAAGAGGAAGAGGAAGAGAAGAAGAGAAGAAGAGGAAGAGAGGAAGAAAGAGGCGAAGTGGGAAAAAAAAAAAGGCGGACGGGCAAATTCCAGCTCGGTCGGTTTGCTTTCTTTTTGGATTTCTTTTTTGATTTCTTTTGTTATAATCTCAATTTTTACTCTGGTCAATTCTTTTGTAAGATTCCAGATAGACCATTAACTATATAGATATTAAATATTTTTACACATATCATTTTTGATCCCATTTTCTAACAATCACTGTGTCTTTGGAGGCGAAAAAAAAAAAGAAGGGGAAAAATACGATACCCACAGCGTACCAGAGGAACCACGGAGTTCCTCGTTCTTGCATACGTATGGATGTATTCTCAAAACGGTCCAGCCTTTCTTCTCTTCTTTTGACCAGAAGTAGTTGAATACGGTAATACCTTCAATACCAATACCGACATCTCTCTAGATCTACCTAGAGATGTAGGGATAGATGTATGACTATAATACCTACTAGAATGTTCAACCAAGTGATTAACCAGATAAATCCTGAATGCATCATGCAGCTGATCTATCCCCATCCTGGGTGCTGGATGTCTTCCCCACATTCTCTCTCTCTCTCTCTCCCTCTTCCTCTCTGCAATAGATGCATACAGCCAACCACCGTCCAAAGGATTTCGCCACCTTACTATCTCCCCGTTGATTTGCCACGGGCGTTGGTCACTACCAAAACTCTATCCCCTCCATTACGGTCCCGAATTTACGGCGAATGTCACTGGGTGGCAATGTCCCTCTTTATATTGTTAATGGTTAGTCACTGAAAAAAAAAAATACATCACACCATGCTCTTCTGGTTCGACTCCTTCTTCTGTCCATGGTTCTTGATATACACCACCAGCAGGCCGACCAGCACCACCAGCACCAGCATCTTCCCCACGTACCACGTCGAAGACGAAGACGTCAACGTCTCCGTCTCTGTCGCCTCCGTCACGGTGTCCGAGTATTCGGCGAAGTCATCGGGAGTCTCGTCTTCAAGCGCCAACGCAACCAGGGGAAGAAGAACCCCCAACACCCATCAGCACACGGTGGATATCTTCAGGAACGCAGCACGGAGAGGGAAGGGGGGGAAACGGAACAGGCGATTAGAGCTCCTCGTGGCTACCTTTGGCTCCTGACTCCAGCTCGCCACTCTTCACCACCTTGATCGTCTCCTTGGGCTTGTCGCCGGGGTTCTTGTCCACGTTCTCCACGGCCTCGACCACATCGTAGCCCTCGAGGACCTCGCCGAACACCACGTGGCGGCCATCCAGCCAGCTTCACACAATCAGCAAATGGAGATTCTTCTCCAGGGGGGAGAACATACGGAGTCGGCACGGTCGTGATGAAGAATTGCGATCCGTTGGTGTCCTTGCCGGCGTTGGCCATGCTGAGCAGGCCCTTGCGGGTGTGACGGATCTTGAAGTTCTCATCCTTGAACTTGTCGCCGTAGATCGACTTGCCACCGGTGCCTGATTCGTCAGTATAATCTTTTGAGTATCGATTTCAGTAAGACATACCATCACCACGGGTAAAGTCACCACCCTGGATCATGAAGTTCTTGATGACGCGGTGGAAGGTCGAACCCTCATAGCCAAAGCCCTTCTCGCCGGTCGCGAGGGCACTACAATAGTCAGCAAACAAATCAATTGATTTGGTGGTAATGATCAATTCATACCGGAAGTTCTCAGCAGTCTGTCAAACCATTAGCCTTCGCAACTGTATTTAGGGATAAGATGGGAATATACCTCGGGAACGGTCTTGCCATACAGACCAAGCACGACACGGCCCATGGGCTTACCACCATGCTCGATATCAAAGTAGACCTATCATTTATTGTCAGTTTCAACTGTCGTGCCTTCACAAACAACGTAGAAGATAATGTAATGTAACCCACCTTACTGGTAATCTTCGGCCCGCGCGGCTCCTTGGATTCCTCAGCATGGACCAGAGCGAATCCAACCGCAAAGGCCAAAAAGACCGTCAGAAAAAGGTTGCGGAAATTCATGGTTGCCTCTCAAATAACCCACTTGAAAGAAAACCAGATTGATGAGAAAGGGAGATTTGGGAGAGAGGACTGGGGAAGGGAAGGGAACAAGGACAGCTTGCAATAGACAGGGTGCGGGCCAAATGCGGAGAATGCCAAGCCTGCTCTATCTTGGTCGGAGAAATATTCCTCCTGGCTGAATTTCTTCCTTGGTTACGGCTTCATCTTGGGGTGTATTGATCTGGGAGATATATACGCAGACACTCACATCGCGTCCAGTCGTCAACATGGTAAGTATCTCCCTTTTTATAATTCCGCCTACCAATTCCACTAACAGATATAGGTCTTCCTCCTAGGAGTCAACTTCCCCGAGCGGAGTCTCGTCAAGGCAAGCACCACACCACCCACACCACCACCATTACCAACCATCGCGACCACCCAGCATCACCCAACGAACCCCCTCCTAATTGAAATATAATATACAGAAATCCCTCGAATCCTTCTTCGGCATCGGCCACAACACCTCCTCCCGCCTCCTCGCCCGCTTCTACATCCACCCCACCTGCAAAGTCGGCGAGCTCGCCAACAAGCAAGTCCTCGACATCACCGCCGCCCTTTCCGACATGAAGATCGAAAATGATCTCCGGAGATCGGTCCTCGATAATATCAAGCGTCTGAAGGAGACGGGCACTTATCGTGGGAGACGTCATGCGCTGGGCTTGCCTGTGAGGGGGCAGAGGACGAGAAGCCAGGTTTGTTTTTTCTTCTTCTTTTTCTCCCCTTCTTCTGGTTTTATTTGGGGGGGGGGGGGGGGGTTTGGACGGGGTTGTTGTGCTTGCGCTCAATCGCTGTACATGGATGATGGGATATGTGCTAATGGTTGGTTTTAGATCCAAAACGCGGTCAAGCTCAACCGTATCGACAGGAAACTTTGAGTTGTCAGTCTGTCTGGTGCTGGCATTGTTCCCTCCTATGGTTGACCTTTATGAGGGCGTGGAATGGCGTTGATCTTATATCTCCCTGTACTTATGTTTTGGTTTCTTTTATTTCGTGGAATGTACTATATGTAGATATTGAAACTATCCAATAGATCCCACATCTATGACCATCAACTACAACCGTAGGAGTAACTAGAATGAAAAAAACAACGAAGAGGGAAAAAGAACCAGCATTAGATCAAGATAATAAACTAGTAAACAGAAAACAACTTTTCATCCAGCCAAACGCCCGGCCCATATGTGCAACGCCTCAATCCTACACCGATGACAGCACCCCCTCGCCGCGGTTGATCTGGATGCGCTTGTCCTCGCCCGCACTGACGATACCCACCGCCGCGTCCCAGCACACTCCGAACACCTTGACGCCCTCGCCGCCCACGCGCTTGGCGTCGCCCCGGCCCGCCTCCTCCTGGCTCTTCCGCCCAATCGAGTACACGCTCTCGCCCACCACGCCGTCCTTGTCCGTCTTGGTCGCCCGGATGTCCCAGATCCGGCACGTCCCGTCGTGGCTCCCGCTGATGAGCCCGTACGCGCTCTGCGGGTCGCGCGCCAGCGACACCACGGCGTTGGTGTGCCCGCGCAGCGTCATCGCCGCGATGGTCGTCGCTGAAGCCCGCGGGTCGATGAGCGTGATGTGGCGCGCGGAGGTTCCCGCCGCGAGGAGGTGGTGTTCGGGCAGGTGCTCCAGTGACAGCAAGGCGTGGGCCGTGCTCCGCGTGTCGACCAGGGAGCCCGTGACCAGGTCCCACGTGCGCAGGGAGTGATCCCACGAGGTCGAATAGCCGACCGTGGCGTCCGTCGCGTCGAAGATGGCCGCCGACACGGGCGCCGTGTGCGCGGACATCAGCGACAGGGGTCCCCGCTGCGGTGCGCTCACGGAGGAGTTCACCTTGCGTCGCTTGGCGCTCCTCGATGCGGCGGATGGGAGCAGGTTCTCCGGCGCGGCCGGGGCATCGCCCTTCTTCGTCGACCAGAACCCGACGCTGTGGTCGGCCGAGCCGGTCAGCATGCGGTTCGAGGGCGCATGCACGGCCAGCGAGTTGACGGCTGACTTGTGGCCGTACAGCTCCAGCTGCGGGGTGATGGTGCCGGAGAAGCCGTCGGCGTGTTCGGCGTACTTCCACACGCGCACCGTGCGGTCCAGCCCGGTCGATGCGATCGCGTTTGGCGAGATGAACTTCGCCGCTTTGATGGACGCCGTGTGTCCTCCGTCCGCGGGGGCCGGCGACGTCGCGACCACCTGCGACGACATGTTCCACACCCGGAGCAGGCCGTCGTAGCTGCCGGACAGGATCCGCTCCTGGCCGGGAGACACCGTCGCCGACGCCTTCGAGGCGGCGGGCGACGTCGCAGAGAGCACGTCCACCGAGCTGACCCAGTCATCGTGCTCAAAGGAGGCGATGTGTAGCGGCGGGATCAAGGCACGAACATACTCAATCTCCAGCGTGGTTTCGGCGGAGATGCCATTGGCCGTCAGGTATTCGTCGATGGAGGTGCGCAGGAAAGCGCCGTTCACCAAAAATTCGAACGGGATGGGTTTCTCGCTCCCCAGCAGGTTGTTGACCAGCGTCGACAGCGCATATCTCCGAAGACCTACCGACTCATTCGTCAGCATTGACTTACATTATATTCCATATGAACCTGCAGGGTGAACTCACCGGTGGGCACCAAGATGGGGCCTGTATTCTCGGGGAGGGCGACATCTTCCTGTTTGCTCGTGAGCTGCACACGAACTTGTCGCTGGGCGGCCTGCGAGGCATCGCCTGACATTTCTTGGTCCCCGTTCATCTTGACGACGTGACGAGAAAAAAAATTGGGTGGAAAAATGGGTTGAACTGGGTTGGAAATCTCGGTCGATGCGGCGGGCAAGTGAAGCGCAAAAGGAAGAGAAAAAATTACGGCGGCCGATGCGGCCACTTGCGCCGAGCGCGGAGATTCCCCGCCTACATCTACTGTAGATATAGATATGGATATGAATTAGGACATAATATACAGGTAATTTTATTTGATTGTGAAATCAATTCGATCATCATATCAGACAAATTTTTTATTTCCCTTTTGAATTTTTCTTCAACATTTGTCGATGTTTTCTATGGTAGATAGACATCAGCTACTTAGAACCTGTCTAATCCTCTATGGCATCGTCAACATGGATGATAGATAGTAACAGTTTGCGCAGTCATGCAGGTTAAATAGAAATATCATAGTTGCCAACTAGTTGAACTTGTATAGTATTAGGACCTGTAAAAAAAATCTACCACCAGTAATCTTCATATACCGTACCTCCCTCAGAATCAGAATCAGCAGCACCATCGTAGAATCCATCCATGACTTTGATAGCCTCCCAGCTGTTTTCCTGAAACAGCTTCCGGAGAGCGTCCGATGCTTCCTTGAAGAACATCGGACTTGAACCACTGCGGCGGGGGTAAATGCATCTCAATGCCGGAGAGTCATCTCGCTTGACCGCAACGTCCGCATCACCTCGGTCAATCACAATGTCCACAGTATCTTCGCAGTCAGTGTCAAGATCACTGTCGCTGTCATCCTCATCGCTGTCCTCGTTCACTAGCAGATCAATTCTTCCGGCCTGAAGACTCTCCCATTCTTTGCTTTGCCGTAATCCATCCACTAGATAGTCTGCGTAGGAAGGCACACTGAGCCGGACTCTCCAACGCGAGTATGGGCGAAACCGAGTGATGATATTATCGCGCCATGTTTCCAAGGATAATATGTCATCCCATGGATCCGAGTCGCCCGTCGTCGCATCCATCCACAGCCGTCGGTAGCCATCCGCCTCAAGAAGAGACTTGAAGCACTGCGAAGTGTGTATATCCGTGTAAGGGCCTCCACTAACTCCGGAGTGTACTCTAAGGAGGTCAAGCTGCAGGCCCGGAAACAGTCCAAGGACCGCACCGAGATGAAAGTATCGGACACCTTCTGCCGCTGCATCGTCATCGTCGTCGTCGTTGTCGCTGGTGCGGCTCATGTCTCCCCGGCCTCCCTCGGGTGCATCCGACTGGGAATCGTCGTCACCAGAAAAAAGGTTGAAGCCCACGGCAAAATGCCAAACTCTCAGATTTCGTAGCTGGGTGATCTGTACCGGGCTCATTTTACTCAGAAGATCGATCACGTCGGCGTTGCCATTACACTTAATCTCCAAGTTAGGGATCGCCAGTGACTCTGCCTCCCGATAGATCAGACGACAGACTCGCAGGATAGCGAGAGGGTCTTTGTTGATGAGTCGACGGTAGGGTCTTCGGCCTATAGAGACTGATCTAAAATACTCGACATAGATCATATGGCGGATCTCTGGAGGTAGGGAAAGAAATGAGAGTGAAGACTGATGGGTATGCATGATTTTGCTTGTTGAGAAAGATTCTGACGAGAGATGATGTTTCAAAACGTCAAATCAACAACGACACGACAATGAAAGACTAGCCAAATGCAGAAGAGAATAGAAATGTTGATCCGTTAAACAAGACATAGATAAGTTAATATACATATACGGCGGAAAATGGAGCGCGTTCACTCTTTAGCGTCTATAAGGTTATTGGTTGCCTGAGCCTCACTCACTAGTCGTATTGTTGCCTTGTGCCTGCCTATCATCGACCACCATCTGCCCTTGCGCGTGCCTTTATAGAGAGATGTACATAGACGGAAGATGGTGTAATGAATGAGAAATCTTATTATTCAACTGCTGCAGCTGACCCGTATGTGCAAGATAATGTGGTTTATATAGAGCCTCCTCACATCCCCAACCCCTCCTGCCGAGAGATACGCCGGATCTCTGCAATGGCCTTGCGCCGGTAGTCCGACTCGGCGAACAAGGCCTCGATCAAGTCGACGACTTCGTCGGGCGAGAATTCCAGCCGGAGTTCCCCTTCCACCCACAGGAACTTGATGTCGGCCAGCGAGCTCTCCAGGATGTTGACGAGGTATTGGAACTTGAGCCAGTTGCGCACATAGACTGCTGTCATGGGGACTGCCTCCTGCTCCCCGTGGTTAGACGATCGGGGCACGAACAGATCCTCTAGCTGGGAGACCCGACTGCAGAATTCCACCAGCCGTTGAGACTGTGGCTCTGAGATGTCTCCGAGGTCCTCGATGTCGATGATCATCTTGTTGATTATCGTGGACACCAGCGACCCGATTGATTGGAGGAGTGCGGAATGCGAGAGGATGGGTTGCCACTCCGTGTATACGTCGCGGATTCGGTCGACCGCGGCGCTCACGGCGTTCTCGCACTCGCCGAGGAAAGGTTGCTCGGAGCATTGGCCGAATCCTTGAGCGCCGTCGAGGAGGTCGGTCACGATCGTGCGTTGCGTCTGCATCTCCTTGGTGTAGGCAAATTTGCCGAATTTGGCCAGCGCCTCGATGTCCGGCTCGAGCCGGGTGAGCTGATGCTCCTCCACGATCCCACGGATCTGATCGGCTAGGTACAGGCTATCGTTGTACAGATACATCTGACCGGAGCTCAGCTTCATGCCGTAGAAGGACGACGCTGTGGCTTTGAACATGGCAAGGACCAACGTGGGAAGGGCAAGAAGGCCGGCTCCCGAAGAGACCACGCGAGGGTGGGAATGTCTGGAAAAGATGTTAGTATCCGACATGCACTGGGAGTTGATGAGAACCTACGTCGGCTGTGAAATGGCCTCTGCGTCTTGCACTTGCTGCAGAACAATCCGGAGTATAGACGAAGGGATGTCTGTGACCGTGTATACCTCTCTCAGGGTAATCTCCTTGGGAGAATTAGAAGAGGGCGCCGACTGCTTGCCGTTCGCTGGGTTGGTCGCACTTGATTCCTTGTGCGGTGGATCCTCCGGTGCCTCCTCCTGATCCTCGTCACCCCAGCCCCAGGCATCAGCTTCATCATCGTCGTCAGCGGCTGCATCAGCCTCCTCTTTCGTGTCGTCGTCCAGCCCCCAAGCGCTAACATCTTCCTCATCATCCTGCGCGCTCGCTTTCGGCGCTTTGGAATCGTCTTCATCGTCATCCCACTCCGCATCCCAGTCATCAGACGGGGGCTTCTCCAGTAAGACATCATCTTCCTGGGAGACTTGCTCTTTTTCCACCCTTTCCACTTGCTGGGTGGTACCTTGGCTCGCAGCAAGGACTTTGCGAACCTGGTCCAACGAATCGACCCGGCGTCGGGCCAGCCAGAGACGAGGCGCTTGGTTGACCCAGGAAACGAGCTCTTCCTGACCTTGCCACCCGAGAGACTCAATCTTCTTTGCAAGCCCAAGGACGTCATCCAACATGCGTTCAAAATCGCCCAGGCCGGTTAGATCCGTCGGGATCGCCGAGGATAACCAGGACGCAATCACTTTGGAGGAGAGCGTCGGGATGAAATTCGCCGAGAAGGGGTCGACAACCGTCGACGGGAGGCACTGCCGTAAGAAATCCAAGACCGTGGCTACGCGGTCTAGGACCTCAGAGACCGTTGCTTCCGATGGCTCCGGTCCGACTTGTAGCGAGGAATTGTTCACCTGTAGCGCGCGACTGTACCCATCGCGACCCGGCACCAGGATAGGCTCGACAACGGCGGATATGAGGTCGTTCTGGAATTTGTCGTTGGCCGCCGCAAGCAGATTCAGACGAGACAATGCCGAGATGGTCTCGCCGAGAGAGTTTTCTGTTGAACATTTAACACGAGTCGCCCATCATGTACTTGAAGCAAACACTTACCGTTGTTATCCACGACCTCCAACTTGCGCTGTTTCTTGTCGACATTCAACTGCTCCGCCCAGCGCGTGTGGAGAGACACAATGATCTCCCGTCGCAATTCGGCAACATTCTCAAAGAGGACGTGCATCACATTGGTGTTGGAGAACAGCCTGTCCTGGTTGACGGATCGTTCCACCTCCTCCAACGTGTCAATGGCCTTCATCACCCGCCCCTCTCTCAGCGTCCCCCGCCCGGCCTCGAGCTGCTGATAGAGTCGCTGCACCTCCTCCAAGGCGCGCGTCACCGCCTCGTTGAACACGATTTCCGTCTCGACCAACCCAACCTTGGCTGCGGCATCCTCGACCTTCATCTGCAGCGGTTTACTGTTCTCGTGCTGCGCGACAATCTCCCGGGCCGTGACCCTCGACCGTTCTATGTCCGCATGAAGCTGTTTCGCTTGCGAAATCCATCCATCTGCGTCGAAATCATTTCCCCGGCTCAGTGAGCTAATCTCGGCCTGTCATTCAAAGTAGGGGATTAGTCCTCCGTCGTGTTCCGTATAGAGCATCCCCACTTACTTCCACCTGTACTCTCGCCTTTGCCAATAGCTCCAATTCATTACTGAGAGCCGACGCCGGGAATTCAGCAGCGATTACCTGCTCCGACGCTGGATAGGTGCCATCGGCGACGAATTCCAGGACGGATTGGCACACCTCCTGCTCCGACGTTTTCGACGTCATGTTTCCACTTGGGTCACAATCGTTTCTCTAATAACGAATAATCCAGAATAGACAGAGAACCACACGTCGAGCGACTAGAAGTCAATGTGGAGCAGTGGATGGTGGAAAGAAGACAGCAATGCAGAGAGGCCAGATGAAGGTCCGCCTCACCGCCTTTGAGGCCCAAATGGCGATCATCGTATGTAATCCACCGTCTTCCCTTCTTCTCTACGCGTTCAACTCTGTCTCTGTCGTCTGGGAATGCTTCTTCTGGCTCTTTCTTTGATGATACCCTTCCGTGGAGATCATGCGACAATGTGGACACCCTCCTCGCCATCTATACTACCTCCGTGAGGCTCTTGATGGGTCGCTATTGATCGACTCTTGAATCCAAGGACATACTTCTGGGACTCGTCTTGATTGGATTGGAGTCAACTCCACTTCTCCCCTCCCCAGCAGGTCAACTGTCCGTGGTCCACGACACATTTCCGACATTCTCTCACCCATTGTTCCTGTTTCATACATCTCTTGTGTGAAGAAGTGTCCAACGTGTCGTTTCGTTTGTTTCCACGAGGCTTGGTTGGGGCTTTTTCCTCTCGTTCGATGTAAGTTGGTCTGCTCCTCTTTTTACTTGTCCGCGAACGGAGACAACTTTGGGGAGGGGAAAAAAGTGAAAGAAAGGGTGGGAAAGGAAAAAAGTCGAGGAGAAAAAGAAGAACGCTATGACTGCCTAAGACACATGCGAAAGACGAGACCGAAGGACTATGATAGATCTCACCTCGAGGGTCATTCTTCTGGCTTTGTTGCCCCTCTTTTTACTTCGTCGCCCCCCAGTTCTGCAAGGAGGACCCTCCCCACTTGGCCGTGAGGATAGTGTTCTCACGACGTCACCCGCGCCCGTCTCATACAGCTCATGAAAGGATAAATTGCTGACTGCCCCCCCCGCTAGATTGCTCCGAGAAGTCACGGTCAGTTCTCGGATCGAGACACGCCACCAGAGATTCTCCCATTCCCTCCGCAAGATGTCACCCAGTCAACAAACCCACTTTAAGCTGCTCCAGAAGTTCAAGCCGGAGTACTCGCCTAGCGAATTTGTTCAATATGAATCGGAGCGCACGGGCATGCGGGTTGTGGTCATCGACCAGCAGGGTCCCAAGGTGACGGGGTATTTTGTCCTTGCCACCGAGATCACCGATGATTCGGGCGCCCCGCACACGTTAGAACACCTGTGCTTCATGGGGTCGCGCAACTACAGATATAAGGGATTTCTCGATAAGCTCGCCACGCGGGTCTATTCGAGTACTAACGCCTGGACAGCCACCGATCACACCGCGTATACGCTGGATACCGCAGGCTGGGAAGGCTTCGCGGAGATCCTGCCCATCTATCTGGAGCATGTCATCGCGCCGACCCTGACCGACGAGGGCTGCTACACCGAGGTGCACCACATCGATGGCACCGGAAACGATGCCGGCGTCGTCTATTCGGAGATGCAGGGCGTGCAGAACAATGCGGCGGAGCTGATGGATCTGACCGCCCGGCGATTGACTTACCCCCCCGGGGTCGGATTCCGGTACGAGACCGGCGGGATGATGGAGCAGCTCCGGGTCCTGTCGGCGGAGCGCATCAGAGAGTTTCATCGCGAGATGTACCAGCCGCGGAACCTGTGTCTGGTCATCACCGGTGAGGTCGACCAGGCGAACATGCTGGAGGTTCTGGATAAATTCGAAGACACCATCTTAGACGTAATTCCCAGCCCGGAGTCGCCCTTTAAGCGCCCGTGGGTGGATTCGAAGCAGGCTCCGCCGCTGGAAAAGTCAGTCCTGTCGAGGGTGGAGTTTCCGGAGGAAGATGAATCTTTTGGTGAAATAGAGATTCGGTTCCTGGGCCCTGATTGCTCCGACCCAGTTCAGTGTCAGTATTCCCACCCCTCTGGCTCTCTTTTGAGGAGCCATATATTTGATAGAGTGAAGCTTATGCCATTGTAGCGGGTGCGCTGAATGTATCCCTTCAGTACCTGGCGGGGTCGTCTGCGTCCCTGCTGGACAATATCCTCGTCGAAAAGGAGCAGCTGGCCAGTGCGGTTTTCTATGCCACGGACGACCACCCTAGTATCGAAATCCGCTTCACACTGACGAGCGTGGAGACTGAGAAGCTGGCCGAGGTGGAGAAGCGATTCTTCGACGTGCTCAAGGAAGCCATGGACAAGGAGCTCGATATGAGGTACCTGAAGGAATGTATCGACCGGCAGAGGCGGACCTGGAAGTTCTCCACGGAGAGCTCCGCGTCTTCGTTTGCGGAGTATGCCATCTCCGATTTCCTGTACGGCAAGCGAGACGGTTCGACCATGCTGGATGTTGCCACCCTGAAAGAATACGACACCCTCGAGCAATGGAAGGAGACGGAATGGCGCAGCTTCATCAAGAAATGGATCTCCGATGCGCCCCACGTCACCATCCTGGGTGTCCCATCCACCAAGATGTCCGACACGCTGAAGCAGGAGGAAGAGTCTCGCGTCGCAGCGCAGAAGAAGCGCTTGGGCGAGAAGGGGTTGAAAGAGCTGGCGGACCGCCTCGAAAAGGCCAAGGCGGAGAACGATAAGGATATTCCAAAGGAGATGCTGGGCAAGTTCGAGATACCTGGCATCGAATCCATCCACTTCGTGGAGTCGACCACCGCACGATCCGGCGAGGCCCTCAAGGCGGGACGCCCGGCGCACAAGGCTCAGCAGATCGTCGATGCGGACGGCTCAGACCTGCCGCTGTTCATCCACTTTGAGCACATCCCCAGCAGCTTCGTGCAGCTCTCCCTGCTGATCTCCGCCGAATCGGTACCGGTCCACCTCCGCCCCCTCCTATCCGTGTACACGGAAGCGTTCTTCAACGTCCCGATCAAGCGCGACGGCAAGATCATCAGCTTTGAACAGGTGGTGGTCGAGATGGAGCGCGATACGGTCGGTTATACGATGGAAGGAGCCAGGACCATGGGCAACTCGGAGATGCTGCGCATCTCCTTCCAGGTCGAGGTCGAGAAGTACGAGACGGCGATCGCCTGGCTCCAGGAGATCTCCTGGAACTCGATCTTCGACGTGGAGCGACTCCGCGCCATCACCAGCCGGCTGCTCTCCGACGTGCCCGACTCCAAGCGCAACGGCGACGACATGCTCGCAGCCGTGCACGTCATGGTCCACTACGCCCCCGAGTCGATTGTGCGGGCCCGCAGCACTTTGGTCAAGGCTCGCTACCTCAAGCGCATCAAGCGCCAGCTGGCCGACGAGCCCGACACCGTCGTGGCGCGCATGGAGGAGATCCGGGAGGCGATCTTCAAGCCCGAGAACATGCGCTTGCTCGTGATCGGCGACCTCGAACGGATCCCGAACCCGGTGTCCGCCTGGAAGCCGTTCACGGACCGACTGGGCGCCCCGGGCGCTCTCCAGCCCATCACCGCGCGACGCCCCCTGCTGAGCGAAGCGGGCCGGAACCTGGGTGGTCACTCATACGTGGTGCCCATGGCGACCGTCGACTCCTCGTTCGCGTACGCCACGGCACGCGGCCTCGACTCCCACGACGACCCGAACCTTCCCGCATTGCTAGTAGCGACAGCCTACATGAACGCGGTCGAAGGACCGTTGTGGGTGGCGGTTCGCGGCAAGGGCCTGGCATACGGCACCAACTTCGCATACAACGTTGAAACCGGGTTCGTCAACTTCGACGTGTACCGGTCTCCGAACGCGCACAAGGCGTTCGAGGCCAGCAAGCAGATCGTCGAAGACCACCTGTCCGGGGCGATGCCCTTCGACCCGCTGATGATGGAGGGCGCGATCAGCAGCATCGTGGTCGGCTTCGCCAACGAGCAGGCGACGATCGCCAGCGCCGCGCTGGGCAGCTTCACGCGGCAGGTGGTGCGCAACCTGCCGTCGGATTACAAGGAGAAGCTGCTGCGGAAGGTGCGGGACACAGGCGTGGAGGACGTGAAGAAGGCTTTGAAGGAGATTATCCTGCCCTTGTTCGCGCCGGACACGGCTAATATTGTTGTTACTTGTGCTACTGTGATGGAGGAGGTATGTTCATTCCCTTATTTTCTTACCTTGAATCTATTCCCCGGCAGATACGCTAACTGAATTATCGAACAGACCATCAAGAACGGCCTCGAGGAATCCGGCTTCAAGCCCCAGGTGCAGCCGCTCAAGGAGTTCGAAGACGACTACGGGTTGAAGGTCGACGGGGACGAAGCCGAGGAGTCGGACGAGGACTCCGAGTATGAGACGGGATCTGAAGATGATGAGGAAATGAGCGACGCTTGATTTGTTAGATCTGCTGTTAGATCTATATGGTAGAAAGAAAAAAAGAGTAAAGAAAAGAATAATGAAAGAAAGAAATGGACTTGTTTCCATGTTTTGGTTGCTGGTTGTATCTGTATCTGTATCTGTATCTTTGCGCTCGTCACTGGGATGATTAGAATGTGTCTTCGTTGTGGGGTATAGTATAGACCATATGTGACATGATCTGTGTTGACTACGAAGCAGTATCTTATCTAGCTCTGGCGCAATGGGATCATAGATCAGAGTAAGTACGAAGACAGGATGATACCGATAGGTAGAAGTAGAAGCAGAAACAGGTACATATGTATGTATGGTACACGGAGTTGAGCCGGAGGCAGGACGTATCTCGAGCACGCACTCAGCAGTATGCCTCGGCACATAATCGAGAGAATAAGAAAAAGGGGAAAAAACACATCTATAAAAACACAACCCAGGACAGTAAAGAAAGCCTGTAGCGATCAGGCGATCATCATCCCCAGTCCTTCCCTTCCCTTCCCCTTCCCCTTGACCATATCAAGACAAGACAAGATCTAAGAAGCAATCACCCTCCCCACCCCCACATAAAAGGAAGAGCCAAAAAAAAATGAAAGAAATCACCAACTCAAACTCTTCCTCCCCTTAGCCCTCCTCCGCTGGATAATCAATCTCCCCCCACGAGAGCGCAGGCGCGCCAAGAACCCATGACGGCGTTTCTGCACCCGTCGCGACGGGTTGTACGTTGCGCGCTTGCCGGCCAGGGAGGTACTCGCTGAGAAGGACCGGGTTTGGAGGGCGAGGCTAGGCGAGAGAGGAAGACTCGGGGAAAGAGATGAAGAGGGAGAGGGAGAGGTGAAAGCGGAGGGGCGGCGGATGGCGGAGAGGACGGATTGTTGGGGCGTGTGGATTGTTGAGAGGGTGCGGAGGGGGGTGGGTTGGATTGCTCGGGGGATTTGGAATCTATGGTTCGGTTAGGCTTGTATTTTCTTTTGGTATTGGAAGGTGTTGTTAGGGGAGTGAGGAGGTGAGTTGAGGAAGGAGAGTTGCGATGTGGCTGGGTTGAAGATTGGAGATTGAAGATTGAGTATTGAATAGTCTGATGGAGAGACATACCGAGCAATTGGCGCAGCAGGAGCCTTAAAGGCGGAGGGCAGGGCCCTGCACCGGAGACAGAGCATGATGTTGAGGATGTTGTGGAGGAGGACGTGTCCAGAGGTTGAGTTGGTTGATTGAGAGTGAATGAGATGAAGTTGGAAATTGAGTCGAATCTCCGGCGGAGCACGTGCACAGACCATCCCGGCCGAACTTTTTTCTTTTCCCAAAGTCTTCATATACAGCATTCCATTCCACTTTTGATATCGCAAGAAAACTGCTAGACGGTTTAATTCCTCTCTTTTCTTTTGTATTGTTACTCAATTGATCTACAGTTACGGAGTACACTCGATTAATAACACTTGACATCTACACTACCTACAACCTCTACCTACATACACAACCTACAAATCAACCACCACCACCACCACCACCAAAACCTACAGAAGAATATAATAAAAATGACAACAATCCCCGCCCCCCTCCCCCCCACAACCCTCCTCACCAGCAAACCCATCTCGCAATCAACAGCGCACGACTTCCTCGCCGCCTACCTCGACCGCGCCAACACCGACCCCGCGCTTCAACCCAACGCCGGCATCAGCGAGCACGGTCCCGTCTCGCGCACGACGGCCGCCGCGCCCAACCTCATGCTGCACAATCTCAAGCGCGTGCAGGCTGGTCTTGCCGGGGAGGTGCTGGGGAGAGATCTTGCGCTTGCGAACTTGAGCGCTGAGGGTGGTGCGGCGCAAACGAACGGCGGGGCGGAATGGGAGGATGCGAAGGAGTTTGAGGTCAAGGAGCAGCCGGATGTGGTCCAGTATGAGGATGAGGGTGAAGGGGTGCCGATGGAGGTTGATGGTGATGGGGAGGGTGGGGTAGATAAAGAGGAGAGGAAGAGGAAGAAGAAGGAGAGGAGGTTGGCGGAGAAGAAGGCCAAGATGAATAAGAATAAGGATTAACTGGGTTCTTCTTCTTGTTGTTTGGGTGAATGATTTATGTTGGTGTGGAAAGGTTTACTGCATGGGCGTGTTTCCTTTTTTGTTTTTTTTTTCTTAATTTCTTGTATTCTTATTTAGACGGAGTTGGGTTATCTTATTTCTGATGTTGAGTATCATTCTATAAAATACACCAGATATCATATTCGTGCTCAAACTCCCCATTCATGTTGAAACGACCACGTCAATCATGACCTTACAGCTCGCGATCACTGGCCTTGACCGGCTTCTCGCTATCCTCGGTCACACCGCCAGTGACCTTGCCGCCCGACCAGCCCAGCGCCTTGAGTCGCTCCGACAGGATAGGGTGCGAGTAGTGATAGCTGGCGTACATCCAGTCGGCATCCATGGTGCTCAGGTTCTGGATCTGCAGTTTGAGCAGCGACGAGGCGAGCTCCTTGGAGTAGCCCAGCTGCACCGCGAAGGCATCTATGGAGGTCAGAACCACACTCACCAGAGAGGGAGAGATAGATAGAGAGAGGGAGAGATAGATAGAGAGAGGGAGAGAGGGGGGAAGAGAGAGAGAGAGAGAGAGAGAGAGAGAGAGAGAGAGAGAGACATACCAGCTTGGAATTCAAAGCGACGGCTGAGAATGTTCATCAAAAGCTTGACAACCGCATCCATCGGAGCCAGAGCATCCGAGAAAAGCAAGAATCCAACCATGATGGGCATCTCGTTGTAGAAGCCAAACGACTCGTACAACGACCGGTTGTTGACAAACACCGAGAACAGGGCGAAGATGTAGAACATGTGGGACTATTTTCGAAGATCAGCTCAGTCAAAATTCAGGAGGGATCAAATCACGTACCTGCGCAATACCAAACAGCTTGGTGGTGTGGCTCAGGCTCCAATGACCCAGCTCGTGACTCAGGACGGCGACGACCTCCTCGGGCTCGCTCTTCTCAATCAAGGTATCATAGAGGACGATGTGCTTCTTCCAGGGGAGTCCGTAGAAGTAGGCGTTGCTGTGGGCGCTGCGCTTGCTGCCGTCGATGACGTGCAGCTCCTGCAGCGGGAAATCCAGTTTCTTGGCCAGTTTCTCCACGCCCGACTTGAGCGCACCGGGTTCGAGAGGCGACAGTTTGTTGAACATGGGCAGGATAACGATCGGGTAGATGGTGATGGCGAAGACTTGCACGAACACACCGAAGAGCCAGAGGTAGTAGAAGAACGAGTTGCCGGTTTTCTGGACGATCTTGAGCACCGCACTGATGATAGGCGTGCCCAGAACGATACCCAGAAACTGGCCCTTGATCATATCCGTAACCCAGAGCTTCGGCGTCTGCTTGTTGAAGCCGAACTTCTCCTCGAGGACGAAGGTGCTGTAGTACGAGACGGGGAGAGACAAGACCGTAGAGATAATGTTGAATCCGAAAACGAACAGAAGCGTCTGCGTGATTTCGCCTTGGAACCGAGTAGGGAGATACGTCGCTAGGAAGAACCCGCTGGCGCCCCAGAGCTTGGGGAGAAAGTCACCGTAGATGAACGCGAGGTTCTGGACTTGCGCGTAGAGACCGGAGAAGAAACTGAACTTGGCTTTGGCGCGACCGTACGCCTATTGATTCATTCCATCAGCAACCGTCTTCCAGCCAGATGGCGATGGATTGAGGGCTACCTACCTGACTGCGATCGAAGACTTCCTGCGACACCTCCTCCTTCAACACCTGCGGGGGCTTGGTGCGCTGCAGGACCTTAAACTGCCGGAACGACAGAAGTCCCTCCAGGATAAACTGGCCCAGGGAGAACCCCACGAGGACATTCTTCCAAGGGAACAGTGGGCGGTCCAGCAGACGCGCCAGTTGCTACAGCGGATTGGACTAGGTTAGCTCTCTCTATACATCGTCACACGTCCATAACCGGACATCCTCTTCGCTAGGAAAGGGTAGGTACCTCGAGAATATACATGATGACACGCGCAGCACAACCAACAATCCGTGTTATGCTGTTTGTGTTGGTGGAGGGGAAGATGGATGAACAAAGAGAAGGTGAGGTGGAGTGTTCAGGGTAAGCGGACTTAATGCCACTTAGTCAACAAACAAACCCTCCCGAGGATCTGACATGCCAGATATACGAGATCAACATCAGCGTCCACTCGTGTCCGACGATTAGATCTGTCTTTTTTTTATTTAGATGGGTTACGAGGATTATTGAAAGATATGGTCTAACAATGCTGTAATTTCTCATCGCATCTCGTCGTTCTGACTTCTCTCTCCCTTCATAAAAGACCGGTGACATCTACAGAGGTCCATGCATGTTCAAAGAAGAAATAGAAAAGGGTAAACGTCCAAGGAAATATAAAACGGAGAGAAAAGAAAAAAAAAAAAAATAGAATGAGGAAATTTTTTCACGAAACAGCGTCATAACACACGTCAAAAGGAGCCAGTTCTACTCCATCCCCCCCCAACCCAACTCATCCCGGTGGATGCAAGGGAAAACGCCCAAAGACAATCGGGGGAAGTCTCCATCCGAGTTACCAGAAGGGTAACCGACAATCTCCTACGTTCGTGATTCAGGGCGTGGGCCTGAGAAAACCCCTTGTCCGTGACCGTAACCGATTCTTGACAGCCCTTCCCCACGAGAATGGGAGCTGCCCGAGAATCGCACGGGAAAAGGGAAGGAAATAGAGATCGATCTTTTCAACCGCCTTGGAGGATCTTCTTCCCCTCCCTTCTACCGCCGGTTGGGTCGAGCTGAATCTATCCACGAGCGTCGGCTCGTTTAGTTCAGGATGGGCTCGAGGGTGTTACCACTGTTCGTAATTAGAATCTGCATTTGCCACGATAGGGGATTCGTGGAAGAGAGGGGGAAAACTTACGCAACAATGTTGGCCCATCCAATCAGACGCCAATGCTTGTCGATTCTCCGGCTGATGGCAATCTTCTCTCCCACCTCGGTACAGGCCGGGCTGGTCAAGCTGAGCTTAGCGGCATCGGCCTTGACACCCATCACCTTGGCGCCCGTGGCCGTCGAGCCGATGTTGACCATGAGCACTTCGTTCTTGCTCAGCTTGGCAACCTTGGCCTGCTTGCCGTCGGCGGTCTTGACACCCAGCAGGCGGCGCAGCAGGAAGTAGTTGACCTCCAACTCGGTGTAGATGGCGGGGAGGCGGCCGCGGTGGCCCAGAACGAAACCGACGAGACGATCGGCACGGCACAGGGTCGGGTCGACGCGGGTACCCACACCGATCAGGCCACCGGGGACGGCAAACTTGAGATCGTTGTGCTCGGCGAACAGGGAGACGATGCGCGAGAAGATGGGGCGACACTGGATCTTGCCGTTCTCGTCCTTGGTGACGAGACCGGGACGGATCTCGATCTCGTCGTTGAGCTTGAGCACACCGGTCAAGATGGAGCCACCGGCGACACCACCCTTGAGGTCCTCGATCTCGGCACCGGGCTTGTTGACGTCGAAGGAACGAATGACGATCATGTGCGGCGAGGCGGTGAAGTCGCGCACGGGGACGGGGATGTGGGTGACGAGATGCTCGTTGACCGCATCGATGTTGTACTTGAGCTGGGCGGAGATGGGGATGATGGGGGAGCCGTCGGCGACGGTTCCGCGGATGAACTTCAGGATAGACTGGTAGTGCTGCAGAGCACCATCCTCCCTCATCAGGTCGACCTTGTTCTGCAGGATGACGATGTGGCTGAGCTTCATGATCTCGATGGCGGCCAAATGTTCCGAGGTCTGGGGCTGCGGGCACGTTTCGTTTCCGGCAATCAGAAGGAGGGCGGCGTCCATGACGGCGGCACCCGACAACATGGTACTCATGAGAATATCGTGCCCGGGGCAGTCAACGAACCTATATGAGAGAGATCAGCCATGCGGGTTCTCCATCCCCCACCCCCCCGAGACACACACCGCGGATAAAATGATGACTTACGAGACATGGCGGAGCAGACGGTAGTGACCCTGGCAGCCATCGCGCTCACACGGGGGATCGACCTCCTTCTCACTCTTAAAACTCTTATAGCACGTCGGGCGCGGGCACTCGGGGTTGTCACACTTGTAGATCTTGGCGTTGGCGTAACCCAGCTTGATGGTGATATTGCGCTCCAGCTCGTTCTTGAAACGGACAGTCTGGACCTCCGAGATGGCCTTGACCACGGTGGATTTCCCGTGAGCGACGTGACCAATGGTACCGATGTTGATGGTGGCCTGGCGGGCGATGATTTCGGGGGACAACGGGGTCAGCGTGGAGAGGTCCAGGGTGGTCGGGTCCGGCTGCTCGGGCAGGACGGGGCGCTTCGGGGGCTGAGGGGCATCGGACTTCTTCATGGCCGACTTGACGGGCTTCTCGCCCTGATCGAGGGGCTCCTGGTCCTCAACCTCACCATGACCGTTGGCGCCCAAGACGGGGGAACCGGGATGGGACTCGTCGTCGGAAAAGTCACCGTTGGTCGCCATGATTGCGGTTATGTGATTCCAACGCTATCTCTATCGAAATATGAAGGAAATCAAGAGAAGGGGGGAGGAGGAGAGGGGGTGGGGTTGGATTGATAGATGGATTGATGGGGTGAAAATTGCAGGCGTATATGATGATTTGGTGGTCACAGATTGAACTTGTGGTGGGTTTGTCTGGTGGGGGATTTCCCGCCTGTTGATTGGCGGAGAGGGTGGGCGGTGTGTGGTTTTGAATTTTTTTTATTTTCTGCCCGTTGACTCATCATCAATCCAGCAGGACGAAGTATGGAGTATATCATTTTCACATCCACCTCTATCTATCTATCTATCTATCTGTTTATATTTACTGGGTATATGAAAGATATGAGATGTGTTGATTATTGATTTGTTTGATTGACAGAAGAGTTATCTCACTGGCCCAATGAGCTCAAGGTACCAACTACCTCCAGGCTACCGAAGTAAATATATACATCCTGTCTCGCCGTAGGAGACACAATAAACTGTCTTACATTTATTAGAATATATCATATCCCCAGATCTCCTCCTGTTGTTATTATATCTTTCCACCCATAGTCATAAACCTGCGAGTCCTAGAGAAATTTGCAAGAGAGAGAGAGAGAGAGAGATTAGGACGACATGGTACCTGTTTAGTTGGAGATAACCCTACTAAACATTAGAAGTATGTACGGAGTATTTTATCAGGATCGTCCAGGATTGACTGGCGTGAAGCTCTGTGGACGTGAATAGAGAAGTATAGAAGTATAGAAGTATAGAAGTATAGAAGTATAGGTCGGAATAAGGTATGGACTCCATAACCCTAACGGTACCTCGAGTAGTTGGTGTATATGAATAGGGCCTGAGGCCTCGTCGAGTCTTTTACAATAGTAGAAAGTCCTTGGAAGTTCATTTCTACTTGCATAATTCTTCAAGGCCGTATGGATGAAGAATTGGGTACTCTGAAGTAGTACTACGAAGTAGACATGTTGATATAGTTATAGTTATAGTTTGTATAGTTGATATCCATAGTTGATATTTAATATCTGCACCGTCATGATCTACCTCTCCACCTAAAAAAATTACGGTCAGACCAGTCCGCGTGATTCAAGCGATCTAAGTGATAGCATGATAGAAGTGATCAAATTATTCACCTACTATCAAGGTATAAGTCGGCAATCATATCCTGCCAATCTGTCACAGACCATTGATTGTCGGCCTCAGGTGTCCACCTACCGGATGCGGCCGTGCCAATGGGGTACCCGCGGGATACCGTACGAATACCGTGTGAATACCGTCCGGTATCTGTTATTGACCCCCCAATTTCCCCTCCGGATGCATTCCATCCCTCATTCCTGGACGGACATACCATGATACGAATACACACCCGTTACCGACCACCTCTTTCTTTCTTCCCCTTTGACTCTCTCTCCCTCTCTTTCTCCCTGTTTTCCCTCCCCATTTCTCTCTCTCTACTGACTCTCTTACGGACTTCCTTTACTTCCCTTTCTTACTCTCTCTTCCTCACTAATCTTTCCCCCGACCGAAAAAAAAATCCCTTCAATTCATCCACCCCCAAAATACCCGTCCGTGAATCGCTTCCTCTATCCACACTGCCCCCTCTTCCCCCCCCATTTATCATCCATTCCCCATCCTTTTTATCATTTTAGAGCGATTTTTCCGGTCTGGATGACTTCGCTCTATCCACTCCCTTAATTTTTAGCGCGTGAATCGGATGCGGTGTTCCCGAATTAGAACTCGATGCTCCGGGACGAGCTCCTTAGGTCTAAGAAAGATGAGATCTCGTATGTTATTATTTTTTCCTTTTTTAATATTCTTCACCGACTCATCTTTTGGTTTCGCCCCCCTGCAATCTCGTGGTGTCGCTGATGACAATTGTTTAGACGTTGCTTGTTGTCGCGGAAGCGCAAATTGAGTGAGCTTTACTATGCGACCGTGGGCGTCGCGACCGCGACCGAGTCCGCGGTCTCCCCGTCCGTATACCATCAAAAGGAACAGGCCTTTTTGGACGCCAACGATCTCCAACAGTATGTTTCTTCTTATTTTATTCATTCATTTATTTCTCTTCCTTCGTTATTCTCTCGTTCTTGCTTCTTTCAATTCACCTGTCGCGTGGATGAAACATGTTCATTCGATGTCTATATATCCATCTGTCTATCTATCTATCTATATATGATAGGTTGATGTTGATATATCGATATACATCTCTTCCCTTACGTGTACTAACTCCCTCCCCAGAGGTCGCTACTTCAATGATGCCTCTCTGCCACCACTGCCCACCTATCTGGTCGCGCCCGCTAAAGAGGAGAGCGCCCCGGCGGTCGAACCCGCCGCCAAAGCCCAAGATGCTGCCCCAATTAGTCCCCCCTTGGCGGTAGACGCGGCCCATGCCTCTCCCGCTGGCGTGGACGGGCAGAGACCGGCAGCGCAGGTGCTCCCGGGCTCATCGCCGACGGGAAAGCCAGAGGCTGGAGCGCCCGCCAAACTGGCGCTTGGGGTCGGTCCGGATGGTGTCCAAGGACGAGACCTTCCCGCCCCGATCGCCACCCAGGCAGTCCCGTATCCGTCGGCGGAGCAGAAGCCCATCCCCTCCGTCCCGGAAACCCCCAGGAGTAGCCAGGGCCAGGACTGGGCCGACCTTGCGGGCTCGCCCGGACAGACGAAGCCCCCCCCCGCCGGGGTCGTTGCGTCAGACCTGGCTCCCGGCCAAAAGAAGCAGGATATGCGCCCATCGCTCGTCCTGGGACGGGCGGTCCAGGGACCCGACCAGCCCTTGTCGCCCGTCTCGTCGGCCGGTCCTTATTCCAACAACACCCCGGTTCCCGTCGCGGCGTCTCCGGATACCAGTCCGGTAGAGGAGGGCGCCGACGCTGCGAGGAAGTCGGCGCCGACACCAAAGCCCGAGGAACCAATCCAGGTACCGCCCGGGTTGGTCCCCTCGACGCCGGATGAGCAACTGCAGCTGGAGGCCGCGCAGTCCCTGCAGCACCGCACGCTGACGGCCAGCAAGACCATTGGGGACGCGGCGGCCAGTGGCCCCATCACCAACGAAGTCATCGACGAGAACGTCGGCCGACCCGTAACGAGTCCCCCAGCCGCCGCGGCCGCGGCCGCCGACGCGGCCCCGCCCCTGGAGCCCAAGACATCCGACGGCGTGGTGCCCGCCCCCGAGGAATCCAAGGGAACCCCGGCCCCAGACGCGCGGGACACGGTCCCGTCGGCGGTCAAGACGGAGCAGCAGCCCCCAGCGCCGGCCCCGGAGATCCCCACGCAGAAGAAGGCTACCCCGACCGGATCCATCCCCACCGAGCGGATGACCACCCGGGTGTCCTCGGGCGCGATCCGGCACAAATCGGTCTCGGAGATCCTTGGGGAAAGCCCCCGGCAGACCTCCCCACACGGGGACAAGCCGACCGTCATGCCGCCGTCCCCGTCCGCCTCGGCGCCCGACTCGCCGGCCAAGATGCGGTTCAAGGACCGGAAGGCGCGCGAAAAGGACCGCAGCAAGCTCTCGGCTGTCGTTTTTCCGAAGCAGCCGCCGCCCGAGAAGGCGGACTCGGTGGAACTGGTGCACCAGCAGGCTGGTGACGTCGCGCGCCTGAACGAGGAGCACGATTATCTGTTCACCCTGTTTCAGAACAAAGCCTGTTCCCCGCCCCGCGGGACCCATCTGAGCACGCTGCTGGCGTCGGCTCACAAGACGCTGACCACGGCCAACCACCTGCTGGAATACCAGGAGCAGATGGATTGCCGTACGCTGCGGCGCATCTATTCGCTCCAGAATGCCAACCGGTGGCCGTTGCGCCAGTTGAAGCGGTCGCTCGAGCCCCCCCGCCAGGCCACGCACTGGGACGCCTTGCTGGACCACATGAAGTGGATGCGCACCGATTTCCGGGAGGAGCGCAAGTGGAAGATCGCCGCCGCCAAGAGTTGCGCGGAATGGTGCGCCGAGTACGTGCATAGCGATCCGGAGCACCGGGCCCTGCTGCGCGTGCCGGTCCGCACGCCGTCCCCGCCGGCGCCGGCGCGGAAGAAGACGGAGCCCCATGCGAACATGATGTCGCCCCCGGAAGAGACCAGCGACGAGATGATGCCGGGGGTCATCTCCCATCCGACGCCCGACCTGGTGCCCTCGACCGAGGAGGACTCGGTCAGCGACGGGTGCAATGAGGAGCTCCGTCCCGACCTGGGGGACACCGTGGCCCCCGCGGCGATATTCTCTCTCGGCTCGGATGAATTCACCTTCTCGCTTGACATGACCCCGGCCGCGCAGAAGCTCCTGGACGAGTTGCCCATCTACGAACCCGTTCAGCTTGCCCCGGAGACCAACCTCCCCGCCTTCAAACAGCCGCCGGATGCGGTGTGGAAGACGGAGATTCTCCCCGTCTCCAAATATGCGGCCGGCAAGATCACGTTCCACGACAACGAACCGCCGCGGAAACGCAGCCGGTACGATTATTCGGCTTATCAAAATGGGCCTGAGCACCGGTTGATCGACCTGCCGGCCGAGCAGACCAACGTGGCGCTGTTTCGACCCGAGAACAAGCACATTCGCGACCGGATCCACCCGGGACACTCTTTCCGACCTCCCACTGAATACCCTATGCCCTCGGTGGGATTCTTCGAGTCGCGGCAGTCATCCCAGTGGACGTACGGAGAAGATGACGAGCTCCGGCGTCTCGTCAAGGATTATTCCTACAATTGGTCTCTCATCTCCAGTTGCCTCTCCCCCGCCTCGCAGTTCACGTCGGGCGCGGAGCGACGGACCCCCTGGGAATGCTTTGAACGCTGGATTAGCCTCGAAGGCCTCCCTGCCGATATGTCCAAGACCCAATATTTCCGAGCATACCACCAGCGACTTGAGACGGCCCAACGTACCGTGCTGGCCCAACAGCAGCAGCAGCAACAACAGCAGCAACAACAGCAGCAGCAGCAGCAGCAACAGCAACAGCAACAACAGCAACAGCAAGGGCAGCAGCAAACGCCGCAGCAGCAAGCGCAGCAAGGCACCAACAACGCACAGTCCCTCCCACCGGTTCGTCGACGAACGACGCAGCCGGTCCGTGTGGATCGCAAGAGGGCCTCCAAGCATTTGGCGTTGCTCGATGCCATGCGGAAACTGGCCAAGAAGCGTGAGACTATGCTTCAGAAACAACAGCATGGTAAGTAGACGAATCCCTTTGTCCGCTGATCTATGGGGACACCGGTGTATTAATCATGAACTTTCCCATTAGCTTCCCATCTGGCGTCCCTGAGAAAGGTCAACGAGACTAACCAGCCCAAACCGCCCATCTCCACCCCCGCTGAATTCAGCCGCATGAAGTACGAACGCGAGCTGAAGCTGCAGGAGCGGCAAGAGCAGTACCGGCAGCAGATGATCGCGCAGCAACGAGTAAGCCTTTCCTTTCCCCTTCCCGCGTGGCTCCTGGGCACTAGCGGACTGACAATCTCTATAGGCCAATCTTGCCGCGCAACGTGCCGGTCAACTGCCCAACCAGCAGCAGGCGGTGATGAATGCCCCGCCCGGACGGATTCCGAACGGGTTGCCTCACTCCTCGGGAACTCCCGCTCTTCCCGGCAACAACCCGAATGGGATGCCCAACGGATTGCCCAATGGGATGCCGCCGGGCGTTGGTGTGAACCAGAGCCGCCCTCAGCTGCAAGGGATGCCTGGACCGACCAGTGGGCCCATGGGAGCAGCGCAGATGTCGATGAAGGTGATGCCTCATTCCGGGATGCAGCAGAATCCGGGGGCCCGGCCTCCGGCAATGCCCATGCAGACGTCTCCCGACAACGCGCGGATCATCCGGGAAGCCAACCGTCTGCAAGAGCAACAGCGGATGTTGCAATCTCGGCAACAGCAGCAGCAACACACGCATCACCAGCCACACCAACAGCAGCCGCAGCAGTCGCAGCCGCACCAGCACCATCAGCAACACCAGCCATCGCAGACCCAGGCCCAGCCGGCGCAACCCCCGTTCCACAATCAGCAGCAATTTGTCCCCCAGGGATCCCATTCGCCGAACTTGAACATGTCGAATGTGAACAACAGCCCCAACACACCTGCCATGATGGCGGCTCTCCAGGCGAGCGGGGGCATGCAGAGCCCGTCGTTCCACCACTCGACGCCGCAAAGCGTGTCCACGCCTTCGCCTCGTATGGGCCAACCGAATCTGTTGTCGAACGGGGTGGTGCCGCAGATCAGCAACATCCAGAACCAGATCCAGCGCAACAATCCCAACATGCCCCCGGAACAGGTGACCAAGCTGGCGACCGACCGGCTGCACCAATACCAGCAGCAGCGCATGTCGCAAGTGGCCATGACTGCCGCCGCGGGCAACCTGGGTGGGGTTCAGGCCAACTATCAGATTCCGCACGATGGGAACTTCCAATCCCCTCCGGCCGGGATCAACGGTGGCCCGGGGATGCAAGTGCCCCCCGCGCAAGGATTCTCCCCTATGATGCGCGTGCCCCAGCCGACGCCGCAGAATCGGGCGGGCGTGACGAGTTCTCCGGCCGTGAACGGTGCCGTCCCTCAACCGAGCCGGAGTGCGACGCCACAAACCCAACGCAGTGGGAGTGCTCAAGCTGGGCAGATGCCGGGGTCGAGCAAGAGCCCCAATCCGCCCAAGGCTCAGACTGCTGCGGGGAGCTGAGCGTTGCAGTTGCAAGTTGCAAGATACTGTGGGACTTTCTCTGCTCTCGGCTTCATCCACCGGTTATTACCCTTCTTCTGTACATATTCATTTCCCTCCCCTTTTACTCCTTGACTCTACACTACCTACCCTTCTACCTACCTACCTACCTTCTACAGACCCTTCTATCCGTTGCTCTCTCTTTCCCCATCCCTCCTCCACCTTTACCTCTCCTGTGACGGCCGTACCTTACGATGAAAGTCACATTTACCCTTGATCCCCTTCTCTTTTTCCTATCTTTCCTTTTCTTTTTTTTACTTTTTACTTGACATGCTGTATTGGCATGGGACGGATTTACCCGAGATGCGCTGGCTGCATGGACGTGATACCAGTGCTCTACTTCGGGATTGGGTTTTCTTTCTTCTTTTTTCTACTTTTGACTTTCACGCATCTTTTTTATATTGTACCACATGTATTGATAGGACGCATTTCATTTAACAAAAAGGTACAGGGGAGTACTTTTGGAAGGCGGGGTTGGAATGGATGAGTTCCAAGAGCGATCAATGACTATGATTGTACGATTAGTTTTTTTTTATTTTTTTTCTTTCATTTACCCCCTCTATTTATGACTGGCGAGGGAACAGAGAACAAAAATACATTAATAATGAACCACATTTACACTTGAAGACGTTGATTCGGACTGCATACATTGTAGAAATCAGACATAGACCCAACCAATGCCTCAGGCAGCACAAGGCGGTGACTTTCATCCGGCCATTCCACACCGCCCAGGACCGCCATCGAGTAATTTGATCATCAACAGATGATCCATCCAAGTACTTCCTCTAGCGATCTGCTTGACTATTGCAACAACGATGGACACCCTGATCGCTATTATCCCATGAATGGACCGAGAAAGCGTCCGACACCCCGTTTTGATATTTCTTTCTTCCCGCCAACGAGACACAAAAAAGGCCCCACACGATGTCATCCCAGCAGCAGCAGCCGCGCGACGGCGCATCAAACTCCCCAGCCAAGCCGATTTCCATGGCCCTGGGCGGCAAAGCCGCATCGAACGGCGCATCCAAGAAGACAGCCTTTAGCTTCCAGAGCAGCAGCCGAAGCGGCAGCAACACGCCGACGTCACGCGCGCCCGAACGAACACTCGCCCGCCGCCCGCATCACGGCCTCCACGGCGGCGACTCTGACGATGAAAATGATGAGGAGGCGGCGCCCGTCCACCAGGAAGTCACGGGGTTTGACACCATGACGGGTACTGCGATTGCGGCCGACAAGTCGCATGAGAAGCAGCCGCTGGTTATTCCCGTGTCTAGCAATAATAACTGGCGCGATCGTCCGGGTGTGAACCTTGCGCGGCCGAAGGGCAAGAAAAATTTGCTTCCGAGGGAGGTGCAGGCGATGCAGGAGGCGCAGAGGAGGGGGGTTGCGAGTGGTGGGGGTGGGGACGTTGAGACGGAGGGACCGAGTATGGCGTATGGTTTGAGTCTTGCGCAGCCTGGCGCGGCGCAGCAGGGTGAGGAGTCTGGGGACGGGGACCGCTTGATGACCGACGCAGAGGGTCCTGCCGACGGGGAGACCCCGCAAGCAGCGAGGAAACCGCTCACGCAGGATGAGGTGGCGCTGCAGGCGCTGATTCGCGAGACTCAAGGCGATGCGGGGGACGCACGTCGGTCAGATCTGGTGATCGAGTCTACTGCTGGTGGCGACGGCCGATACGACGAGACGACGTCGTTCAAGGCAGATGTTGCAGCGCGACCCGAGCCAGCATCCCTAGACCAGTACAACGCCATTCCTGTCGAGGATTTCGGCGCTGCCTTGCTACGGGGGATGGGCTGGAAGGAAGGCCAAGCGGTCGGACGCGGCAAGTACGGCAGCAACAACGCCAAGGCGGTGGGAGCCCCAAAGGTTCCTGAGCGACGGCCTGGGTTCCTGGGAATCGGGGCTAAGGATGCCTCTGGGGGTAAGGGGGCGGAGGCGGAGCTTGGGGCTTGGGGGAGGGCGGCTATGCGCAAGGGGTCGAGGAAGTCTGGGAAGGAGGGTGAGCCGAATACCGAGGGCGTTTATATGCCTGTTATGATGCGGAATACGCAAACGGGCGAGTTCGTCACGGAGGAGGAGCTATCTGCTTTGCAGAAGGACTCGAAGACGAAGAAAGCGGATGACGACGAGTGGAAGGAACGACGAGATCGGAATCTAGAAAAGAGCGGCCGTGATCGAGACCGCGACTCTCGACGACGCCGAGACGACGACTACGACGATCGTTCGGAGAGGAAATCATCCCGACGAGATCGGAGTCGCTCATCCAGTGACCGACATTCCCGACGACGGAAGTACGACGACGACGATGACGATCGATACTACCGAGATCGAGATGATAAAGATCGTGACCGTCGTCGCGATCGAGACCGCGACAGCGACAGAGACCGAGAGAGGAGCCACCGATACCGAGACGATGACCGGTACAGCAGCTCGCGACACTCGTCGAAGGAGTCGAGTAGGCACGGACGAGATCGAGAGCGGGATCGGGATCGTGGCAGTGACCGTGATCGTGACTCTCATCGGCGACGGAGGTATGATGATAGGTGATCTATTATATACATCTACTTGTGTTGATGGGTGTGTTCGAAGGTTTAGTTGATACCATGTCATGATAGGGCTGTTCGATTCCAAGCTTGGAGGATAATGTCAACTATATTGCTTGTAAAATGGATAGCTATGAGATGATGATTTTGTATAGAATATTTTACGTATGATATTTGAAATCTAGGCTTTAACTTACATGGTTTGAAGTTTACAGAGTCAGCCACCAGCGTAGAATCCCAGACAAGACTTTTCTATATACATGCTGATTTCACCTCATCCATCCATCCCAAGAACGGAGAAGACAAGATAGAATAAAACAATGAAATAGAAGAGAATAAAATGAAAATACTAATACGATGCAAATGCAAATAAACAAACTAATGAATAAATAAATACCCCCATAATATAGCGCGCCGTGATATCACAAATAAAACAACAACAAAAGCAAGTCCAAACAGACCACACACACACCCCGTTGGATCTATCTATACATGTTCTCGTTTATTCTTTTGCTTTCCCTTTTTTGTATCGCTTTCCTTTTTTTAATTTTTGTTTTCATGGTTGAGGAAGTCTACACACCCAACATGAGGACGTCCTGCTCATGCTCCGGTACGTTGTCATCGTCGTGACTGGCGTCCTTCAACCCGTCTAAACCGACTCCGCCGCTCATTTCGCCGAGGACCCACTCGACGAGGTAGCTTTCGTCGGCGAGTTCCTCGATACGGCGGTAGTGGCGCTCCGTGTAGGAGGACAAGGCAATAAGGATATCCTTCATGCCAGCTGCAGTGCGGCGGTCGGTAGAGCTGCGCGCCATGCTGGAGGTAGCGAGTTCGATGAAAGTGGATGCGGGATAGGAGCGGAATAGGGCGAACAGGATGCGCTGGGAGACAGGGGCGGTGCGGGCGTTGGTGTTCCAATCGCGCAGGCGGAGGAGCAGGGTGCGGAGGTTTTCGGGGTCGAGGGTCTGGAGGACCTGGTCGATGGAGGGGTCGCCGGTGAGGCTGTTGGCTCGCTCGCTCTTCTGCGCTTCTGTGGCGTGTGGGTCATCGGCGGCGTCGACGGCTGCTTGGAAGAGGGAGAGGAGGCGGCCTGGGTGGTTGAGTTGGAGCGCGAGCGTGATGGCTTCGCGGTAGGCGCCGGCCCGGATGTAGTTCTCTAGCTGTTGGTCTTGCTCGATGCGTGCCGTGTTCGCGCTGACGGTTGCCGTGTAGGTCGCGGACGTGGTATCCGTCCAGAAGGTGACGGTGGAATCGGCGGATCCGGAGGCGAGGGCGTACGGGCAGGAGGACTTGAAGGTGGATGGGGAGACTGCGTCGTCGCGTTTGCCGGATGGGGTCGGACTGGCGAGGGCCCAGACGCGGTCGGTGTGGTTGTCGAGCGTTGTCTCGAGCTCGCCAGTGTAGGGCGACCAAATTTTCACAAGGCCATCTGCGGCGGCGGATGCCACCATGGGACGGGCTTGGGAGGCGGCGTGGGCGAAGGCGGCGCGGCCCTCCTCGTCGTCGTCCTCGCCGGTGCCAGAGAGGTCTGGAGGGGGCAGCCACAGCACCTTGAGGACGCTGTTCGTGTGGCCCTCGAAAGTGAGAAGACAGCTGTAGTCGGAGAGACTCCAGACTTTGATGGTCTTGTCACCCGATCCGGTCACGATCATGCCTCGGCTGGTGCTGGTGCGGGTGTCGTTGGTGATGGACGGGGTGCCGCGCGGGGAGAAGCGCGCGGACCAGACGCCTCTCTTGTGGCCGCGGAGCACACCGACGGTGGTGCCGTCCTCGGCCGACCAGATCTTCACCGTCCGGTCCTGGGAGGCGCTGGCGAACAAGGTGTTGCCCGGGCTGACGTCCAGAGCGTTGATGTCTTTCTCGTGGGCCTTGCGCGTGAAGATGGCCTTGGGGTGGTGCGGTTGAGAGGAAGCGAGCGGTGCGAGTTTGCCTAGATCCCAGCGCTTGATGGTCCGGTCCTGGGAGCCGGTGATCAGGAATGCTGGGGGGTGATTGACCGGATCGCGGCGGGCGGGGGTGTCGGCGGGCGGGGGTTCGCGGGGGAAGCTGAGGGCACCCAGGGTCTCTGCGTGGCCCGTCAACACTGCGAAGCACGTATAGGACGATGACTTCGGGTCGAGCCGCCAGAGACGGGCGGTGTTGTCCTTTGCGCCGGTGGCCAGCCAGTGACCGGACCAGTCCACGTCGATACAGATGATGATATCGTCGTGACCCTCCAGATAGGTCACGTCGGCGCCGAAATAATCCTGTTGTCCCTGGGACGGCCGGTCCTTGGACGGCCCCACCGACACGACCCGAATCGCCTCCGTGTTGCTGGCCAGAGCCAGCATTGACCGATCAGGCCCGACGTAGGCCAGGTCGATGATATCGTCGTCATTTCCAGAAATGCGTCTGATGACCGGCAGGGGGTCCAATCGCGACCCAGGTTTATAACCGGACAGGGAATCGAGGGAGTGGAGCCGGATGGATTGGTCGGCATGCACAGTCATCGCAAAGTCCAGACCGGGGGTATACTGGATGGCCATCACGGCCTCATATTCAGGGGCAGGCTCTTGGTCCTCGGTGACCTCGCCTCCACGGTTGCAGTCCCAGACGCGCAGCTTGCCGTTTTCACCGCCGACGACACACAGTCCGCTGTCACCCACAAAAGCCGCCGCCTCCACGCTCTCAAGAACGGGAATCACGCGGCGGGTCTTGAATGTCCGGACATCCCACACAATGACGGTCCTATCTCTGCCGGCAGAGATCAGCGCATTCTCTGACGGCGAATACGACAGACTCCGGACCACCGAAACGTGAGAGTCCAGAGACGCGATCGGTTTCCTCTTGTTCAGATCCCACACGCGCACTTTACCTTCCTCACTTCCCGACGCCAGCCGGAACCCTCCAATTGTGCTTCCCGAGGTGGTGAGATCACCCATCTCCTCATCGTCGTCGATTTTCTTCGATTTCTTCTTCTTGGACGACGCCGCCGCATCGTCATCTTGGATATGCACCTGGAAAAAGCACAGGGCCGAGATGACGCCGCGGTGTCCATGGAAGGTATGTGTGACGTAGCCGCCTCGGATATCCCAGATCTTCACCGAGCCATCTGCCGCACCGGTCGCCAGGAGCGTGCTGGTCGGATCGATCGCGGTGGTCACCACGGGTGCCACGTGCGGCTTCAGGGTCCGCACAAGTTTCGTATCAATGGTTCGGGAAACGTCGTCGAAGGGTGTCAGGGAGTAGATTTGCATAGACAATGATCGCGAACAGACCACCACGTGTGACGCCGACGGCGTAACTATGAATTCGTCAGACAAAGCACGACTGATCCTGGAACCGTCTTTACTTACTTGCCAAGCTGGTGATTATCTCGCCATCCTAGAGATCCCGTTAGCGACAACGAGTTTTGACACCACTAGGGCCAAATCTTACCCCTTCCAGACTGGCCAGCTGATCGCCCGTCTCCAAATCCACAACCAGCGCATCCTCACCCACACAGGTGACCAGAATGCGGCCACTCGCATCCAGCGCCGTACTTCCTCCGGTGTAGATGGGACGGAGGGTCCGCGACGCCTCAAAGGTCGTCTTCACCACGGCTTTCGACATGATTCGCACGAAGTTCCAGTGATGTCAGAGAATGGACAACTACTGCGCCATCACACACCCAAAAAATAAAGAGAGAATAAGCAGCGGGGGGAGATCGTCGAGTGTCGTCTAAGAAAGCGTGCGACGGAGCGAAGTATTTCGATCTTTTTTTTCGATGGGACGGCTGTTTGTTCCGTTTGTCCTGTTTGTCTCCGCCGATCCCCGCGGGTCCGTGCATCCAGCCGCATCTGACGCGACAACCGCCCACGTGAGTCGGCTTTCCGTCATTCCTCCATATCTCTCCATGTCGTTGATCTTCATCGTCTCTATCAGTTGCTGGACTGCTCCATACGGATTTTGAATCATGCCGTAACGGTCTTTGAGTGTCAATCCTTGAGTGGAGCCGCGCCATGGGGCGACAGGCGTATTTGAACAGGCTGGCTTTGGTAGGCTTCAACCCTCCACTCCGAATCTCCACACTCTCCTATCTATACTCGGCTCGCCCATCGTGGACGTGTGTCGGTCTGTTAGACGTCCACTCGTTTCGATCGTACTGTGGGAATATCGGATAGTTACTCGCATGTACTGGATCTCGTGTCCGCCGCGCATTCATCGCTAATGACAGAAACTGGGTCCATGAGCTAACCGATCTCAAGGGCCGATCGCCCTATGAAGCCCCGGAGCGCCCAGAAGGGTCGACAGTGAGGACGACGTACCGCACGGACTCCGGAATTCACGCGGATGACTATGTTCAACATTACGATGACCGGGGCCATCCGGTCAATCCAGAGTCCAAGTCATTTGGGCGAGAGCTTCGGAGAGCCAAAAATGACATTCTTTCAACGATGGGGATTGTCGTCAGCGAGGATGCAAAGGCCAGTGGGCCTAGTGAACAGCAGAAGGTCGACATGATAGCCGCGGAGAATGACTATGGTCTGGTCATGGCGACATTGGACCAAGTGTCAGTCTTTCTGGGGTCGTGGTGGACCTCGTCTCTCGCCGGCCGCATACAGGTGAGCCTTGCTTGCAGTCTCGAATATTTGCAACAAAACACAAAGGCTAATCGCATCGCTGTTGTAGACTTTTCGGAGTTATACACATGAGCCACTCATGAACATACTCCGGCGTGAGCGAGCGTCCGTGGGTATCGTGGGCTTCTACTTCGCTGGCATTCCGGCCTGGGCAATCTCGACATGCTTATCCATCTGCCGACACCATCCGCTCGAGCGCTTCATTTCGTCCTTGCAAAATCGCTTCCCTGGTGATGACATATGGTCGAAGATGGTGCGATCGTCTTTCACCTTCCTACATTCTGCGTATGGAACCTGAAGTCTTTCAAGTGACCCCGTGTACTTATTTATACCTTGCTCTAGGACCCGAGGCACGCTCCTTATAATGGCGATCCAGACGTACATGTACTCTCTCCTACAATCGCTTCACCTTGTCCATCCCTACGCGCTGCCAGGACTCCATTTTCTCATCCCATTTGGAGAATTCGCCCCCATGCAATTTCCCTCCTTGCCAACCGACTTCTCGCCGACATCGCTGGCCAGCTTTGCTCTGCATCTCGTCAAGACCCCGTCCTTCCTGGTGTATCTCTATGTGTACCTTCGACCTGTCATAGAGATACGGCTCTATCGTCTGATCCGTCGCCGACTGCCCAAGCCGACTCTGGCGGACGAGCTCTCCATCAAGGTGGCCTTCGACAATGATCTTATTGATTGGATGGTGCCAACGCTTGGGCGCCGATCCGAAGAAGAAAACCGTCGCAACTCACTCACACTTTTGGAAGATGTCATGTATGAGATCAGCTTCCTGAAAGACTGGGCGCTGTCGTGGGTGGGCTTCAAGTCCCAGCGAACAATACGTGCGCTGGAACAGGCAGCAGACGCCCGCCATAGACAGCTGTCAGAGTCTTTGCCGCCGAATATTGAACAACTGCGGAACGAGCTCCAGGCTACAGTTCATCGGGCAGAGCAGTCGACGCCTCCACAGCATCAACTCCCAGAACTCGCAGCCATACGCACTAGTTCGCCACAGACCCCAGCCACTGTTCAATCACCGGATTCAGGGGTCGACTTCGGCGGGAGCCGCGTTCTTCCGCATGAAGAGGATAGAATCTCCCATTCCCCTGCGGAGATGAGCGCCGAGGATTTCACCGGCATGCCTCCTCTAGATCGGACAAGAGCCGCACCCCCTACGGCGGGCCAGTCTTCCACTTCGGCAAACGAACCGGAAACAAGACCGGGGAATGGTCACAACACGGACACTCGGCGCCATTCCCGCTCTAACACGCTGTTCTCCCGACCGTCCTCCCCGGAAACCTCGTCTCCGACCTCGCCCCGCGTTCGAGCGTCGCTCATCCATCAGAACTCCGATGTGATTACCATGCAACTCGAGTTGCTCGGAAGCCGCAACCTGCAGAACCACGGTCAACTGAACCCCAGGACCGGTAATCAGATTGAACAACTCACATCCGAGGGGGAACCGGCAGACCGGCGGTCAATCTCCGAGTTCTTAGATACTCTGCTGTCAAACCAAGGGCAAAATCTCAGCACGATCGTCAACTCTGACACCCTAGACAGCGATGGGCTTTCAAACCTGACTCCGGGGCTGTCTCCTACTCCTGGAGACATCGCGCCTACGCCTGCAGTTGAGGCCGAAGACCAACCACAAATAGCAAACACGGAGCCCCCGACTGGGGATCTCCATCTCGGAGAGTCCATCCTGGACCCTTCCAACATCCTACCCGATAGCGTTGAAGAGCCAATCCAAGATGATACGCAGGAACCACCCCCCGACATCGTGCAAACCCTCGAAAACGATTTCGACTCGGAACTGATGCAAGGCATATCAGATACAGCCGTCAGGGAAGCGCCAATGACAACAACAACCGGCTCAGCTTCAGCAGCCCACCGGGTGACCATTCTCTCCTCTCACCCCGTCGACTCTCTAGCTTCCCACCTCGCATCCATGATAACCACTGTCCTCTTCCTCCCCCTCGAATCCTTATACCTTCGATCTCTGGCATCGTCCTACCTGTCTTCTACGGGCGTGCCAGCTACTCAGCTCGCGAATGTCCGCGGCCTGGGTATGTGGGGTGGCGGTGGTCCTCGGACTGACAAACTGACATACCTGGGCAAGATGACTCTGATGCTCGGCATCCAAGCAGCTGTCAATGCCAGTGTCTGGGGAATTATATCCGGTTCGGCCATTAAGATTGGGAGGAAATTCTGCGGGTGGGGGACTTTGTGAATAGACAGGTAGTAGTCATCGAATTGGGCGGTCATATACATTAATGTTTACATCGGATTTATGCCCCGTAGCTAAAATTCCCATATGACGACCTGGTCCATAGTAAAGAAAATCAGCGCGAGAACCTTTTCTAATCGATCCACTCTTCGTACATGGGAGATACTTAGTCAAGAACCGCCCCCCAAAAAGCGAATGAAAGAAAAACAGGGCAAAAGAAAAACCAAAGAATCAGTCGAATCATCATCGTAACTCTAATTATACAAAACTCCATGCTACATTTCAATACACGGTGTAGATGACAAAGTTATCTGAGAATGCCCTACATTCCACCGCATCCACTCATACATTCAGAAGCTCACTTCGCAGCGGCCTTCCCAGGCCGATTGGACATCCCAGGGACCCGTCGGCGCTCCCAAACCATGAGGTAACCCTCACGGGTGAACAGCGTTTCGCTCTCCGCGCGCTTTACAAACAGATCCTGAATCTCCAACCACTCTGCACCGCGCTGGTCGCCCTTGCCCTCGCCCTGGTGGCGCGCGCTCTCCGCGGAGATAGCCTTGTCGTGGAGTTGGACGAGCCAGGAAACTTTCTCGTTGCCCGCGCCTGCGCCTGTCGAGGCGGCGCCCGAGGCGGCGTTGACGCCCTTGCCTGCTGCGTCTTCAGTGGCGCCGGGTGCGGCGACGGCCGGGTCGAGGATGATATTGGCGACGAGGTCGTACATGATCGGTTCGCCTGGGGGCCAGACGTTCGGGTTCGGCTCCACGTAGGGGGACATGTCTAGATTGTTGGGGGAGGGGAAGGTGACGATTGTGGGGTTTCGTTCGGAGACAAAGCGGTTTTTGCTGAAGCGCTTGATGTGGAAGAGGAGGTAGGGGGGTAGAGGGTGTAGGAGGCGGTGGCGCACTCGGTCGGAGAGTTTCTCGGAGGCGCTGATTCCATTGTACTTGTTTAGCAGGGTGGTCAGGGGGACCTGGGGGATGATGGATTCTCGGTTGGAGGATTGGAAGAGGGGCGTTGGGGGGAGGTCCAGCGTGAGGATCAGAAAGGGGGTGGTCTGGCTCTTGATGTCGCCGGACTCGGTGAAGACCAGACGGGCGTTTTGGGTATCGGAATGGGCGGTGATCGCCTGGCTTTCGATCCGAAGGTGACCTTGGAAGGCGGCCTGGACCACACTTGTAGGCGTCTTCGACGGTTTCTTGGAGCCCCCGAGGGAAAGGTGCAGGTTATTCAAGAACCAGGACATGAACTCGACGGGATCCGACTGCTGAGTGAGCGTGAAACGCTTCGAGGACCGGAGAGCGATCTCTTGCAGCAACTCGTGCGGTGAGACGTGAGACCGGAATGCCTTGGGATTCCATAGCTTGCGCACCAGCGTACTAAAGCGGAGCGCCAGTTGCGGTGTCCCTAGAGCGGGAAACTCATGTAAAAGGAAGTAGTTGCGAATGGGGAGGACGTGGGCCAGCAGCTGGACCACTACGTTCAAGTAATCGTTGGCTTTGATATTGTTCATACCCACGAAACCTAGAGAGCAACCCGGTCAATCCCAGCTACCATGAGGAAAAGAGAGAGGGAAACCTTACCTGGTCTGTAGCGATTGCCTGCGAGATCGAACGAGTCGTGGGCCTCTTTGTCCAGTTTCGAGACGTAGTCCTTGCCGTAGTGGGGGTCGACAACATATTTAATATCATCCAAACTCTTATTCTTAACCTCGTACCCCTCCGGGAGAACGAAAACTTTCTTGGATCCCATGTTGATGAAGACATGGTGCCCAATGTCCAGGGCGTGGAAGTAGGCGTGCGACTTGGGGCCTCTGCCTTGAAAGTATTTCCCGCAGACAAGACACGCGTACACGTTGATGTTGGACAGACTGATCGAGCAAAGTTTTTCGAAGTCAAAATCGAGCACGCCGCGATTGATCGTATCGAGGTACAAATCCCCGTAGCCTTCCATGGGTGCGTTCTGGCGTTTCGGCGCCGCGATCGCTGGTCGGTCGTCGTCCTCATCCGATAGCCCAGCCCCGTCATCCCGGGCCCCTTCTTCTAGTTCTTCTGCTTCTTGATCCGCCGCTGCGAGTATATCGTTTCCATTCCGCTCATCTTGCTCCCACTGGTGGGCGTTGGCCCGGCGTAACGGGAGAGCTTCTCGGCGCGCATCGTCGCCTTCGGGGACATCGTCTTCTACCCGGGGCTTTTTCGAAACGGGAGAACCTACTGGAGGTTCTTCTTCAAGTGACGCATCTGCTGGTCGTTTCGACATGATAACTGGTCGGGGATGATCGCGGGCAGCGTAGTGGTCGGGGATGCGGCGAGTCCGTGAAGGTGAAAGTCGCGATGGGAGAGGCGGAGGGATGCAAACCCGTCAAACACCCGCCGCAGACAGCGTCATCGCCTCATCCACTACTCTACTCGCTCCATATTACGAGTACGACTACAAGTGTCACCACCACTGGATCAGGCTTCTTGGAAGAATCATCCCTATTGAATCTCTTTTGGATTCATTGAATCGGGACGAGACACTACTTGCCGATCAGCATCGTGGGGAAGAACTAGCATGCAACCGATCGTCTGAAAACCAAGTCCCGTTGAAACCGAAAACAAAAGACAAACAGTGGTATGATACAACCCCTCATTAAGCGCTCTTGACAATACGATCGTTATCGAAATCTAATTCCTTCACACCGTCCTTGGTCACCACTTTCACCAAAACCTGAGGGCAACCGTTAGTCCATCATTCAATGTAGGGATGTGAGCGTCAGGAATATCATACCCCCTTGTAGTCAATTGGAAGTCTGCGCTTCAGTTCATCCGTGCACATCTCGAGGAGCTTCATGCCTTGCTCGAGGTTGATGTCAGGGTGATGATGTTTGTCGAGGGTCGATAAACAGTAGTATCTACAATCCCCGTTTAGCATTCTCCGGCGCCAGATGGTGGTCTTGTTGGGAGCAAGCTTACTGGGCATAACCGTGAGCGGCATATGGTACCGGAGCCAGCGAAGCCAGATAGTCGACCCAGTACAGATGAGGCTCCTGCGAGATGGGGTCCACCCCGCCGAGCAACAGGTTCACCGTGTAGGGACTCCGAGATCGCAAGCTCCGGGCCAGCTCGCTTCGCACAAAGTTGGAGACCGCAACCGGGCCCAGTTCGGTATCGTTTCGCATCGTGTATAGTTGGATGTTCGCTTGGATGTAGTCCGCAAATTGCACTGTTCCAGACCGCTGTTAGTCATTGTGTCTCGATGTCTTGATGTCTTGACAGTGCCTCTACGGACCTGTGTCTCCCGCCTCTCCCGAGTACGCCATCAGCGTGTTCTTGTTCAGCTGTCGTGTCTTATCATCCGTCGCTTTCAGAATTGTCGGGCCTCTCATGGCAGCCTTAGACGCTGCCAGAAGGACAAAGTCCTTGCCAGTGATGCCGAGAAGGACCTCCCTGCAGGCAGTCCGTTAGCGGGTTCCATCGACTATCAAGGGTCCCCAGACACTCACATATCTGCAGTGATAGAAAGCGAAAGGTCGGTACAAGACAAGAAACAGGAGTAATGGAGTGGAGGGCGATGATGGGACAGAGAAGTGGGTGGGATTGACAGCGACAAGAAGGTGAGGAGCTCGAAGATGACGAACACGCGCGGAGCTTTGACTGCCTGAAGCTTAGCTGCCTGAGGCGGAGAGCTGCCCTCGCTGAGTCAGCCATGGATGAGCAGTCACTAACCGGAATAGGTTAGAGCGTGTTCTGGCTGTCCGCCTGCACGGTCCACCCGGCAGAAAAAAAGTATCGAGCAGAAGATTGTTGCGGGTCTGCATCATTATCGTCCGGCTTCAATTCTTTGGAGATCTCCTTCGGTTCCCCCCTTCTTCATATTTGATTTCTCCAATCGATATACTACTGGGTATCGATAGTCTCAACCGGGAGATGTCGTCGTTTTTCACTTTGCCCGCATCCCAGCGGAAGCGGAAGAGAGAGGATCGCGTTGGAGCCCCCGCCACGAAGAAGCGAGGAGTGGATGCCAAAAAAGATGCCGGTGGCAAAGGAAGCAAAAAGTCGAGAGAGCGCGAAGAGTCCATCTCGGGGAGCGATATCGACGAGGATGGGAGCATAGCGTCCGGCGTCTCGGAGGAGGAAAGCGACGCGGAATCGGACGAGGGAGAAACGGTCGCGGATCGGAGGTTGAAGCTGGCAGAGAGATACCTGGACAATGTGCGAGACGAGGTGGATGATTACGGCTTTGATGCGGCAGAGATTGATCGGGATTTGATCGCGGAACGGTTGAAGGAGGATGTGGTATGTGCTGCGCGGAGACCTCGATTTTTCTTGACCCAGGATCAGTCACAGCTGACCAGCAATAGGACGAATTCAAAGGACGGGTCTACCGTCAGATCGCCTCGGACCTGGCCTTCTCGAACGCCTCCAGCTCGTTTTTCCGGGCCGACACCCAAACGACTACGTCTGTTGCCGTCCACGCGCCCTACGTCTACACTGTCTCCAAGGACCGAACCTTGATCAAATGGGAACTGGCGAAGCCGAACCCGACGTCAACAGCCAATGGTCAGGATATGAAGTCGAAACGCCCGCCCAGACCGCAGCGGACAAAGCCGAAACAGGTCCGCTTCACGCGTGGACTGCAAAAGGTGGCCGAAAGCAGGGGAGAGCACGGCCACACCAAGAGCATCCTGTCGGTGGCGGTCTCGCCATCGGGAAAGTTTGTGGCTACTGGTGGAAAAGACGGGAAATTGATCATCTGGGACGCCGCGACGCTGACGCCGACGAAGACCTTCACGCAACACCGTGATGCTGTCTGTGGGCTCGCGTTCGCCCGGAATATCTCCACCATGAGCTCCGGAGAGCAATTATTCACGGGATCGTTCGACCGGACAATCAAAACGTGGTCCCTGAGCTCGGCCGGTCATGCCTACCTGGAGACGCTATTCGGCCATCAGGACCATGTCGTCTCCGTGGGCGCGATGGCGCTGGACCAGTGCGTCAGCGTTGGGGGGCGTGATCGCACGACGAGGTTGTGGAAAGTATTGGAAGAGTCGCAATTGATCTTCCGTGGAGGTTCCAATAAGGACGCATACAAGGAGAACAACACGGACTGCGTGGCCCCGTTGCCCCCCAGCCACTTCGTGACCGGTTCGGATAACGGGTCCATCTGCCTCTGGAGCATGTACAAGAAGAAGCCGCTCTACACCGTCCATCTTGCCCACGGACTCGATCCCATCCCCCCCCTGGACGAGCTCTCCCCGGAGGTTGACCCAGAGACAGCGGCCAGCAACTCCCGTCACCTCCGACAGACGCCGCGCTGGATCACCGCCCTGGCCACTGTCCCAGGCACGGACATCGTTTTGAGCGGCAGCTGGGACGGTTTCATCCGCGCGTGGAAGGTATCAGAGGACAAGCGAACGCTCCACGCACTCGGTCCCGTCGGCGCGCCGGCCTCCGACGACCCATCCGCCCAGCTCAACCAGACCCTCGCCTCGGACACTCCCTCCGGCGACGCGGACCGCATGGCCGTGGACGCGAGCCAGGCCGGGGAACCCGAGCCCTTGATCAAGGGCGTCGTCAACGACATCGCCGTCTTCGAGCGCCGTCTCGACACCGCCAAACCCAACGACTCATCGAACGGGTCCAAGCCCAAGTCCAAGTCCTCGGAGCCCGAGCCCGAGCCCGAGCCTCGCGGTCTCTGCATCGTGGCAGCAGTGGGCAAGGAGCACCGACTAGGCCGCTGGTCGTGCTTCGCAAACAACTACAACCAAGGACCAGCAGCCGAGGGCCGCAACGGAGCCATCGTGTTCGAAGTGCCCATGCTATCCCAACTACCTAATCGACGCGAGGCGTAATCACCTCGCTTGGTCGGGAGGGACATGCAACGAACAAACGAATGGTTTGTGACGCGGCGTCTGTAATTCATCATCCATCCATCCGTCCCTCCTTCACTTAACTACCTACCTTACCTATCTTACATTACAACTGTATCTTATTCCCGGGGTCCGGTGGGTGGGGGGTTCTTTGCATATTGCTTTGACGATATAAAAGAGAAAAAAACAAAAGTTCTGGCATCAGACGGATTGCTTTACACAGTGCGACTTTTCTTTCTTTTTTCTTGTCCTATTCTCTTTCTATTTGGTGCTTTGTTTCAGCCTGTCCCTGTATATATTTCTGCATTTTCCCAATTCAAATACTTAACTGTGACTGTGGAGACGTCTTAGCTAGTGATGTAGGTTGTGTTTCAGCAGGAAGCTGTAAGTTGTCTATCGACTGGGCTCTTTTACTCCTGCGATTTGTTTGAGGATAGGGTATTACGACGTTTATAGATAGATGGCCAGCACCACGACGCTATTATGGGCGACTGGACTGGTTCTCAAATCACTAAGTAGCTAGAGGTACCCCCCGGAATAGATAATCTAGGTACGACTGATTCCATAGCTGGATTGGTAGTACATGCATCCCAGTGTGATCGCAATAAAGCAAAAAAAGTAATGGCTCCGTGGTCAAACGAGGAACAGGCAAGACCCTCGACCAATGAAAAAAAAAGGCAAAGCAGAATTTACACCGTGGACGGTTAGGGGGTATTATATTGTGTGACACCAGTGTTGTCCTTCCTCAATCAAGGGAAACGGTTATTCTCTGCCTGCCTTGAGCCAACATCGACATAGCAGTAAGACACATCAAGAGGTTCCATTGAAAATGGTGAGCCATGACGGAGGACCTTGTGCTTGGCCAGTCTGGGCCGTCGGGGTGGATATCATAAGGATTTGGTAGTATTCGCTAATAGAACTGGAGAAGAAATAAAGGTCGTCCACTTCATGTCACTGAAAACTGAACGTGAAGCATCAGCAGCGATTGCCCCTGCCCCGCGCCCTCCGCGTTGGCCCAACCGGGCCTTCGTCCGAGTCGTCCTCTAAACTAATCGCGTCGTTAACAGACGATCCGGTCGAATGTGAAGGTTGAGGCCGACGGTTCTGTCGGAGAATCGAATCCAAGAACGAGTCAGCCGCGAGGTGGGCGCTGGGCCTACGCGGGGAGCTGGAGGGGATATGGATCGTCGGTACTCGCCGACGTCGAATCGCACCGGTAGCGGGGCGAATAGGTTGTTCTTCCTCGTCTTCGTCATCCTCTTCGCTTTCTAATTCACTCAAGCCGCCATATGTATCTGCCACGGAGCCCTCGGTGCCGCTGTGGGGGTCATCGTGGTGATCTTGCGTGCTGCGGTCAGGACCTCCAACGACTGTCGACCGATCCGACCCGGTGCCGTAGTCGTCGAAGTGTTCGTCGTCGTCAATGAACGAATCCATGTCGGTGTCATCCTCATCCGAATCATCTTCGCTGTCCTGAATGGCGGAAGACGCCGAATCACCGGGCCAGTGATGGTGATGGTTCTCGGGTATGTATCCAAAGGGTGCGGGGCGATGCGACACAATGGGGTGGTGTTGACTCCTGTGTAAGCCATACAGCTGGTGAGGGATGTCGAAAGACAACGCTTCCACGGGGATTCCGTCATACAGCCCGTTCCACGCGAAATCATCCATTTCGCCAAAGCCGTCCTCCAGTTCGTCGTCCATGTAGTCGGTCATCTCCGAATTCAGCTCCGAATCGCTCAGGTAATCGCTCACATCCGACACAGAGTCGTCATTCTGGCGATATCCACATTGCTCGCAAGCCGAATCCTCCTCGAGTTCCCACGAACAGACAGGACATCGCATGACATTGTCTTCAAGATCCACGATGGGCTGTGCCGATGGCCTCCCCCTGTTAAATGTGCCCCGAAACAGCCCACCTTCCCGCGGATGTGCATTCTTCTTGTCCACCTCCACTCGATCTGCTTCTGCTCGTTGGTTGTTGCCGTGTTCGGCGGTGGTCTCGCCCTTTTCTAGTAATTCCGGTCGGCTCGTGAACAGCTGAACGACTGCGCGGACCTATGTAATATTCGAGTTAGAAAACCCTTTCTTCATAGAGAGGTATCAGGAAGAGCGAACCAAGTAAGCAGGTGCCGGCTGCGATTTCACGGGAGACCGGCAATCGGGGCATGTTTTGTTAGACCTCCCGGTCCCAAACCATGAGGTTAAACACTATTGGATGGATCAGCCATGGTTCAAGATCGTTTTCGGGGACCGTATAGGACTGACGCTGTAACAGAATGTATGCCCACAGGCAAGGGTGAAGGGTTCGTAGAGTGGTCGGATACAGATGCCACACTGTATAAGGGATCGGATATCGTCGATATGGCCCTGTAAAGTCTGAGAGAGCTAGGTACCATACCATCTTAGCATCATCTTCACGCGTGACAAGTTCAGGACCAACTCACTCCCGAGGCGTCATGCTCCGGCCCAACGGCAGCCTTTCCAGCGGTGGCGCCATTCGCGCCAGCGGCGGGCCTCGACATTTGCGCAGAATGATTGGATGGATTCAGAGGGCGATATCGAATACGTAGAAGAGTGAAAGCCGGTAGTTCCAAGCAAGATACGATAGTAGAAGTCTTGTCTTATACTGTGGTGAACGAGATGAGTCGACTTCCTTCAAGGAAACGCGACAGAGGTCGGCATGACGCGAGCGGCTCGAGGCCAATTCCGAAGGGGGTGGGGGTGAAGACGTTTCAACAAGATACTTCACCCAAAGAGCACTCCAACAACTGATCACAAGTGAAGGGAAACAGTCAGGTCACGTATATGTCTAGAAGTGAATATCCGCAAGAAAACTCCAGCGGTCCGATGAAGCAAGTAAGAATAGACGAGTGAGCAATGAAGCAATAATGGGCGCTCCATCGATCGACAAGGCGGCGCGCGGTGGGTCCCGGCAAAAAAATTAGTAGTCAAACCAGACAAACATGGTCAGGTACGAATACTTTGCCTGCCTTATTTCCTTTTTTGGTGTACTTTCTATAGCTGGGAAATAACCTGGGAGATATCAAATACTGCGATCCAATCTTCTCTGGAAATTGACTGTCGTACAGGAAGATATTGTCCAAAGTATCAAACAATAATACACGTGGATATATAGGATCAATAGGATAAGAATGAGTATGCATCTGACTCAGCAATGCTTGATCGCCGAGTCTCCACGCCAAGCCTGGCGGAATCTCCTCATCCCGGAGTCGCATCGAATGCCTTCATGGTCACTCTCACGGTCCTCCTTCGTTTGCGATTTAGCCACAAAAATCACTCTCGCTGACGTGTTACTGTCAGTTTTATAGAACATGTCATCTCAATCCACTCAGAATCCATCTTCCCAGCCCGAACAGGGCGGTTCCTGGGACAAGACGGAAAGGAAGTTCTCCAAGTAAGCGCCTCGGCCACTCTACCTTGATTGTTAGCGCCTGGCTTTGATACGGGTGGAGAAATCAATCAGTTGATTCATCTCTTGATTTGCTGATATTTCTTCTATTTCTTTTTCTCAATTTTATACTTTTCTTTTCCCCGCAGGGTACAGTATCCAAGCTAATATACTCTCTCTCCATAGTAAATCTGCAAGCGAATACTATGATCCATGCCAGGACTTTGCAGATCGGAGTCTCAAATGTATGAAGCGCAATGCTTTTGATCGTGAGATGTGCCACGATTACTTTCAGTGAGTCTTTCCCCCTTTATTTGGTCGAAGAGCCCTCGTCGTAGCCAGGACTTTACTACAAACATACTGTATCTGTCTTCGTGGCTTATACCCAGATACGGGACTATGCTTTGTGTCTCGTTATGAATTGGGCTAATTGGAGAACGCAGGGCCTATCGGGATTGTAAAAAGAATTGGGTAGGTGTCCACTAGGCTATCTTGCCTGTCTACCCTCGACGGGATCCCGCATGCACCTGGCCGCATACCTTGTCCCAGGCAAATTCACCGGCAGTTCTGACATTCCAGCAGATGACCCAAAAGAAGTTTTCTTAAGAACCCATCCCAGGCTTTGTAAAGCATCACGCCGGCATTGGTTCGCTACCACCATTTTCGCCTAGTCTTCATGGATCAGTCGTGGGGTTGGGTGAGAGGGACAGGCAATCATTTCACCCTCTAGTAGCTACAGTCTTCAAAGTCTTTTCGATCTCCCACCCCCTTGTGAACTTGGGTAGATAGCATGGCCCAGCTGGCGTCATCCCTGGGCATATGGGCCGACTACTTACGAGGGAATGATTCACTGGGTGACCAATGGGCTTACCATTGTCGGTATCCGGCGTTATCTTGGTTTTTTATGAACTTCTCTCCAACATTAGCGGTTATTATCTTTCTGTATGCGTTGTCCCGGTTGGAACTATCAGTAACTACGAAGACATCGCTTCACCATTTGTACTTTATATATCCTGTCTTATTACGTCTACCATGCCATTGCATGATGGTATCTCGTCATGTCGAACCTGTCTGTAGCTGGAACCTTGTAGAATACAAGTCTGTTCTTATTTCTATCAATACTATTGACAGATTCGTCCAAATATCTCCAAAGTTTGCTACGACCGATCTCTGCTATCAAGGACTAACTATATGTGCCTGACTGACATCAGCGGGGTTTCCTCACCGCCTTCCGTTTCTGTACTCTCCGCGGAACAAAATCCCCAGTGCAGCGAACAATGATCGATCCAACTTTCCCTCCCCTCCTGGTCTCGTTCTTTGGTCAGATCAACTCTATCCTCATCCGCAGTGGGTCGTACTTTGCTGTGCAGTGTGCTAAACGCAGACTTTGTTTATAGTAAAATTGGACCAGTTCCCAAGAACCGTGCCCCGTGTCATTCAACTGGGATTGCGGTCCCCTCTTCCCCGCCATGTCCACCAGTGACGCCGTGTTTCACCGGCGCAACAAACAGATCCAGGATGCCATTGATGGGCAAAACCTAAAGCAGGCCCTGCAGCTGATTGAAAAGCGCGTGAAAAAGGGAGAAAATACAAGATTCCTCAATGTACGTCCCATATTGCCTAGACTTAAAACTTGCAGGCGAAGGTAGATCTGGATTTCTGACATTGGTTCTTGATATGATCTTCTAGGTCTGGAAAGCGCATATCCTCTTTCGCCATGCCGACGAAGCTCATCACCAGCGTGGTGTCACGGAGACCCTTAACCTGTGCAAGGCCGAGCCCCCAGCCACCGACCTCGACACTCTTGACATCCTAAACGAGACGCTGCAGTTGATGGGTGACCAGCCGGATACCGTGAAGGCTCTCTGGGAGAAGGCGTCCAAGGCGAAGCCCAAGGACCTGGACTTACAAATGAGATGGTTCAACCTCTCCTTTGAAAATGATGACTGGAAATCTGCGCAAAAGGTCTGCATATTGCCGCTTTCTGGCCTCTTCTAGTTAACATTGGCTTCTCCCAGAGCTAACCGGGCTGCATTACAACAATGACAGGCGGCCATGACCCTCCAGAACAACTTCCCGAAGAACAGGAAATATCATATCTGGGCGATCTTCCTCAGTTATCTGGTTGCCACGGACGCAGCAAGCTCGGAGATGGACCGCAAGCTTTTCGGAACGTTGGCTTATCGCATGGTTTCTAAAGCTGCCGACAGCGTCCCTGCCGATCCGGTATGTGTCTTTTGCTCACTGATACTTCCCCGTCTCTGCAAATTTGCACATCACCTTTATCTCCATCTTTCTCTTGATCACCCATTTCGACAACAATTTGACTGGATGTGATCATAATAATGACTTTTCGTGTACAGAAAGAACTGCTCAGTCCTCCCAGAGCTATCCAAACTCCGGAGGAACTCTTGCTGTTAGTCAAGATTTTTGAGCACCAAGGATGCTACGGCGAGGTCGTAAAAATCCTGGACAGCGAGAACCTGGGCCTCGACTCGCGGGTCGTTCAGAACGAGTGGTCTTTTGTAGGCACGAAGCTTTTCAACCTGGAAAAGGCGCAGATGTGGACCGAGGCTCTGGCCTATACAAGAAGCCTGCTTGCTATTCCCACCAACGAATCTGAGCGCAAAGCCCTTCAGGAACGTGACGACTGGGCAGTCTGGCAGATCCTCATTGCTGCAGCACGGAACATCAACACAAAAGAGTTCGTTGCTAAACTGAAAGTGGTGGCCACGAAGAAGCTGACCCATATTGTAGGACCACTGCAGAGACGCAGAAATTTCTTGATGAATTTATCCAATCGGAACCTAAATCACGTAATGCCCAGCTGGCTCGTCTCGATTTCACTCATTCCGAGTTCACGTCCGGGAACTTGAAGCCCGAGGATCTGCTATCGGCTTGCCAGACATATTTTGACAACAACAAGAACAAGCTTTATTGCTTCGGTGATCTAGTCACGTATCTTTCCGCGTTGGACAAAGATTATGTATCGCAGTTTGTAGCACATGCATCATCTACGGCGCAGAAGAATGCGAGTGCGGTAAGCTCAGAGAATCCTATCTTTCTCCGATCAGAGCTAACGTCCTTCAGCAAAATGCGGCGACCAACAATGTTGCTACAATCAATGCCCTCAAACTCGAGTATTGCTTCCAGCTTTCAGCGGACGAGAGTAATGCAACGAAAGAAAAGGTCGAAGATTTCGTCTCGCGCTGCTTGGAGAACTACGGCTCATACGAACGCCCAGCCCCCAGCGATGGCCAGACAACCATTGAGAGTCAACCCACCGACGATTTGTGTCTCCTAGCTGCCATGGGCCTGGTTCGCTTTAGCGGGGCGTGGATCCCGGGCAACAAAGAGCAGGTCCCAGATACCATTCTTATTCGTGCCGCGGCGATTTTGGACCGCCTGCTTGCCGATTCGCCGCACAATTATCACGCATTACTGCTTCTTGTGCGGATCTATCTTCGCCTGGGGGCTGGATCTCTTGCCTTGAAGACCTTTAGCAAGCTTTCGGTCAAACAAGTCCAGTTTGAAACCGTGGCCCACAATCTCTTTACTCGACTCGCGACGATTCATCCACACTCGGCACCCCCTATTGAGGGGGCAGAGTATAAGGATTTCAACCCTCAGTCTGCCTTCAATCAGGCCCTCTATTTCTATCGGACCGCGGACGTCACCTCGTCCAGGAACCGCTCGAATGGACTTGACTACGGCAGCTATGTGAACGTTGAAGGCACCATCGCACTTCAAAAACGCCTGAAGCAGAGCATCTGTCGCCGGATGTACGCCCTGGACGTGAGGCGTATGCAACGGTTGGTCGGTGGAGATCCGACTGGCAAATATGACGATTTAGGTCAGTCATGCCCACCGCTTGTGCAAGCAGAATATTGGAATTTGTGCTCACTTGCTTTTTTATCCTGCAGCACGAGACGCGTCCCATTTGGTTGATGAGCGAGCCTTTGACGCTTTCATGAACTGCGAGGCGCCAGGCCAGTCCACTCTTGAGGAGCGAGTACGACTGGGACCTCTGCCCAAGGTAGGTCTCCCTCTTTCACGCACGAATATGGAGCTGCAGCTAAGACAATGAATTCCAGGAACGATGGGTCAAGTCCAGCAGGGCGATTGACCAGCTGTTTGGTCTTCTCCGATCTCTGGCTGCGCAGAAGCCAGTGTCGCCCGAGATCGACGTGCCCAGTCTTGATGAACTGATTGGGGGAGACGCCACGTCTGAGATGACCACTCCAGAGATTGAAGGTGCCAAGGTCAGCCTGAATCTTCTGAAGGTGACTTCGTATATTGCAGGGTCGAAGTCCGTCAGCTCTGCTCATGTGGAAAGTGCCCTGGCTGAGGTGGAGGAATGGCTGAATGCTCAAGTCAAGGAGCTTGCAATGGACGACAACAAAATCTCCCCGGTCCTTTCGAGGACGGCCATCACTCTCGAGTCCGGCACTCCCTCGGCTCCATCGTGGAACTACTTCCACTATAGTTTCGTCGCCCTCGAATTGCTCAAGGCCATTTCGGCGGTTTGCACTGTTGCGCTGAGGAAAGGCTCCAAGGCGCCCAAGGTGCCAAAAGACCAGATGCAACGCCTGGAGAATTCGGTGCGCCAAGTCCACGAGGGCATCCGGTCGAACGCCCGTGTGCTGAAATCTCAGTCTGGTCTTCTCGGATCCCTCGTCGACTTGATTACGACCGGCCCCAGCAGCAGCCCAGACAGTCAGCCGCTCCAGGCTGCGCTGAACAAGACGCTTGACACGGCGGCGTTGGAGATCTTCTGTGGGGATCTATTGGAAAGCTGGGAGGAAGGCTTGGATGGGTTGTTGAAGGTGGCGCTGTGAATACAGAATCGGATATCAATAAGTTTATGATATTTAGCGCATGCATCAGCACATGAATACTTGAGATCATTAGGCATGTCTATCATGCCACAGGAACACTAGCACAGCAATCCAAAAGACTTAGATATGCCAGTTGGCATGGAAAATTCTCCGCCAAATCGTTTCTTTCCATTCCTCTCTTCATCTATAGATCTTCCCACCATCAACCACCAACAAGCTACTTCTCTGACTCCTCTATGCCCTTTTTTCCGATTCCCAAATCTGCTAACCCTTGACAATAGAACGTACCTTCTGACACGTTGTCCAAGGCAAGGTTGATGAATATCTCTCATGTTCGCACGAGGTTGAGGTCTGGAATGCCAATCGGCGGCTGCAAGGGCGGGCTCATCCCTTCATCCCCTTGCCCTGTCTTCAAAGTGGCCTTCCAATTGATTGGCTGATGGCGCTGATCATCGTTTGATCACCATTCATGAGACAAACCCGTAGGCTCGGGTGGTATTGGCAGGGTTACAATGTCCATGCAGTCCCGAGCTCCTTGCTCCTCGCTCACTTCCTCGACAAGGGAGACACGAGACCGAACAAAGAGACGAAGCTTCGATGCAGTCCATGTTTTTGATGGGTGCTTCTTCGCGTGGAGACCCTGGAGATCCTCCTGAGAAGGGTGGACCTCCCTTGCTTCTGGGTTTGAGATCGAGAAAGTTCTTGCCGCCACTCCGCTTGTGTGTCATTACTTGGTGACATTCAATGGTCTATATTGAGACCAAATCTGCATTGTCGATCTCTTTAGACTGCTGCCTGGAGCTGAGGTATTTCACACTGTCTTCCAGGGGCATGATAATCAATGGTTTCCCTTGGGGGTTTCTCCGCTACTGAGCCCTAAGGCTGAGATTCTCAGATCTAAGTGTTTCATGCTGCTAATACAGCCGTTGAATCGTTTTCTCTTGTCAGATTCCCATTTAACCCCGTGCCCATGGACCTCCAACACTAGTCTGTTCCATGAACGCCCCTGTTCTCGCCAGCCGGGCTGACGTTGGGTCTCCCGAGTCGAGTTTGATCTACGGCTATCAAAATGCTCCGCGTCAGTGGGATATCGTCACCCAGGCTGTATGCCTGGCCATCAGCACCTTCTGCGTCTGGATGCGGATTTACACCAAATTTATGTTCACCAGAACTCCGGGGTGGGAAGACTGTATGTGGGCCTAGGCGCTTGGTTGAAGATCATCGTGCTGACCCCGGCACAGACACTTGCTTTTTAGCCTGGGTATGTATGCTTGTATTTGCACCATTTCTTAGTTAAGGTACATCGTCTCATCAGTTGATGATATAGCTGGGACTCCTCGGCTATACAGTCATTACCCTCGAAGCCGACAAGTATGGCAATGGGATACATCAACAGAAAGTAGCTGCACCCGATCTACCCATGTTTTTCAAAGTGAGCACCACATCGGATTTTGACAATTCTTACCGCATACTAAATAGATATAGCTAGCAAATGTGTCGCAAATTGTATATGGCCCGCTCATATTCATCACCAAATTGTCCATCCTGCTACTGTACCGCCGGGTATTCGCGCCATTAGTCAAGCGCAAGACCCTGGTTTTCATCCAGCTTACCATCTGGCTGAACTTCGCCTTCTACCTAGCACTGACTCTGGTGAAGATCTTTGAATGCACGCCGAGATCGAAGATCTGGCGTAAAGATACACCGGGGCACTGCGTCAACGTCAAGCTACAGATGATAGCGACGTCAACCATCAACATGATCTCGAATTTGTCTATCCTCCTTCTGCCTGTTTTCTACATACGGCGACTGCAGTCGAGCCTTTTCCAGAATATGATAAGCACGGCTGTCGCATTTGCTGTAGGGATTTTGTAAGATTCCCTTTGAAATTCCTGCCCTCTTGATCTACCGGTTCTAATTAGTTGTAATAGTGCATGCGTTTGCAGTATCATACGTCTGGAAGTTAGTATACGGAATGAGACCACCAATGACTGGACCCACGATTGGTTTCCAGGGTTCCTGTGGACGTACGACCTTCTCTATCTTCTCCTCTTTCTTCTTCTCGCTTCAATATCGGTTGGGCTAACCTATCTGTGCAGGTCCGCGGAGGTCACATCCGGGATCATCGCCAGCTGCCTACCCACCATGTCTATCCTCCTCCAAAGGCTCACCCGTGGAGCACAAGTCCCCGTCTCTGTCCCTATTTGCGGCAACCGTAGTCCCAGCAGTGCCATGGAGACAACCATCCATAACACCCCTCCGTTGGGGCCTTCCCCGCCGGTGAAGGTTGCTGAGGCAACCCCCCAAAGAAGCTGGGAAATGGGAGACCTTGAGCGCGGTGGCAACTCGGACCATCCGTGTATCTTCCAGGGGAATAGCTATACCATGAGTGAGGCCCGAGCCGAGGGGGCACCGGCGAAGAGAAGACGTGAAGGCAATCAAGAGGGGATTCTGAAGATCGTCGAGGTAGATGTGGAGTCGGGACCAGGTCGATAAGAGCTGCTTAGTGTACATATTATAATCAGTGTTAGACATGTCATTCCTGGAATGGTTCAAGCCTTGGTGCGTTCATCCAGTAGGTTAATTGGAAATCCTATGCATCGAGTATGGGCCTGTGGGGTAACTGTAAGGTGACGACGGAAAGGACCTATGCTGCCGACACAGCTGTCTATATAATACAATTGATTATTATCCAGTGAATTAATCTAAATATTAAGATAACAAATAAAATTAAAGTAATGTAGTTATTCTTTACTCCGTAACTATCATATATCAACCCATGCTTTATAAGTCATGTGACCTGAGAGCAGCGGCCTACCAATCAGCCAAGACCCCGCGGAGTTCAATGATAGAACTTCAACAACTCCACATTCCCCCGGCATATCTTGGCAGCCTTCCATAATGAAACGTAGCTACGAGGTAAATTATCCATTTGCATTAGAAGTCCTGCCGGCTGACTGAATACATACAGAACGCCCTCAGACTCCTAGACTCGCGAAGAAGAAAGGCTCGACCGAAAGTTCCCGCTCTATTGGATGCTCCGACTCCTAGTATTAATCAAAATGTAAGAGGCGTGCCGAGTTTGGTCGGCATGAGGGAATGGCTACAAGCCTTAGGACACTCGGTATGAAGCTTTCAAGTCTTGCTATGTAGTAAAATCCTCTTGCTCACCTAAACCAGGACTCTGATGTGAATAACTTGAACATTGTCCATGTCGCCGGCACCAAAGGGAAAGGAAGCACATGCGCTTTCACCCGCTCTTTTCTCCGCGAGCATGGACTCAGGACGGGGTTTCCGAAGAAAATCGGATTATATACCTCGCCTGATCTGCAGTGCATCCGAGAAAGGATCCAGATTGACGGTAGTCCCATCACGGAGGAGCTGTTTACACGATACTTCTACGAAGTATGGGAGCGTCTGTTGCAGACCGAACCAGGGAAAGCCGCCGAGAACACGAGACAGCCGCGGTATTTGCAGTTCCTTGCCTTGTTGGCGTTCCATACGTTTATTCGGGAAAATGTCGAGGCGGCAGTATTCGAAACGCATCACGGTGGAGAGTATGACGTGACGAACGTGATTCAGAAGCCTGTGGTGACTGCGATTACATCCCTTGGAATGGACCATATTGACCAACTTGGACCCACGATTGAGAACATCGCCTGGCATAAAGCTGGAATATTCAAGCCCGGGTCACCTGCTTTCTCAGTTCTCCAGGATGATGGTTGTGCTGAAGTGATATCAAGTCGTGCTGCTGAGAAGAAGACCAGCTTAAGCTTTGTCCCGGTTGATGATTCGCTGCCCGCTGACGAAAAAGCATTGAGTGCCCCAGTACAACGACTAAACTGTTCTCTGGCTTTGCAGTTAGCTAGGACCTTTTTGCAGCTGAAAGCACCTGGTCACACATTGGACACTAGTGACATATCAAGGGGTATAAAGAATTTCTCTTGGATCGGGCGATTCGAAATCATAGATCACGGGAAAACCCAATGGTTTTTGGATGGTGCGCATAACCCTTTGAGTCTGGAACAAGCTGCAGCATGGTTTTCGAACTGCCTGGGTGTATCAAGGACGGAAAAGTAAGTTTTTATAAGACCCATGCCGTCAACTAGCTAATAACTCAAAACGAAGACCTATTGTCCTTATCTTCAGTCATTTCTCAGAGAATCGAGACGGAGTCACCCTTATGGAATGTCTGGCACGCGCTTTATTTGCAAACAATGCGAAGCCAGCGTATGTCATATTCACGACATATCAAGAAAGACAGGATGGTACCACAAGAATAGGTTTGTTCTGACTATATCAATTGATTCCCGCGATCAACCTCGCTCATTAAATTACAGATAAAACGCTCAAGACCCCCGAGACACCATATCCAGACCTTTGTGCAATCTATACTTCTCTGTGGAAGGAAATGGACGCCGAGGCTACTGTTTCCGTCGAGCCAAGCATTGAAGGCGCCATCAAAGCTGCTGAAAGGGTAGGCTCTGAAAAGGGCGGCGCACAAGTCTTTGTGACTGGAAGCTTGCATCTCGTTGGCGGTGCTCTCAATATTTTGCGGCCGCAAGTCTAGGGAAAGAGATACCATCTAGGATTGTGAATCCGGGACTATTATACTAGACGGCCAAGCTATACCTGTTAAATGGCTCTATGTTAGCTCGACTCTCGCATCGGTGCATTTAATAGCGGCAGACTACATGTAGTGCTGTATTTTATATGGTTTTCTTTACTGAAACCCTTTGGTCCTCTGAGGCTCATAATCATAAAGTAACCTGATCTTGTGATACTTATACCTGCCGTGGGGAGCAACAGGTCAAAAGCCAACCATCATACATACGGAGTACCTCGGGGTGACGGCGCAAAGGCCACAGAGCTTCATGGACTTTGTTCATTTCCGTCGCGTTTGAAGCGGCCTCCAGGCTGACTCCCACAATGGGCTAAGCACAACGCCGCCCTGACACAAGCAAAAGTATTGAAGGGGTAATGGAACTGAATGATTGATGGTAGTGGAGGATGTCCAACTACACTATCAGATCAAGTATATCATTTCAAGCTTCACTGTATCTCTAAGCTTTGGCTTATCTTTTCCCAGCACTGCGCATGAACCCACACGGCTGTAAACGTTTTCTTTGACTTCCTTCACTGCCAAGAAAAAAAGACCATTTCCATCTGATTCACCGATGAATATACACTTGAAACGGCCTGCTCCATATCTTGCTCCTGTATTGAGCCATCCTTGGCCAAGCTTAACATTTTCTCTTCCTGGGCGCATTATTGCCTTAAATTCCCCGTCAGTATTCATGGAAGTAAAGCACAGATCAGTTGTCACCGTGAAGAATGCTATAAGTTGTCTATTCTCTTCGGCGGACAGTGTATCAAGGATTTCCGAGGCAGGAAAACCTCTCACGCATTTCATGCCAAAAGCAGCGTGCGCTCTCAGATTGGGGCCCTCTGACCCCTCATATTTAGATTTTAGAACTTCACGGACCACATTGAAAAACTCCCCTCCTTGGATGTCATCATAAAGTTTAGCCAATTGCAAATCGTTCGAGGAGAAGTCATCGAAGTCGTAGTCCTTAATAGGAACAAACTGAAATTGACCTGCTCCTGGCTGCTTCTCTGCGCGATAGAATATGGAAATGTGGAAATCCATACCTCCTGCAGAGTCATAATAAAAGTCGTTGCTGGGGATTTGCCAGCCTTGCCAGGACCAGCTTGGTGACCCATGTTCTGTAGGGAGGTATACCCTAGGGTGTAGTTCAAAGCACAATGCCCGAGCAAAGTACTTTACAGGGAGATCATGGATGTACACCTTTCCAAGACCAGTCTCCAGCTTGATTTTTGAGCCTTTAAAGGCACGTTTTCGGTCCTCTGGTTTTGTAACTTGACGACCCACATACTCCATGACATGGTTCACATAACCATTAAAATCTTCTATATCATGTTTGGTCCAAAGATCGTTAATATACGGAAGAGTAACTTTGATGCCGGTTGACTCCAGATACATGTCTTCACAGTAAAATGAAGGACGTTCACCCTGGCACTTGCAAGTGAATAACACTTGACGATCAAAAAAATAAAGGAGGCGCTTTGATCTGTTGTTTTCATCAAATGGCCATAAACGTTGGCTCCAAGGAGAATCACGCATTGCCTCATCGAAGGGAGGCTGTGAAACGGCCAGGTGAAGATCCCCAATTTGCTCTGTAGACTGGCGTGGGCTGGGATGGTCCACATGGAACAAGCCACAATGCGAATCAAATCCTCCACCAACAATGGTCAGGTAGGCAGAGGCAAAAATATTGGATATATTTTCGATCTTTTCTGCCAGGGATTTGCCTTCTTCCCCTTGATGACGGCAGAATACATCCACCCATAGGTACTTAATGTCCAATTTTTCACAAACCAAGAAGGCATCATGTATCGTTTTTGGGACTTCGTTCAGTCCCTGAGGCTCTTCAAGAAATTTTTCAGTATATTTATTCAGTCGGACCTGTGAGATTTCCGGTGGACCCCAGCTGTAGCTCAGCGCAGCATACAAGCATCCCTGAGGGGCCCATATAAGTCTCCTTGAACATACGTCGATGACTCTGTTGGGACTTCTCTGCTCTGGGAGAGCTCCACCTTGTTCAATGGGTTCATGTTTGGTAACACAGTCATGGATCCATCTCTTGGCCAGATTGAAATCAAAGCATGTATCCATCCGTCTTCCATTAAAGAATCGGTCGTCATCACCTTGTTCGCAAAGCAACATGATCTCTCCTTCAATATCAGGATATGGAACACTGAAGCTGCCATCACATGGTCGGCTTTGAAGGTCTCGAACGAATTCAAAGTCATGCGAAGGCTTAAAATTGTATTGGTAATTTGCCGACACGCGAAGGCGATATGTGTAGCGAAATCCTGCAACCCCGGGGTCCTGATCATGAGACGTAGATTGAGGTATGGTGTCAGCTGAGACAGAATCTTCTCTGCCAAATCTCGCGTAGGTTATGCGAGCATAGTATATAGTAGTGTCAGGCTCAAGAACATCCGAGATTGTCTTCCTGCGACGTCTACTGGAAAGGGCGGCCAGAGCAAGGCGACAGAGGCGGCAAGTAGCGGATTTCTCGACAACATCTCGAAAGTTTCGCTCGCTCAGACGTGTTGAGTTTGGCTGCTTCTTTACCCTCGAAGAATCGTGCCAGATGGCTCCGTCATTGACCATTCTCAAGCATTCCGAACACAAATCTTTGCTGCAATGATCCATAGTCAAAGTCTAACAACAAGGTTGTACAAATAACGTAGTTGGCTGCTATACCAATCGAAAAGGAAAGAGTAGATGGTATATCTGATTGATGGTCCGTGATATGTTGTTGATAAAAGGGCGCTGGGGGCGACTGATTCAACCTACTTCCATGAGGCTGGGCACGCAAAGAAGCAAAGCCTCACGGATCACTGGAGTAGAATAGAGGCGCAGTTAAAGCGTGGCCCAATCAGCTACGAACCCTAAGCGCCAAAGAGTGGCCATGTCACGTAAGTAACCCAAACAGGCATGGTGAAGAAGGGTAGTCTAGACAAGGCTAGGTGATACTCATCCTGCTAGAATCCCAAGGAGAGCTAACATCAAAGACCCTGCCACAAGATAGGAACCAAAGGCATAGCTTGAGGGATCATTCTGGAAAGATTATATGTCAAAATCTCGGAATTAATCAATGCCTTGACCCTGCAGCCACCTCTGAGAGCTGTTCACAGACTGTAACCATGTTCTGATCTATATCTTTTACCATATGTCACAACTTTACGTCTTGCCTGTTCTCTGCTCCTGATATGCCTCCCATGCTTCCCTCTTTACTCGCTCGCACCTGGAACCCTGGCAGGACCTCGGCCGAATTCTTTGATCAGTGGCATAATCCTGCCGATGTCTTTTCTGTGTTGCTAATTCTCGGGGGTGACGTTGTGGCTCGGGCATTGGCCCAACTTTCGGGGTCACGGGTGACGCCTGTCGCGTTCTCTTTTGGTTCGTTCCAAGTCATCTCTCCTTGTTCAGTTACCTAGGAAGACCTTTGATTTTCGTTCTTCTGACTAATGACCTATCTCTTCAGGATGGGTTGCTTATTCCGTCAGCGCTGTTGTGTCTGTCTTTGGGGAAAACAAACTCATGCCCGCTCCGGATTGTCCCTGCATGGTTATCAATGGCCAAACAGGATATGTGCGGGATAATCACAGCTGGATCATTGGCCGGATGGTTCGAGATTATGGATCTTGGATGCATGATGATACTCGCCACCAGCTGGACGAAGTAATCCTTGAAAAGTGGAACAAGGCAAAACGTGGGAAGTCCCCTGGAGACCCAGACCCCCCTCGACCTACACAGACCGGTCTCTGTGTATCATTCTACAACTCTGGCCCAGCCCTTCCCGGACATCCCGGCAGAGATGTAACCTATTACTTTGGACTGATGACTGGTGTCGTCCAGCTTGGTATTGCAGCTATCCCATGTGGTATACATGGAAATTGGGGAATTATGGTGATCACAGCGGTTGGGATCTTGCTGTCGCTTGTCATGGGTTCTCTGGGCCAGTGGAAGCAAGAAAAATGGGCGTGTCGTTCTGGAAAACGGAATTCGGTGATTTTGACCAAAGGCAATGGTAGTCAGCATGCAATTGTCATCTTCGGGGAGGAACGCGGTCTTGATCTTGAAGCTTTGGCCACAAGTCCCGCTACAACGGATACGCTGACCACAAAGGTAACCAGAGTTTCTGTTATACTGCTAACTATCCTTTGGATATTCCTTCTTATCGCTGCCTCCGCTTTGAAACAGGATACCTGGTATCTGTTAGCCGTCGGGGGCATTGGAATGCTCCAAAACATCCTTGCTGCCGGCGTTTCTCGAGCTCCCGAGCAATTCGGTATATCGCTGAGTTTTGAAACAGTCATTTGCCGGCCAAAGGTCATGGAGACGCTTTTCGAGGTCGAAGCACAATACCACGGTGTGGGGAGGAGTATGCTCGGGGTGTTTTTCCCAGGAAAATTACGCCCTCAGGAAGAGGAGCTTTGGAATGAGATTGCGGTGCGAGCCGAAGCTGCTAGGGAGAAGGCCAAGCTCAGCAACAGCCTAGGGGCTGGCCATGAGACCAGTCAAGAAGCGAAAGGCTCGTGAGTTGGCAAGTGTGCAAGGCGGAACAAACGTGTTAGGTATATGCTTTGTAGCACTATGGCTCCTATCTCAGGGTGAAAAGGGTCAGCCTAATACTACGCGATGCAAACCTGTGTCTCAATGTGGACTCAATTCATTGGTCCTATTTCAGCAGAACTATGTATTATATCGGGGTATTTCCGACAGGTTCTTACTACGTCAACGAAGATCCAACTAAGTAAATAACAATCATCAAGAAGTATTAGCCAGTCAGGTATTACCTGACTAGGAAGACCAGATGCCCCAATAACTCAGTCACCGCGGACTACGGAGTGTTCCATCATTTAGGGCATGAGATCGACACCTCAGGCAGTAAATTAAGTTAATGCCTGACCCGGGAGGCACCCGCACTAGTCCCCAACAAGGCAGCCCTAAGCCCTAAGCCTCGCTACGGGTGACCAACCACAGGGCGTGGCGGAGCGGAGTGCGCACCGATCCATCCAACTCCGTTCGACTTTGACTTCGACTCGACTCGCCTTTTCCCTTTAGCAACTCCGTCGTCGCCAACCCCTCAGTCGCAGTCCTCACAACCGTCGTGATGGCGCAAGAACGCTCCGGAATCTCGGTGGGCCTGAACAAGGGTCACGTACGTTCTTCCTTTTTTTATTCCTGTCTTTTTTGGCACGGTGTGCTTGAGTTGGAGGTGGAATGAGTCGGATGGTCGGTCGGATGCAACAGTGGTCGAATCGAGTCGAGTCGGATGAATTGCGTGTGCTGTGGACGTACACAGGGAAGATCTTGTCGGTCGTTTTGGAGCAGGGCCGGATTGGGAGATCCTATCGGGATTTTCCAAGACACAGGAAGAGATGGGAAAAAGCCTGAAGAAGGACGAAAAAAGACAGTACACCAATGGACGTGGGAAACAACAGCACTATGGGACACCGAATTGCATCTTTGACCACTCGACACTGGATCATCCGTTCGACACCGCCTCGTTCCACCCAACTCTACCAAAAACAGTGTCTTGAAATTCGCATGTCGCAATACTGACCATCTGCAGAAAACCACCCCCCTCAACACCCCCAAGACCCGCGTCAGCCGCACCAAGGGCCAGTCGTCCCGCCGCACTGCCTTTGTCCGTGAGGTTGCCCGCGAGGTTGTCGGTCTTGCCCCTTATGAGCGCCGCATCATCGAACTCCTGAGAAACACTCAGGACAAGCGCGCCCGTAAGCTCGCGAAGAAGAGAGTACGTCTTCCTGCCATGGGGTTCTGGCATTTGCTCGACTGGTTGGGGAGTCTTCTTCGATGATATCCACCCAACCCAAGTCAAGCAAATTGCCCGATCAACTCGCCCTCCCACCTTGTCTACACACAACTAACATACTCTCTCCAGCTCGGTACTTTCGGCCGCGGTAAGGCCAAGGTCGAGGACATGCAGCGCGTCATCGCCGAGGCCCGCCGTGTCGGTGGCCACTAAGCTACTCGCACGAGTCCTCTGAAAAAACCACACCGCGATACCGTTTCCGTTTCCGTTTTAAAGTTTTTTCTTCCTAAAAACCCTCCCTTTTGGGCCCACGAGATAACGAAACACAAAAAATGAGAATTTTGGGTGGTATGGGTCGATGGAACCGGGATCGGACCGGCTACTGAAATGGCGGCGCATGCTTGTATGTTGCGTGTGTTGTTGGACCTGAGGGGTGGGGTTGAAGTAGTGTCGTTCTTGTCTTTGTTCTATATCCCATAGAAGAAATATTGACGAGGATGGAATGGCATTTGGTCGTTTTCTTCTGTTCTTTTTTTTCTCCCTAGCTTTTCCCTCAGCTGGTGGGAATTGGCTGGTTGCCCCTTCACGAAGAGGTATCCATTTAAGCGTGCCACTGGCTACGAAAGGAGCCTTCAAAGAGAAGGAACGAGGAAAAATAATCGAAAAGGTCTTGGGATTCGACGCTATACCACGATTTTCTCTCTCTTGCCACGCCTAAACTCAGTAGTGCAGCCCGATATCGTCTTAGTTTGATCCCGTAATTGCCTCGGTATAACTATACATACTTGGGAAGACTAAATGTGATCGTCGTAACCCTTGTCATGGCTAATCTAATTTCCGTAGACCCAAGAGGTTTGCTTGGAGATAGGAAGGTACATACAGTCCAACGTTTCCACCTCAGTCACGACATAACTGTCTCTCACCCGCCTTATTTCTTGCCAGGCAGTTTCAACCATTTCGGTAAACTACCCGGTTTGCGAGCTGGCTTTCCTCCTCCCTCTTGACGGTCAGATGCAGACTGGGGAGCGGGTGTATCCTCAGAGGTATCCATCATCTCGGCAGGCTGTTCGACCTTGAGGTCCTGGGCCTGGGTACGCAGCTCCGGTTTCAAGAGATCCTTCTTCGCCTGGCGGGCCGTCGACGACGCCGACTCATGCCAGGAGAAGTTGATCAGGACGCGGCCGGCGAGGCCCACGTTCTTGATGAGAAGACTCTTGTCGGAGTCAGGCAGGGCGCTCTGTAACTTCTTGGTGGCTTTCGCGGGCGGGCCCACAGTGGATTGCGTGAGGACGAAGCTCTCTGCGGCGAAGGGCGCAGCGAGACAGCTCCGGACGAAGTCGTAGAGCGTCTTGCCTGTGTCTGATTGGCTGAATTTGGCGACTACTTGGCTCTGGTCTGGTAGTCGCACTTTTACGTCGACTTCTTTGACGCCTGCTCGTCGCTCTTCCTCCGCTGCAGCTTGGGCGGCCATCTCTGCGTCTGTGGGTAGTCGTTGGTTGCGGGAGGAGGCGTTGAGGCGGCGCTGGTGGGCCTGTGCATGGTCGACGGATGGGATGTAGTCGGAGTCGTTATAGTTCGTTTGCGCGGACTGCGGGGTGGTGTTGGTTGGGGGGGAGAACACTGTCACTGGTCGACCTGTGGCAGCGGAGGGAGGTTCGGTGGGTTCGACGGCGGCAGAGGATGACGGGACGGGCGGCTCGGAGGGGGTCGTGTGCGTATCAGATTCTGTGATTGCGGGCTGTGTTTCAGTCTGATCGTGTTCACTGCCCGTCTGCGGTTGTTGAGTGGCAGGTGAGGCGCTCTCGTTGATGGAGAGGTCTTCCTCGCCCGACGCTTTGAAAAATTCTTGGATCTTGACCATGGCCTCCTCCAGCGGCTCCTCCGTCCGTCGGAAACTTAACCGCAGCAACACATTCCCGCTGTTGAATCCGAGCTGTGCCAGGGTCTTCTGCAAATCTGTAAAGGAGGAGAGTTCGCGCCCCAGCGCCTGAACGACCGGGGTTTCGTAGAATAATCGTCCAGCGCCGCCGCCGCCTGCCACGGGGATTCCTCGCCCGGTCAGGTTCCGGGTCACCGTACTGCCTGCCACGCCGGCCTCGAATTTGCGGAGAATCAACCAGATCGTTGTTGTACTCGGGAACTTGTCTAGGATACGACCACTGGGCGCTCCTCGTACCTCTGACTCGGGGAGCTGCAGTGCGACGGTGACAACGGAGGGCGATCGGGAGAGTTGAACCAGCTCTAATTTGGCGCCGGAGGTGAGACCGGACAGACGAAGGGCGAGGGAGAGATCAAGCTGTTTTCCTTTGTATCTTATAACAACCTGTTAGTTTGGATTCATGGGCCCTCTCTCTCTCATTCTCACTCTTGGGAGGGGTGTTGTACTTCAACCCATGTTGGCTGGCATCTACCTCCAGCTTGGTGCAGGCTTCTTGTAGAATATCGGTCAGATGTTTGCCCGGAGTGGTTTTTATGGTCGCTCTTCGCGCCGTCGAGTCGAGAACGACGACATGGGAGCTCATGGTGGCTCGTTCTGTCGGGCGGGGCTCTGGAGGTTGATATAGTGTAGATTTCTTTTCAGCGTTATTCTCCTGGGTAATATTCAGAGTTATGCTTTTGGATGATGGGCGATAGAATTGAACCGATCCAACGCGTAGTCAGCTGTAGATAAGCCAGAAAGAGAGGGATGAGGATGATGTTGAATATGAAGTTGTTGGATGTTGTGGTGGAGGAAGAGGCTCAGGCAGCCAAGGCAGCGTCATCGGCCGCAAGCTGAGTCGCTCCACATTGAGAGAGAGAACAGACACAGCGAGAGCTTCATCCGCTTCCTCTCCTCCCACCCCATCATCCTCCGTCTTCTCCCCCATCGCCCCATCTCCCCCAATTCTTTCTTCTTTTCTTTTCTTCCTTATTAGGGAAATCTGCTTAGGTTTACTTTGGTTGATTCTCATTTGGGGACTCGTTCACGACACAAAGAATCATGGTACGTTGCTCTCGCCCTTCCTGAACCATCATCCATCAAGCTGACCGACCATTCTCTAGAGCTCCCCTTTCGACATCAGTATGCCCTCTCCTCCTTCTCCGATCTCCCTCTTCCATACACTGACTGATGTCCTCCCCAGATGGCGGCGCCTGTGTCGCCATGGTCGGCAAGGACTGTGTCGCAATCGCCTGTGATCTCCGTCTAGGCATGCAGTCCCTGACCGTCTCGAACAACTTCCCCAAGATCTTCAACTACGGCCCATCCACCTTCCTTGGCCTGACCGGTCTGGCCACCGACGTGTCGACCGTGTCCGATCTCTTCCGCTACAAGGTCAACATGTACCGCCTCCGGGAGGAACGCAACATCGCGCCCCAAACGCTGGCCAACCTGGTCAGCTCGTCGCTGTACGAGAAGCGGTTCGGTCCGTTCTTCGTGAGCCCGGTCATCGCCGGTATCAACTCGACCTCGGGGAAACCCTTCATCTGCGGGTTCGATAGCATCGGGTGTATTGATTTCGCCAAGGACTTCATCGTCAGCGGGACAGCTAGTGATCAGTTGTTTGGTACATGCGAGGGTTTATGGGAGCCTGGTTTGGTATGTCTTCACACTCTACTTGGCGGGTTATCACTGACGGTATTGTTTCAAACAGTCGGCGGACGATCTCTTCGAGACCATCTCGCAGGCCCTCCTCAGTGCCGTGGACCGAGATGCCCTCTCGGGTTGGGGCGCCCACGTGTACATCATAGAGAAGGACAAGGTGACCCAGCGGCTACTCAAGGGACGACAGGATTAGAGCGTAATGTCCGGTACTTTTTTCTAATTGAATGTCTCTTCATCTTCCACATTCTACTTACATCCCACACTACATGACCATGAACGGTCAATCCTAATAGCCATCCCTCCCCGTAACAACCGCATACGCCTGGCCCCCCTTCCCCAAAAACCCCTTCAAATCCCGCGCCAGCAACTCCGGAACCTCCCAAGCCGCAAAATGCCCACCACAGTCAAACTCATTCTCCCGAACAACATCACCGATCATCTGCGCCCAAAACAAAGGAACCTTGATCAACTCCTCCCGAAACTGCGCCACCGCAAACCGCACCCCCGCCGGCGCCGTCATACCCAGCACATCGTACGTAGTAACCCCAGGAGTGGCGTTCGTCACAGAGGTCCCATCATCACCATCACCCTTCCGCGCAGCCTCATAGTAAATCCTCACCGAAGCAGCCGGGCCCGCCGTCGAAAACCAGTAAATACTCACCCACGTCAAGATCTCGTCGTCCGTCCAAGGATACCCATCTGACCAGTCATGCAGTTTATCCGCAACCCACGCCAACAGCGCAACGGGACTATCCTGCAGGGCGTAGCCCAGCGTCTGGGGGCGCGTCTCCTGCTGGCGGAGGTAGGCGTTGCCCTGGTCGAGGTAGCGGCGGGTGGTGGCTAGGTGGGCCTTGCTGGAGGCGGAGAAGGGGATGGTGAGGAGGGATTGGAGGAAGATGAGAGGGTTGCGCCAGGGGAGAGGGGGGGAGACGGGGAGGAAGTTGAGATGTACGGCTTTGACGTGCGTTGGGTAGTGGGTGGCCATTGTGCGGGCGATTAAGCTACCCCAGTCGCCGCCTTGGATGGCTTTTCTTCCATTAGTTTTTTTTTTCTTTCTTTAAGTAGATGGTTCTGTGGAGGGGATGAGACGGACAGTATTCTTGGTAACCGAGGGTGGACATGACGGCGTGCATGCACTCGGCGTACTGGGCTAGACCGAATCCTTTCTGGGGGATGTTAGTATCTAACGCCACAGTGAAGATAGATAGATATATATATATCTAAAGAATGTAGACGAACCTTTTTCACCCCAGAAGAAAAGCCAAAATTAGGCAAAGAGGGAACAACAACGCTGAAAGCCGGGGCGTTATCGGCATCGTTGCTCAAGTATGGGAGGAGCTTAGTAGCCTCGAGGAAGCTGCCGGGCCCTGCGGATGTTATTTTCTACCTCTATATTCAATTCACTGGGTCTAAGCATAGGCCATCGAGAGATACACCAATGTCGACGATGTCCGCAGATATAGAAGAGAATGAAAGAACATACATCCATGAAGAAACAACAATGGAACAGCATTCGGATTCGGACTCGCATGATGAACACAATGGATCTGCAACTGTCCGAAACCCGCAACGGTAACAGGGACGAGCACTTGAGTCAATCGGTCATTGAGCTCTTTCTCCTGTCGGCGCCAGTTGAAGCCCGTTCGCCAGTAGGTTGTCAGTCGTTTGATCTGCTCAAGGGGGATGCCTAAGTCCCAGCCGGCGACGTCGAGCTCGTCCGGGAAGGTTGCGGTGTCGAGTTTCTGGTGGAGACGGTTGAGGTCATCGTCTGGGACGTTGATTTGGAAGGGTTGAATGGACTCCATGATTGATCAAGGTAGGTGGGTGGGGAGGTGTCTGGTGCTGTCTTGGTCTGGTTTATATGTTTCTATGTTGACGATCCATAACCTCGGCTTGGGGGGTGGGGAGGGGAAAGGGACGACGATCTTGGATGGTTGATCTGGTTTTTTCCTGGGATTGAATGACTATAATAATAATATTGATCATAATGGTAATATCCGATAAATAATATAGAGTACACAATGGGGAATGCTTTTCTTCTTATACTGAAAATATATAACACCGTCGGACTGTGTATGAAAGGATACTATAGGTATATGGATATCTCTCTATTGACGACCACAAGGGCAATGACTCTTCTGGACGTGAGACAAATTGCACCAATAGATATTGATATTAATATAAACTTAACTATTATATCATATATTAATATTTGATTAAATCAATACTTCGAATATCTGTTCTTGTATATTGTATAAAGTAGTATAAATAATGCCACGCTCGTGAAAGTAATGCCACATCTGACTCAGCCAATCTCACCCCCTGATTGGTCCACTGCACCCCGCGTCTAGACCGGGCGATGGAACGGACCAATCGAAGGATTTCTTCCTCAGGCTCTTTCTTCCCCTCTCATTCTCTCCTCTCTGTTCTTTCACTCTGACCTCGTCTATCTTCATCCTCACTTCTCACTTCTCACCTCTCACCTCTCACCTCTCTCACCTCCCCTCCTCTCACCTCATTCTCTTCCCATCCTCCCCTCTCCCTTTTATCCCCTCTTCTTCCTCTCTCCCTCCCTCCTTCTTCCTCTCTCCCTCCCTCCTTCCCCCCTCCTATCCTCCCCTCATAATAAAATCCCCTCCGGTACAGTCCAACCCGATTCCGGTGGCTGGACTGGGGGCTCATCTCTCCACTCCAAATTCTCCACGGATTCGATTGTACGTCTCATCTCATCTGTTCCTCCACCTCCCTTTTATCCCTCTAATTATACCATTATTCCCTCCGCTGACCCCGTACAGTTGGAACGCCATGCCCTGTGATTCCCCCAGACACTGGCTGCGTGATACCCATCCATCTCAGTCCGAATCCTGGCACACCCCCATCCCCTAACCAGGAGCCCTCCTCTCTCCTGTCGATTCGACACCCTCCAATTCCTCCAACCGGAATATCATGTCCCAACCAGTCGAGTCAGAATGGTCCCCCGCGCTGGTCTCTGCCCCCCCGCGTAATGCCATGTTGCTCCCCTGCAAGTCCGAGTGTCTCGCCGGGGACCCCGCCGTCGCTCCCTCGTTTGGTCAAGACGATCCGCACACCGTTCCCGCCGCCCACCACCATTATCGCGGCGTCGCCGAGAACATGGCCATCGAGCGCCTTGTCACCCTCAAGCGGGACATCCAGGCCGTCGACCCGGGCCTCTTTTGGATCCGCCTGATGGAACAGGTCACCTCCATCTGCGGCGCCCAGTATGCCTTTGTCGCCCGCCGCGTGCGTCCCGACGAGCCCGTCGTCGACCTCGCCGGGCGGAAGCCCTCTATCTTCGGCACGGCCTTCTACTACAACGATGGCCAGCAGACCGTGGGCTTGCACCGCCACCGCTATTTCGCCGGAGGCAACCCACTGTCCCACATGGACCGCGAGAAGCCCTGCCTCATCCCGGACAATTTGGGCGCATTCACCTCGTTCGGCGCCGACCAGCTCCCCTTCGCCGCTGAGGGCTACTTGTCCGTCCCCGTGTTCGCCGGCACCGAGTGTGTGGCCCACTTCGGCCTGATGTGGTCCGCCGCCGGTTTGAAACATCGCAGTCTGCCCTGGTCCTTCGTGGAGATGGTGCTCTATTCCCTGGAAGATCTGGTCGTCGCACGGATCCAGAAGGACGGCCACCCCGTCGAACCGGTCCCCGACCCCCGCCGACCTTCTGTCGGCGAAATGACCGTCGACGAAACTCTCGCTAGCCTCGCCCACGCGCCGGCCGAGTTTGCCTCACAGCACTTGAAGCCCTACGCCCGGAGCCTGTCCCACGAGCTGCGGACTCCGATGCAGGGAATCGTGGGCATGCTGGACGTCATGCACGCCACGGTGCGCGAGGCCCTGCAGGATCAACCGCCCGCCGAGGCCGGCGGCGTCTTCCAGTCCCTCAAAGAAGGCATCGAGATGGTCCAGGACAGCGCCCGACGCGCCGTCGAGGCCGCCGACAACGTCGTACACGCCTACGACCTGAACATGCAGGTGCCCAAGACGCCCCAGCTGGAGCGCGACGGCGAGATCCTCGGCGGTCCTGCCGCCCCGTCGCCCGTCGCCCCCACCCCCGCCCGCGAGGGGCGCCCCAACCTGTTCATCGAAGGCAGCGACATCCCCGCCAACCCTTACAAGCGCCGGCGCAGCAACCCGGCGGACGCTCCGCCCCCGCCGTCAGGGTCGAACGCGACCCCCAAGGCGCCCCGTCGGTCGCCCCGCAAGGGGCTCTCGCCGCGCAGCGAGGAGGTCAAGATCGCCGTCCACGAGAGCGATCGCATCGTCCAGGCGGACCCGGACCACCCGATCGAAGCCGTCATGGCGGACGTGGGCGGCCACCCGCGGCCCTCCCTGGCCGTCCGCCGCTCGGCCCCGCACCTCATGCTGGAGGGCATCCACGTCCACCGCCAGGGCTCCCTGCGCCTCATCAAGCTGCGGGACCTGCTGCGCCTGGTCATCAATGAGTCCCTCCACGTCGGCGGCCGCCCGGACTTCGCCGTCAGCAGCGCCACGGACCGCGGTGAGACGATCGAGGTCCGGTCGCGGGTGTCCAACGGCGAGGTCGTCGCCAAGACGATCAACTGGTCCGTCGATCCCGCCCTGCCTGAGACCCTCTTCGTCGACGACCGCGACCTCGCCAAGCTCATCTCCTGCGTCTTCCTCAACGCCGTCAAGTTCACCAACGCGGGCACGATTAACGTCTGCGCCTCGCGCGGGGGCAGCAAGGGCCACGACATCCTCATCCGCGTCCAGGACACGGGGCCCGGCATCCCGACCGCCTTCCTGCCCAAGCTGTTCACACCGTTTGCCCGGGAGGACATGTCCACCACCCGCAGCAAGGACGGCCTGGGGCTGGGACTGCTGGTGGCCAAGGGGCTGGCCCGGAAGATGGGCGGCGACCTCCTCTGCGTGCGGTCCGCGACGTCGGGGCCCGATCACGGGTCTGAGTTCGCCATCCGCATCCCCGTCAACCCGTCGAATCCGCCGGGGGGCTCAGCCTCGCCGACGGCACGACTGCTCACGCCGCCCCAGCTCGGCGATCCTGCGAGATCATTATCGTCAACGTCCTCCTCCTCCTCCTCCTCCTGCTCATCGTCCGGCGGGCGCAGCACGACGACGCCAGAGCCGGAATTGGAACCGTCTCAGCCGCCCCCCCTACAGCAGCCATCGCCGGGCCTGTCGGAAGATCCGCCCTCCCAAACCTCCACCCCGCCGCGCTCCGTCCCCAGCGTGCAACTGTCTCGACGCTCGTTCAGCCAGAATACCTACGACAGCCAGCTCGGCGTCAAACACCCGCTGACCTTCCTGGTCGCCGAAGACAACCAGATCAACCGCCGGGTGCTAGTGAACATGCTGAAACGGCTGGGGTATCACGACGTCTACGAGGCGTGCAACGGCAAGGAGGCCGTCCGGACCATGCAGGGCGTGCTGGACGCGCCTCGCCCGGGCGCCGTCGCCGGGGCCGGGGCTGGAGTCGGAGCCGCGGGGCTCCCTACCCCCGGATCGCCCCACGACCGCCCCGTGGACGTGATCCTGATGGACCTATGGATGCCCGAGATGGACGGATACGAGGCGACATCGCACATCCTGCAGCTCCCGGGCCCCAGCCCAACAGTCCTCGCTGTCAGCGCCGACGTCACAGACGAGGCATTGAACCGGGCGTCTAAGGTGGGCATGAAGGGGTACATGACGAAGCCGTACAAACTGACGGATCTCGAACGGTTGATCGTGGGCTTTTGCAGCGACGCGGCTGGACCGGTTGCCTCTCATCCGATGGATGTTTGCATGACATGATCTTGAGCTGTGTTTCAGGACTGGAATTGGAATGACTGTGGATGATTGATTTCGAAGGATACCTTGTTTTTTTTTTTTTTGTCTCTTTCTTTCTTCTTTTCTTTGTCTGGGTACGATGGATTCGGACTCGGACTCGGGTTGGAGTTTACGGTTGGTTGTGATAAATGGTATATACCCATCATGATGATGATCTTGAAGCCGAATTGATAGGCAACGATAAGATAGATAGATACACACATACAGATATGATCACAATGGAAATGACCGGGTTTATGGTTCCTACTGTAAATTAGTATCATGTCTTACTGCTTATACCTGCTGTACGGATTCGGGTCCAATCCCCAGATGGAAGCCGGTTGGAGGTAGGTAATATGAGTGATTCTTTGATACGTAAGTCTAGGAGGGAATTATCCAGAATAGCGTATTCATTATTTCCATATCCATATTCATATCTGTATCGACTCGTGTATATCCATCACCTATCCATCCACCCATCCATACATCCACACGTACAACCATACTGGAACGAAAACGCTACACATGCGGAAAGGCACAAACTAAAACTTATAGAAGGACCATTCTATCATCTGCAGTGACAGATTTCTTGCAGAGTAAGAGAAAAGAAAAAAGAAAAAGAAGACACAGTCATCTAACCATCCAAAAATAAATGAAGCGTTCAGTAAGTAGGTAGGTAGATAGGTATGTATGCATGTATGTAGGTACGGAGTATAGATAGATGTAGGATCTCCCTCTTCACATTACCACTTCAAGGTAAATTGACCTACGTCAACTTCTGTTTGATGAAGAACGAGCGCAGGTGGGACAGCTGCCAGGCGCAGGCGGCGGAGAGAACAGCCAGCTGCATCAGGGTCCAGCGGACGACACGGGAGTTGGTCGCTTCGGACTGGTCACGGAATTCGGCCTCGCGTTCCTAGGGAGGTTAGCTATGCTCATAGATAGACACCCATATACAACTAGTGTTTCATAGTGTATCACAAGATCATATGAAACTCACCCGTTGGAACACCTGCTCCCGACGGATATCCTGCAATCGACCATTCAAATCCTTGACCTTCTGCACAATATCCTGAATCTTGCCCTTATCTTCAGTCTCGATCTTGCTGGTCTCGCCGATGGCCATGTCGAGCGTGACGCGGAGGGCCCCCGGGGCACCGGACATCCACACCGCGACGTTGGTCTCGGGCGTCAGGCAGATCTTGTGCTGGCCGGCATCGGCGGCGGAGAAGGTGAAACGGCCGGCGTGGTTATCGCGCTTGGAGACAACACGGTGGTCGTTGTCGAAGATCTCGTCCACGGTGATTAAGACTTTCAGGCCGGCGTCGACTTCGTAGGTGTTTGTTTGGGTGTTGATGACTTCGGTAGAGTATTTTCCTGATTTGTTTTATACCGTGTTAGCAAACGTATCCCATGTAATATTGGCAGAAAAGAGAAAGCGTACCAGCGACGAGAGTATCCTTGGGCAGCTCCTCCAGGAAACACTTGGATTGACGACCGTCCATATAGAAGTAGAGGGCGTTGGTGGGCACGGAGAGACACAGGATGACACACAGGGCCACCAGAGAGGACAGCCATGAGGCTGAGGGATTGGACCGAGCCATGATGAGGAGAGAGAGATCGAAAGGGGTGGTGGGCGAGGAGAGAGAGTTGTGGTGGAGAGAGGGAGATGGGAAGATGAAGTTGTTTGTTGGTTGATCGATCTGGCTCCAACGGGAGTCGGTCTTGGCGCGACTCATTTCTCTCTCTTCCTTTTCCGTCTCTTTCTCCGCCTCCTCCTTCTCCTTCTTCTATACACCCCACTCCATCGCTTCTATCTCCATCTTCTACGCCAGACCGATTCGGTGTATTTTCTTGATATTAATTCAGTTTATTTGAGATACCCACCCCACTGGCCCCGCCATGGCCGCCGCCGATGTTCGGGACATGCTGGATTTGCCCGCGGAGGGCCAGCCGCGACCGCATAAGAAGCAGAAAGTCGTCGAGAAAAGACCGGGTGGGTTACGTCGGGAGAAAGAAAAGATGGCCTGGAGTATCAAAGGCTAATGGATGTCTGCAGAGGGTATTACACGAGAGCTCTTCGCCCTTCTCGGCGAAAGGGCCCCTCCCATCGCCATCAGCGAGAACCGATACAAGGGACGACCGAAATGGATGAGCAAGCTGAGAGTGCGCCCATGGTATGCTCTTTTCGCTTTACGCTGATATCAGCGGCACTTCTGACCATTTGTGATCTCTAGGCGCATGACTCCCTTCTCCAATAGCGCCCGATCGGACGGTCTCATCCTCAACCACTGGCAGCGCCAACCCGAAGTGTCCAAAGCCCCAGCACTCGAAGGACCGGCGATGGAGGTTGACGGACCGAAAGAAGAAGAAAGCACACCACAGACCCTAGGGCAGGAATCCTTGTTCGCCAAATACAACATCAAAGCGCGCGTACCACGACGCTACACCGACGAAGAGTACAATCGCCACCTGAAGAACGACGACTGGTCGCGGCAAGAGACGGATTACCTGGTGGACCTGGTCGAGGAGTACGACCTGCGCTGGGTGATCATCGCCGACCGCTACGATTTCCAACCGCAGCCGGTCGACGCGGAGGCCAACACAGGCGCGCTCGTGCCGGCCAAGCGAGTTCGCACCATGGAACAGATGAAGGGACGGTACTACTTTGTAGCCGCGTCCATGCTAGCCCTCGAGCACCCGCCATCCGAAATGTCCGAAGCGGAGTTCGACCTGCACGAGAAGATGATGAAGTTCGACGCGGACCGGGAACGCGCCCGCAAGGAGCTAGCAGCCCTACAGCTGAACCGCACGGCCGACGAAGTCCGCGAGGAGAGCATCCTTCTCGAGGAACTGAAGCGCATCACCGCCAGCGAACAGGAGTTCATCAACGACCGTCGCGAACTCTACACGCGTCTCGAAGTCCCCGTCAGCGTCGGCAACACCACCATGTACCAGTCCAGCCAAGGCCTCTCGCAACTCCTCCAAACACTCCTCCAAGCAGACAAGACCAAGAAACGCCGCTCCATCCTCGGCGCCGAAGCTGGTGCCGCCGCCAGCCCCGCCAGCCAAACACCAACCTCCAACGCACCCACCAACGCCCGCGACAGCCGAGCCGGCACCCCCAGCACAACCGCCGCCGCCGCAGCAGCAGCCGGCGGCGCCGCGGGCGGACCCACAAACAAAAAGGCCGTAGCAGCGGCGGCGGCAGCAGCAGCAGCCAACAAAGAAGCGCAACAAGCCACCAAAACGCTCACAGCGACCGAAGAATCCCGCTACGGCGTCCAGCACCACGAGCGCCTCGCCCCAGGCGTCCAATTCCGCAGCGACCGCGCCCAAAAACTCACCCAAGCCAAATCAAACGTGCAAACGCAGAAGCTAGCCGGCGCACTCGCCGAGCTCGAAGTCCCCCTCCGACTAGTGATGCCCACCGAACGAGTCTGCAAGGGCTTCGAAAAGCTGATCCACTCCGTCAACCTGCTTCTCGATGCGCGCAAGGTCGCTGAGAAGGTCGAGGGCGAGATCCGCGTGCTGGAAGCTTCCCGAGATGCTCGCGAGGCTAAGGATAAGGATAAGGAGAAGCCTGTTAAGACTGAGCAGCAGGATGATCAGTTGCCGCCGGAGTCGACGGCCGGATCTACTGATGCAGCGGCGACGGCTAATAGTACTGCTGCTGCTGCTGCTGCTGCTGCTGCTGGGAGAGACAAGAATTCCGCGGGCGATGCCGACAATAAAGATGCGGAGGCGCCGTCTACTTCGCAGAAGCGGTCTGCTAGCGTTTTGAGTAATGGGAGTGATAAGAGCTCGAAGAGGCAGCGGAAATAGGGGTGTCTTTTGGATACTAGGCGTGTCTTCCGGGTGGATTGTTTATATGCGTGTGTTCTTTGTGCTGTAAGATACCTATGTACGACTGGGATGGATGGGATAGGCGTTGATGGACTGGATTCATTACATTTTTAATCGACGTTTAGAAATGAACGACTGTTGTTGGTCGATGCTTTCATTCTACTTTCATTCTTTCCCGCCCATGCCCTCGAGCAGACACCAACTGCTCTCCATCTCCAAGTTTATCTGGTCACTGCGTTTCGACACAGTCCTGGTACGCATCCCATTCGCTCACCACGGTTTCGTCGCTGAGGCGCTCCTGCCACTCGCCCTGGCCGGGTCCCAGCGTGGTCATTTCGTGCGACACCTGCGAGACTCCAGTGTCCCCAGAAGTTCTGGCCGGGATGATTGGAACATTGTCACTCTCGTCTGTGCTACGACGCCCCTTGCGAGCCCGGACTTTGAACCGAATCCCCCGTAAAGCGCGTCTCCGGACAACGGGATATGTCTCTTTCGAACTCTTCCGGATGGGCGCTTTTGCGTCCAGACTAGAGGTCCGTTCGGTCACCCCGCGCCTTTTGGCCCAGAGACTTTTGGCGCGACGGAGTCTCACTTGCCGCTTTGACGGGGCCCCTTCGGTGTCCTTGGTAGTGGCAGATGCGGTTCTCTGTTGGTTCTGCGATGCCGGGCTTGCTGGACCAACGCCGCAAAAGTGAGCCCAGGGGGGTATCAAGTCTGCCTCCACGGCCTCCCGGGTGTCCTGGTTCCCCCTCCAGTGCGATATTCTTTCCCACAGGGAAGGGGCATCCCCGCTTGTGCTATGAATACTGGTTGGCTTATAGCACGGGATTCCAGGCCGGTTGCGGGGGCTCCAGCGACGGGCGAAGCCTGGAACACCGAGACTCGACGACGCTGTTTTCGAAGATGTCCGCACACTCTCGCCCGAATTATCTCTGCCAACTGAGACGGAGGATAGGTTCCCAACTGCCCCTTGATGAGATGAGTCCGCTTCACCGGTCATAGGCTCTATACTGCCGCCTTGGGATGGCTCGTCGTTGGGAGAAGGAACCAACGCATATCCATATCCCATGCGACGTCCCTCCGATAACCATCCGACACTGACACTGCAAGAAGAGCCCACTTCACTCTGACAATCTGACCTGAGGGATATTGTCGACGGGTTCAACTCAAAATGCTCCGTAAATTTGCCTTGGGAAGCACTCGCTCCGCCATCAGAGTAATTGGTGGCCGTTGAAAAACTTGACGGGGTGTCCATGCGAATAACTCGGACCTCTAGCTGTCCCCGCTCTTGCCGCGTGCCGGATGGAGGAGACAGGCGCCTGGGGCCTTCATTGTTGTCCATCATCCCGTCATCCAGCGACTGGGCTTTGGACCGAAGCGGGGAAGAGATGGAGGTCGTCGCCAGCATGTGTGGGATATTCATGTCCTGCAGATGAGGCGAACTGGCAGGCCCAACCAGCTGCGCCGAAAGCCGTCCTCGCGTTCTGGGGATCACAATATCCGGGGTTCCTCTCGAGGAGTCGGTGGATACCCTGTAGCCCCGAGGCACGGGGGAGACTAGGTGGGGATGCCCGCGACAGGGGACTGACGAGTATAGACGGCCGCTGTTGGGGCCCAGCGGCAGCGAGGCGCTGGGAATGTCAGTCTGCAGTCGCGAATGACGTACATTGGGCATGGGCAAATCGTTCTCCGCTATTGCGGCACCATTGTCACTGGGCCCTGGGCTTTGCAAAGGATCAACTACACTCGATGGGAGTCGATCGAGATCAACCCGGTCTAACTTGGGGGAACATTGCAAGCGTCCATGTCCCCAGGACAAGAAAGATTTCGTTCTGTCGCCGTTCCTGGGGAAGATCGCCGAATTCTCGCTTTCAGTCCGGCTGTGCTCTTCCACCAGAACGCCCAGCGGCTCGCTCTTTCCCTGGTGGTGTGGCGCGCCGTTCTCGCCCAGGCCGGTTGAGGGGTGGTCGGGAATGTGCTTGGGCTGTTTTGGGGTGGATATGAATTGAGCGTCACTATCATATCCTCTTTCGCTCACCAGGCTGCTCCCCACGTCGCCTGAGGCGATGGGCCCAGCGTTGAGGCCGGTGGATCTGGCAAAGGGGAAGATGGAGCCTTTTCCTTCCCGGGAGAAGCGTTTGCGCAGCTTCTTGGAGAGGCCGCTGGACGAGTCATTGGGGCGATGGAGTCTGGGGGCATCGACCGAGTCGGAGGAGGAGGATGCACGGCTATTATCTCTTGCTAGATGGGCACTTTCCAGGGGATCGATCGCCGGTGGATCGTGGGCATCGTGAGTGAGGGTGGACCCAGACGTGGATCTACCCCCTCGGAGGCGAGGACAAAAGGAGAGCAGCGCGGAGACAGTCATCTCTTCTGATGGGTTGCAGGGGGATGTGCTTGTGGTAGTCAGTGGTGTGAGATGAAGTCTGTCAATGGACTTGACGGTGATGGTTCGGGGTCATGACCATTGTCGTGATGAAAGAAGAAAGAACCGACCGGCTCCTTCCTCTACAGGGATGGACCTTGACTATGGGCTTGTCCTCTTTATATTCAAAAGTCATTCATTCATTCTGGAGTTTTCTTTGTCCGGTGGAATGCATTCATCTCGCTATTCAGATCTGCCTAGTGTCAGAGTATAAATATCCATCCATGATGCTCATCTTCAGATTAATACATCCCCGGGTCATCCAGCTCATCTATTCATCCATCCAGTTCATTACTCAAAAGCCCATCTACCTGTTGACCAACCAATCGATCAATCAGACCCAAGGTAAGCAATCATGCCCGTCCATCCAGGCTACTACATCGGTTGCGACACAGTGACCAACCTCGACCCCGAGTCTGCTCCCTGCCCGGAGGGCATGTTCCAACTATACATGTTTGTGCCGGTCACCGGGGTTTTCCTCACCCTGGAGGCTCTTCTAGACGCCATGCTTTCAGATGTGAAAGCGGGCGAGGGATCCGCCGCTTCCAACATGGATGCGCGTGTGGGAGGGGTCTGGTTCCGGTTCAATGTGACCGAAGAGGGACTTGACGGGCCCCTACTGCACCTGGAAGCGATGGCGGAGCTGAAGGTGCGGATCCTGCGTTTGATAGATTTTGCATAAGTAGGGTACCTTGGCTATGGGTTTGTCTCTTCTTTCTTTCTTTTTGTGGTTCTTCTTTGTCCTATTGAGTGTTTTCATATTGCTATCCGAGTCTTTGCGGATAGTGAGCAGGGTATAAAATAATTATGATGCCCACTGTAGACCCATCTATACCCAGTCTATTCAGTTCACTTTGCTTATCCGTTCCATCTAGTTCATCGATCGTAAGTCTATCTATATCTGACAACCAACCAATCAATCCAAAGGTAAGCAACCATGGTCTCTCATCGAGGTTACTACATCAATCCCAACACAGCGATCAACATTGACACTAAGTTTGTTCCCTGTCCGCCGGGCCTCTTCCGACGGTACATGTTTGTGCCGCTCGTTGGGGATTACCTCACCCTGGAGTCCCTCCTCCAGGCCATGGTTCACACCGTGCAGGCAGGCGAGGGGATCGGTGGGGTCAAAGTAGATGACGCGCGTCTGGGCGGGGTCTGGTTCCAGTTCAACGTGACGGAAGAGGAGCCTATTGAGCCTCGACAGCACCTGGAAGCGGTGGCAGACCTGAAGAAGAGGACCCTGGGTTTGATGGAGTTGAGTGAGTGGACATCTCGCATGGATATAGCATCTTAATTATGGAGGTGTTTCTTTCTTTCCGTGGTCCTTCTTTGTCTAATTGAGTGCTTTCATCTTGTTATCCGGATCTGCAGGTGATGTCGGGGTATAAATACCCAAGATGCCCATCTGTAGACCAATCAATTACCGATTTATCTATTTAGTTCATCTTTGTCCATCCATTTCATTCAATTCATCAGTAGAAAGCCCATCAATCAATCAAGCAGTCTAAAGGTAAGCAACCATGACTTACCGTGGTTACCACATTGACTCCAACACGGCAGTCAACCTTGACCGCGGGTTTACACGCTGCCAAATGGGCGTCTTCCGACGGTTCATGTTTGTGCCACTCACAGGGCATTACTTCACCCTGGTGTCCCTCCTCCAGGCCATGCTTTCCGCCGTGAGAGCGGGCGAGGGGATCCCCGCGACCAGTATAGATGCCGTGCGTGCGGGAGGGGTCTGGTTCCGGTTTGATGTGGTAGAGGAGGGACTGATCGAGCCCCGACTGCGCTTGGAGGCGATGGCTGAGCTGAAGATGCGGATCTTGCGTTTGATGGGGATATGAATGGATGGTGGGGGTTTTGTTTGAGAAGGGTACTATCTTGTATGGGTGGGGTGTCTTGACTATGGGATTGTTCTCTTTATACCCTAGCATTATCTCCTTCTTTCATTCATTCTTTCTTGCGCTCTTTCTTTCTGTGTTTGTCCTGGTCTGATTGAGTGTTTCCATCTTCGCAGGTATAAATATCCAGAACGCCCATTGGTAGATTAGTCTATTCCCAGTTATCCAATCCCTCATTCATCCAAGTCACCAGTTTATCAATCAGTCCAAGGCAAGTAACCACCATGCCCTACTATATAAATTCCGACACGGTGTACGACCTGGACCCCCTCTATCTTCCCCGTCATGCAGGCTGTTTCCGCATATACATGTTCGTCCCTGTCCCCGGGGAGTATGCCACCAAGATTTCACTCCTCCAGGCCATGCTTGAAGTAGTGGAGGCGGGGAAGGGGATCCCTGTGCTCGGCTTCGAGCCCAGATATGAGGGAGGGGTCTGAGTCCAGTTCAACGTGACGGAGGAGGATCTTGAAAAGCCTCGACAGCAGGAGACAGCGGTGGCCGACCTGGAGGCGCGAATCCAGGGATTGATGGAGGGAATTGAATCGGAAGGAAGTCGCCGAATACAGTCAGATTTCAGATGAATCCCGATCGAAGATAGAGATTAGTAGTGTGTATTGAGTAGTCAGGCCGATCCCGGACCTCTATATCCCAATGGGGTTTAGAGTGGAGAGAAAGAGCTTGGGTATCACGCCATTGGCCGCTCCGGGGATTGGTCTGCAGTATTCTTACCGTAACTTTCATGACGATCCAACGCTTGTATTGACAGTCTGCCTTGATTGGTTGAATATGGAACACATTCCAACGATGATTGGCCAATGTTCTGACAGACCGGGGTACACAATACGGTCAGGTATGGTACGGTTCGGTCCCAGTACTTCCAGGACTTCCATCCAGGACGATCGGAGGGGCAGGTTGGGATTCTGGTCAGGAAGAATCGGTTTCCCCTCCACCCCTCTTTCTTCCCCTCCCTTTCTTCTTATTTCTTCGGCCTCCCCTCCTTTTCTCTTCTCTTCCCTTCTTCTCCTTTCTTCTTCTTCTCTTCATCTCTCCCTTTTCTTCTCTTCCTCCCCCTATCAAGAGATCTCTGGATTGTCTCTTGTTTACTTTCTTCTCACCTCTTTTCTTCCTCTTCCCCCTTTACATCAGTCAGAATGGTTCAATCGTGAGTACCCTCTTAACACCCCTGGGATCATCCCCAGTTCCGATCCAATTGACTGACTGTTGCCAGCTCCGTTCTCGGTTTCCCCCGTATGGGACGCCTGCGTGACCTCAAGAAGGCCACCGAGGCGTACTGGGGTGACAAGATCTCTCGCGATGAGCTCCTCGCCGAGGGTAAGAGACTCCGTAGCGAGCACTGGAAGATCCAGAAGGATGCCGGTGTCGATGTCATCCCCAGCAACGACTTTGCCTTCTACGATCAGGTTCTCGACCACATCCAGCTCTTCGGTGTCATCCCCGAGCGCTACAGCAAGTATGGTCTCCACCCCGTGGACGAGTACTTCGCCATGGGCCGTGGTCTCCAGAAGCCCGCCAAGGATGGCCAGGAGGCCATCGACGTTCCCTCTTTGGTATGTTCCCCCTACATAAAATACAATCACCCCCCGGTGGCATGCAATACTAATAATCTTCTTCCAGGAAATGGTCAAGTGGTTCGACTCGAACTACCACTACGTCAAGCCCACCCTCCAGGACACCCAGACTTTCAAGCTGAACGCCGACCCTAAGCCCGTCCGCGAGTTCCTCGAGGCCAAGGAGGCTGGCGTCGTCACCCGCCCCGTCATCCTGGGTCCCGTCTCTTTCCTGACCCTCGCCAAGGCCGACCGTGGCCAGACTCTGGACCCCATCTCCAAGATCGATGCCCTGCTCCCCGCCTACGTGGAGCTCCTGACCAAGCTCAAGGAGGCCGGTGCCACCGATGTCCAGATCGATGAGCCCGTCCTGGTCTTTGACCTCCCCGAGAAGTCCAAGGCTGCCTTCAAGCCCGCCTATGAGAAGCTGGGCTCCCTGGGTGCTTCCGCCCCCCGCCTGCTCCTCGCCACCTACTTCGGTGACATCGTCCACAACATCGAGGTTCTCCCCGCCCTGCACAGCCTCCACGGCATCCACGTCGACCTGGTCCGCCACCCCGAGCAGCTCGACACCATCGTTGGTGCCCTCGGCCCCAACCAGGTCCTCTCCGCCGGTGTCGTTGACGGCCGTAACATCTGGAAGACCAACTTCAAGGCCGCCATCGAGAAGGTCGAGCTGGCCATCCAGAAGCTCGGCAAGGACCGTGTCATCGTTGCCACCTCCAGCTCTCTGCTGCACGTCCCCCACACTCTCGCCAGCGAGAAGACCCTCGACGCCGAGGTCCGTGACTGGTTCAGCTTCGCCGTCGAGAAGACCGCCGAGGTCGTCGTCATCGCCAAGGCCGTCACCGAGGGCCCCGCCGCCGTCAAGGAGCAGCTCGAGGCCAACGCCGCCTCCGTCCAGTCGCGTGCCTCCTCCAAGCGCACCAACGACCCCCAGGTGAAGGAGCGCCAGGCCGCCGTCTCCGACGCCATGCACAACCGCAAGTCCGAGTTCACCACCCGTATCGCCGAGCAGAGCAAGTCCATCAACCTGCCCCTCTTCCCCACCACCACCATCGGCTCCTTCCCCCAGACCAAGGAGATCCGTATCCAGCGTAACAAGTTCACCAAGGGCGAGATCACCCCCGCCGAGTACGAGCAGTTCATCGAGAAGGAGATCCGCGAGGTCGTCAAGATCCAGGAGGAGCTCGACCTCGACGTGCTCGTCCACGGTGAGCCCGAGCGTAACGACATGGTGCAGTACTTCGGTGAGCGCCTGACCGGCTACGTCTTCACCACCCACGCCTGGGTCCAGAGCTACGGCTCCCGCTGCGTGCGTCCCCCCATCATCGTCGGTGACATCTCCCGTCCCGCCCCCATGACCGTCAAGGAGTCCAAGTACGCCGTCTCGGTCGCCAACAAGCCCATGAAGGGCATGCTCACGGGCCCCATCACCTGTCTGCGCTGGTCGTTCCCCCGTGACGACGTGCACCAGTCCGTCCAGGCCCAGCAGCTGGCCCTGGCCCTCCGCGACGAGGTCGTCGACCTCGAGGCCGCCGGCATCAAGGTCATCCAGGTCGACGAGCCCGCCCTCCGCGAGGGTCTGCCCCTGCGCGCCGGCACCGAGCGCGAGAAGTACCTGCAGTGGGCCGTCAAGGCCTTCCGCCTGGCCACCGCCGGCGTCACCGACGGCACCCAGATCCACTCCCACTTCTGCTACTCCGAGTTCCAGGACTTCTTCCACGCCATCGCCGCCCTGGACGCCGACGTGCTCTCCATCGAGAACAGCAAGTCGGACGCCAAGCTCCTCAAGGTCTTCATCGACGAGGCCTACCCCCGCCACATCGGCCCCGGTGTGTACGACATCCACTCGCCCCGTGTCCCCAGCGAGCAGGAGATCAAGGACCGCCTCGATGAGATGCTCCAGTACCTGCGCCCCGACCAGCTCTGGGTCAACCCCGACTGCGGTCTGAAGACGCGCCAGTGGCCCGAGACCAAGGCCGCCCTGACCAACATGGTCAACGCGGCCAAGGCCTTCCGCCAGAAGTATGCCAAATAAATATGTGCAAACCTAACAACCGCTGCCTGCCAATGCGGTGACATTCTCAACCCGTCACCGCTAGGGTCTCGTGTTTTTGTGTGATGAGTTACGATGATGATACCAAAAGTTCAACATATGGGTTCATGGTTTGTACTAGAGATACCGGGATGGAGTTATTTCAACATGGAAGTTCAAATTTCAACATATTGCCTCAGGCTTAGCCTTGGGCTTAGATTAATTATTATTATATAATCCTCTCCATATCGTAGGTGTATACTTATATATCATCCCCATGTAGGTCTATAACAGTACCGATCCTCCCAACTCCCTCGTACCTTGTATCAGACAACACGGTCCTGTCCATCTATTCAACATCCCCGCCCCCCAAGCTTGAAAGAAAAGATCAAAACCAAGAACACCAAGGCACAACGGCGCCTCTCCCCTGAACCCCCTCCTCCCCAAACCTCTCCACATACCACTTCCGTCCCCACCTCGCATGCGGCAACAAATTCGCCACCGTATTCACAGCAAACGCCAACCCCGCCAACGGCAACGGCACACCAAGCGCACTAGCCACCTTCGCAGCCGGCACAAACCACGGCGCCAGCCGCAGCGGCGACACAGCCGTCACAGCCGTCTTGGCCCCGACTCCCGCGAGCAAGGAGGGAACGAGGAGCGGCTGGATTGCTGTGCCTGCGAGGGCGAAACCGAACCACTCGGCCCATTCGAAGACGTAGTGCGGGTAGAGGATTGCAGTGAAGGGGCCTTTGGGCGGGGGGATGACGTAGACTTTGGAGTATTTGTTCTTCGACTCCTTTGTGTCTTTGGGTGTAGTGGGTTTCTCTTCGGGTGGAGAGGAGGAGGAGGAAGAGGAAGAGGCAGACGAGGAGCGTTTCGCAACCTCCTCCCTCCTCAGCCTGAAAAGCGTCCTCTCAGAGTAAATATTCCCCGCCATACCCAGCGCAAACACGGCTACCCCAAGAAGAGACGTAGCCCACACCGCCGTCGAATTCCCATTCCCAGTCGAAGCTGACGCAGAAGAAGAAGAAGAAGAAACACCCTCCCACAAAACCTCATACCCAAGCACCCACCCGGCCAAACAGGTCGAATTCAGCCAATTAAAGCAAGCGGCAGACGCCACGATGAACACATGCGTGGGCGACACGCTCGGCGCCATCAAGGGCGACACAATCGCGCGGTTGACGTAGTGGATGAGGTAGAGCGCGACGACGAGCTTGTTCGGCCATGGGAGGGAGTCGATTCCGAGGTTCGAGCATTGTGTGGAGAGAATGTAGAGGAGGTTGAAGGGGCCGACCAGCTCCATGAGCATCCAGCCGAGGCGGCCGGGGATGTTGAGGCTGTTTTTGGGGAGGGAGCTTTTGCCGGCGGGGTAGTAGGGGGTGAGCCATTCGAGGGTTGTGAACTGTTTTTTGTTTTTATTGGTTGTAAGTTGGATGGTTGGTTGGTTTTGTTTGGTATGGGCTGGCTGGGTTGGGTTGGGTTTGGGGTTGCATTGCATATGATGGATGCACTAGGCTGGGGTCTGTTCATTTTTGATATGGAGGGGAAGCTCACCAGTGGAAAGTATTGGAAGATGTTCAGAGCTACCCTGTAAGCGTCTGGCGTGAGCCGGATGAAGTCTCCCACTGGGGGGAGGGATTGAATGGTAGAGGAGATGGCGCCCATGTTGATTGATTGGTATGTAGACGTTGAAGCAATACTGCCCAAATCACAACGTGTAGAGTAGATCAAGGTAAAGATGGATTCAATAAAGCCGTGATGTCACCCCTTTTATATCAATATCACGTGATATACTTTAAATCATGACCCACTTCCCTCGTTGGTACGTACGTACATGTATATGGATTGAATGAATGCCATTGTTCTTTACCATATTTATCATGAACACCAGACCAATCATCTAAACAAGAAAGAAAGAATAAAACATTATCTATGTTAACCGGAAGTATCCATCTGTTCCAACCCCTCGCCCCCGGCTTGTGCCCGCGCGTTCCTCCGTTCGGTCAATTTCTCCATCTTGAATGCTTGGATTTTGGCTTTTAATTCGGTGTCTGCAAGTAACTTAGTTAGCATGGCATGGAGAGAGCTTTGTACAGGGTCAAGGTGGTAAAGAGGGCAAAGCAAGAAAGAGAAAAAAAAACTAACCAGGTGCAACATCCTCCATCGTCAACGGAGTCCTATTAAACGGATCATGCGGATCGCTCAGAAGATGCGACCGGAGCGTAGACCGGTCAATAGACATCTTCGACGCCGGCAATATAACCGGGTCCTCCATCAGCGTGTACATCAGCGGGTCGAGGAACTCATCCGGAACCTCGCCGAGGTCCTCCTCCGCCTGATCGTCAGCGGCCTTCGCGTCGCGGAATTTACCCTGCAGGATCTCCCACCGCTTGAGCTCCTCGGGCGATTTGAGCGACCACTTGCGGAGAATGTCTGCCGCTTTCTCAAAGTTCGCCGGCTTGTAGGACCGTCCGTCGCGGGCGACTGCCACCACGAAGGCCTCCTTCTTCCTTAGGTTGAGGTAGACGTCGACGATCTCGCTGAGGAGTGCGCGCGGGTTGAACCCGTACTGCTGGATGTTGTCGACGCGGAGGCTGGCGCTCTTGGGCCCGACCATCGCGTCGAGGTTGTAGTCGAGCATGTCTGCGAGACGCTGGACGATTTCAGGCATCGTGAAGGACTCGGCTAGTGCGTCTGTGAAGAGCTTGAGCATGGAGACTGTCTCGTTTGTGAGCTGCATGTAGGATTTGGCGTTGCGCTGCGCGGACGCTAGGTGTTCCTCTTTTTGCTGGCGCGTCTGCGCATCCATGCTTGCGCCGTCGCGGCTGAGCTCTGTCTGTGTCTTGTGGATGGTGATGAAGGCGCCGAAGGACTCGTCGAGCACGAAGGTCACGTCGTTGAGGAGCAGGTTGACGTATTTGACGAAGAAGTCGTGGTTCTTCTGCGACTGGTTGTAGAGCTTGTTGCGGTACAGCGTGTTCGGCCAGATGCACTTGATGATCTGGAAGATCTCGTAGCGGATGTTGAACTTGTCGAAGAACTGCGTGTGCGTGCCTGTGTGCTCCGCCTCGATGTAGAACTTCATCAGTGCGTGCAGGAGGTAGTCGTTGGCGAAGGGCATCGAGTTGAGCAGGTCCACTAGGACGCCGCGGGCACCGCCGGGGCGGGGCCACGTCCCCCGGAAGAGGATCGACACGAGGCCTGCCTTGAGGTACGGGTTCTTGATGTAGCTCGTGGTCTCTAGGAGGGTGATGCAGAGCATGACTAGCTCGTCGCCCTGCGTGGCGGTGATGATCTGCGGCATGCACCACATGATGAACTTGAAGTTGCTGACGATGTCTTCTAGGAAGTATTCCGGCAGGCATCGCGACACTTCGGGCTGCTCTTCCGCCAAGGGGAGCTTGATCTGCTCCCGCGGGAAGTCTTTCCCGGAGATCAGCCTCAGCAGCCACACGGTGACGTAGCGCATGAACAACATGGAGCGGGCCTGCCACTGCTCGTCGAACAGCACCCCCTGCAGGCTGTATTTCAACGCCATCCCGAGGTCCAGTTTGTCCTTGTACTTCTTCAACGCCTGCTCGAACACCCGCAGCTGCGTGGGATTGGACGCCCACCGGGGTCGCTCGGACTCGAACCGGTCAATGGTGGACTGCATATGTTTCAGGTCCTTCTCCAGCTGCTCGATCTTGGCCGTGAGGGACTCGCTGCCGTAGTGGTGTGCGGCGACCGTCAGGAAGAAGATCTCCGTGATGAAGTTGGAGACGCCGTCTTCCTTCTGCGAGTAATACGCGTCGGACGCATGCTGGTCGGCGTTCAGCTTAGTCTCGTCCCTTAGATCCACGCGGGGGTTCCGACGCAGGTACGCCACGTCAATCCTGTCAATCTACCGCAGGTCAGATACATGACAACATCACACGGAGTCGCACAAAGCGACATGAGACGCCTACCTTGGTGAAGCTTGCATCCATGAACGGCTCACAGAGATGGTCCAGGCACGTAGTAAGGTTGAACATGAACCCGTCCGACGAGACCGTGTTGGGGTCAACCTGCATGGCTCGTCGCTTGTGGTTGATGTTCAACGCCGTGGCGACCCAGTCAAGGATGCGTTCCCGGGCATCCTTCGACGACCGGATCATGTGGTTGACGATATCCAGCAGGTCCGAGCTGAGAATCTGTTGCATCATGCGGAGTGATTTTTGCGCATTCAGAATATACGACTGGTCTCGCGTCTTGGGACTGGAGAAGTATGACATGGTGACACTGCTCTGCAGCGGCGAAAGGGCAAACCAAGGCCCCAGGAGGGTGTTCTTCTCGAACGTCGCGGGATCGCGAGACGCGTTGAAGATCTCCGACTCGGTCAGTGCGGCGCCGATGACCGCATGGCGAACCAGGTTGCGCAGCGCCTGTCATTATCCTCGTAAGCAAATCGATCCAGACCATATCATAGGTTCGATCTCGCCTACCAGGACATAGGGTTTGTAGTCATCGTTGATGCTCATCTCGGCCAGCTCGCGACTCAATCCCTCCACGGCAGCAATGAAGGCCGGTTTAATGTTCTCATCCTCGTCGAACCGCTTCACAGCCTCGCTCATGAACTCAAAGTCCACGCCCTTGTCGTCTTCGGGTTCCAACAGCAGATAGGGCTGAAGAGGCGACTGGGCCGACGGTTCAAGCCTATGTCAACCCACTCGTCAGTCCCTCTCGTTCACTATAGCAGCCCAAATACCGGGGAGGGGGAAACATACCCAAACATCTCGGGCATCGTGATCGCAAACAGACAGTAGCTGATGCACAGGCGCCTAGCCTCGCAGATGGCGCCAAACTTAGGATCACCATCCCCAGCGCGACGGAAACCCTTATGCAGTTTCGCGATCCTCTTCCAGCACGGGAGCAGATAATCCAACGGCTGCTGCCGGGGCGCATTCGACGCGGCCTCCAGCAAAGCCTGGTCCAAGTTGGACGTATCCACACGCAACTCCTGACCCTGGCTCTCAAGTTCACTCCGCAGACCCGGTAAGAACGCCAGCTTCTGCCCATGGATGTCCTGCGCGCGCTCCTCGTTCAACGTCAGCTTGAACACGGCACACCAGGTGCGGTCCTCGAACGCGGCGAGGCTCTCCTCGGCCTTAGGCGGTGGCGGTGTGGAGGAGACGGGGGTGACATTGTGTGATCGGTCGGGGACCGTCGCCGGGCTGGCTCTTCCGCCGGAGGGAGTGATCTTGACGCGCTTTCCGTCGGACTGCGGCGGCGGCTGCTGCTGCTGCTGCTGCTGCGACGACGGGGTCTTGTCCTCTGATCGCGACGGCGCGGCGGCGGAAGTCGACTGTGGTGACGAAGGCGACGAGTTGGATGCGGACTCTGCTGCGCCTTGAGACTGGGACGGTGGCGGGTTGCCGAGTTTTGCCAACCGCTTGTTGCGGATCTATAGCACGGTTATATCAGCTGTGCGTTCAACGAAATTGTCACCGTCGATCCCACTGACCTTCTCCGCGTCAGACAAATTATCCGCCATTTTTATTCTGACGATAGACGACGCAAGAGAACTAGCTGGCTAGTCTCCTCACGTACTGGGTCGAATCGGCGGGGCAAACAGTGCGGAGAATGAGTTGTGACGGCCGGGGCACGGTGTGAGTGCAACGACCGGTCCACGGGGAGAGTCGACAACGAGAGGAATAGGTCAACCCCGACACAAGAATATTGATGCCACGAAGAAACCCACGACGAAATGAATCCCGGGGTATCAGAGACAGGGAAGAGGAAGGGTTGATGGAGGACGACAAATGATTCGGTGATGGTCTGTGAGATTCGCCAGGCACTGATTATGTGAGCGGGTCGGATTAACTAAGCAGCCAGCTCTCAGTTGACTATTAGAGATCACCATGAATATATCAATATATAGATACATCTATCCATCGCTATAGGTATTTTATGTACTACAAGAAGTCGGTAATGGTTCTCAATTGGTATTCCATGTACAAAAGGACTGGCCTGGGGCCAAGCCACCAGTTCACCCAAGACGCCGTCAAAAAAACACATATGGACATCATCTAAAACAAAACACATGAGGAGAGAAAGACATTAGGGGAGTTGGAAAGCCCAAAGGAGAACATTAATTATAACACCGAAACGGCGCGACGGTATCACAAGAGACTCGGCCCTTCATCAGAATTTCCCCTTGAGCGCATCTAACCGTCGGCAGCTCTTCAACTCCAACGACCGCGCCTCCTTCATCTTCTCGACATCCGGGAAGAACCAGCCTTGGGCGTCTTGGATCATCCGGTCCCGCGCTAGCACCTCGCTCTCGCATTCGTACCGTAGTTTGGAGACATAGTCCACCTCCACGCGTTGATCCAACTGGCGGAATTTGCGGTTGCTGTAGTCATCGACGTCGGTAGGGTTGACGTAGTAGTGGAGGTTGAGCCGGGGTGTGGTCCGATGCTGCGTGTGCGGCGGGACGGGGTCAAATCGGTAGGACGGACCGGCAGGGGTGGAGGAGCCGGTAAAGAGCGAGGAGAGGAGAGGGAGGACGAAGAGGAGGATCAGCGGCAGGAGTTGCTGGATAATGGCCCACGGGGAGGGGGCGGGTTCGGACTGGGCGTTGGCTTCGCGGGGCCTTCTGCGCGGACGGGGACCACCAAACTGATGCACTCGGAAACCGGGACCGCCTCCCATGTTGAAGACGAACTGGGGGCCACCTGCAGATTGAATGAGTCAATCGCGTTCCGTGTTTATAGATGGGAACGGGGCATACCAAATGGAGCGAAACCACCTCCCATACCACCGAAACCACCGTTGAAAAACCGGTTGAACAACTCTTCGGGCGAGATCTCGTCCTCGAACCCAGCACCACCAGCCGACGATCGCGGGAAACCACCACCGAAACCACCGAAAGGAGAGCCCCCGGACGGGCCCGCGCTGGGGGTAAACCTGCTGTCGGGATCGCCGCCAAACTTATCATACTTGGCTTTCTTGTCGGAGTCGGACAGAACCTGGAAAGCACGCGCCACCACTGGTGTTGTCAGCACAGCCCTCATACAGACACAACCATAATAACAAACAAAATCAGGGAAGAACACGCGAAACTCACACTTAAACGCCTCATCGGCCCCCTCATACCCATTCTTATCAGGGTGCGTCAAGAGACTCTGCTTGCGGTAGGCCTTCTTGATCTCGCCATCCGTCGCGGACTTCTCTATCGACAAGATCTCATAAAAGGCCGTGGTGTCGCATTTTCGGATCCTGAGCACGGCGGCCTTCTGATCGGGCGTGTATTTGCGATCCTGGTTCCCCTGGTTGTGCTCGCGGGATTTCGCCGAGCCTCCGTTGTCGACGCCGGACGCGCTGGCGGACGGCATGGCAGCGGTGAATCGATTGACCGGATTTGTATGCGACTGGACCTGGTCTGTCGAGGAGGGACCACCACTGCTTCCCTAACGAGTAGGGTGCGTGGGTAGTTGGTGGCGGGAGCCGTGCGGAGGGGATGTGTTTTTTTTTGCCCTTTCCCTTGAAGCTAGTCACGAATATTGGCCGGTGTTGATTGGCCGGAGGAGGAGAGAGGGTGAGGATAGTTTAAATCTGCACGAAAAAAATCCCCGATAGACTGGAAGAAGAAATGGCGAGGAGCGACAGTGTTGATAATGGATCAACGTGGTGTCTTTTTGCGGAGGTTTGGCCCGAGGGGAGAACCATTGATGGAGGAAGCGCTAAACCCGAAGGATGCGGTTAGTCAGAACTAGACTTCTCTTTCGTCATTTCTTTGCTCGGAATGCCTGGTGTACTCGTCCTTCAATTGTCTGAATACGAGACATCCTAATATCCTATATACTACATAGTTTCCTTCATTTGTCTATTAATTCATAACCGCAAACCATGGCCGGTTCCAACCCCGACACCGCGCAAGAAACCAAGCAGACGCTGGTGCGCCAGTTTCAAGCCTGGGGAGGTGAGTTTTCCTTACCATTGTCAATCAAATCATTCCAGACCAACCCTAACATGCGGTGTCTCGCAGAAAACCCATTCCCCCCGACACTGCTGGCAACCCTGATCACGGCGCAGTACATGCGACCCTTCCAGGCCCTGCCGATGCTCTTCCCGCCCGTCCTGCTCTTCACCAGCTATGCCAACCTGCAGGGTTTCAAGACCGACAGCGCCGGGATCCAGGCGGCCTGGTCTGGTTTGTACCTGCTGCTGGCGGGTCGACGGAAGCAGCAATTCATGAAGAAATGGGGCGCTCGGGGGATTGTGCGCGGGGCGACGATGGGTCTTTGTCTGGTAAATATGGTGGGTGGGGGATTGGCTTATACGTTGGGTAAGAGGGAGGAGGATGATGATGAGTAGGGGGTGGGATGGTAGGATGCTGGGGCGCGAGGACGGCAGGGGATGGGTAGAGGGTGAGTGTAAGAAGGAAAAAGAAGTGGCAGGTATCATGGATTGCGTGATCTTTGCGGTCCATCGATCCATCCATCGATCTATTATGTATGATATGTATGATACGACGATTACTGTACTACTACGGCGGCGCGACCGGTCGCCGGCTGAGATATATATGATGCGTTCCGAGTCCAATCACCCTCTTCATTAGAGAGGATTCAGTTACCGGAGTAAGGATGCTGGGTGAGGAGGAACTGCCGCACAGGGCCCGGGACCAACCTATCTAGGTCTTCGGGGTGGGAGAGACAGGCCTGGCGGGCGAGGGTCGAGCTGATGGGCGGATCACCGGGTTGTCGACCCTCCACCAGCTGGATACGTTGCGCCCATTCCCGACGACCACCCTCGGACTCCCGACCGCCCTGAGCCAGACGGCGCAGGAACTCCTCCTGGTCACGGCGCGAGCCCCACTCAGAGTCGGGACGCATGGTGACGCGCAGCCGATGGTGGGTGAGGAAGGGCACCAACGGCTGGAGGGTGTGGGTGGGTGGATAGTACTTGGGGTCCAAGATCCGGATCAGGGTGTCGTAGCCCGTGAGATGGACCTGCTCCAGGGCGGAGGGATAGACCCCGGCGGCGTCGATGGCCGCCGCCTTGTCGATGAAATACGGCAGCTTGGTGACGCCGATGTCGATGACCGGCAAGGCAGACTCCTCGTTGGCATCATGGTGGCCATCCTCGCGGAGGAGCGTCGCCAGGTGGGCGCGCAGGTCCCGGGCGAACAGATCCATCATGGCCAGACGGTCCTCGAAAGAGGCGGGTTTGGCGGGCTTATCGGCATTCTGGGTCGCTAAGAGGAGTAGTAACCGGACGGGTCTGGACGAGTCCTGGAATTCCCGCAAGGCAGAGCATGCGATTCTCCGATGGGCGAGAGTGGGCGGATTAAAGGAGGAGTCCAAGACGTACAGACGGGAGGGAGCGGGAGATGATGACGGGGTGGATGGCGGGATTGAGGCGCAGAGGTCAAAGGTCCTGGACGCGGTGATGAAATGATGGAGGGTGGAACCATACTGAGCTTTGAGAGACTGGAAAGCGGCCGGAGTGGACATGTCGAACGATCTTTTTTGGTTTTTTTTTCAGGGGGTCAAGGACAGACCTGGTTCATTGGTTTCTTCTTCCATACGAGTTGGAGAGAGTTGAGGTGGAGAGAGAGAGAGTGAAATGCGGCGAACCGGAATGGTCGGAGTGGAGGATCGAGTGTCGCAGGTTGATTGAACTTGGTAACCTGTAACTGGGAGATTAATATTAGATTATTATCATTGTGTGTTATTACTATCTCTCCCATCATTAGATTATCTCTCTCATCATTATCTCAATACTCATCTATATTGTAGATTGTGTTAGATTAATTCATCTCATCCACCAAATGTTCCTGATTATGTCAGCGATCTCGATCTATACCTTTTTTCCCTCTTTTTTTTTATACCTCATCGGTTCATCTGTCTCGCATCCCAGTTAATCTCCGCTCATTCCAAGATCCAATTCCCCTCAGTAAGGGCCAAATTACAACATGCAAGACCATGCAGGTGAAATGAAAACAAGGGGAATTCAAATGACCCCATTCCACCCCGTGCAGCCCGTGCAGCCCACCCGACAGATGAAGTGACACCAGCATCTGAAACCAACCCAACCGTGGATCCCCTCCAGCAGGAAATCAATTTCGGGATGACCGCCCCACCTGTCAGACTCTTTTGGGGGGTTCTGTTGATTGTGTTCCAACTGAGAGGAAATTGTCGAGGGGGATCTAGAATGGTCGACCAGCAGAGATCCTGCCCGTGCAGGAGAGCAATCTCCCTCCTCACAGCTCCAGTCCAGTCCGGCTTTTTAATCCCTTCTCTCCTCTCCTTCTTCTTCTCTTCTTCTTCCTCTCTTCCTTCTTAGTGTCAGAGACCTCGTTCATTCTTTCTCCCCCCCGCCCACGGTCATTCTTTTGTGGTTGGTTCTTGCCTGCGAATCGATTTCGCCCTTCCATTCCCTTTTCGGTCTCTCGTACTCCTAGAACAGACATTGATTGTCTTGTTGATCTAAAGTATAAAAAGAAAAAGAAAGAAAAAAACAAGAGAAACAACAAATCAGAAACCATGCAGCTCTCCAACAAGCTCTCCGTGGCCCTGATGGCCGCTCTGGCCGTGGGTTCCGACGCCAGCACTCACGCCCGTCATGCCCGTCACTTCCACCCTCGTGGTCTGAACGGCACTGAGCCCTCGTCCTCCTCGGCTGTCTCGTCTACTTCCAGCCTGCCGGTGTCTTCTCCCTCGTCGTCCGCTGTCTCTTCCACTGCGGTCTCGTCCACCCCCGCCTCTTCCTCGGGCGTGGCTTCCTCCACTCCCCTCTACCCCAGCTCGTCCGCCGTCGGTGCCGGTTCGTCCTCGGGCGCGGCCACCACGAGCGCCGTTCTCAGCACCGGTCTGCCCGGCTTCAGCACCGCCTCTGGCGATGTCTCCTCCAGTGCCGGTGCTAGCGACATCACCGTCACCTACACTCTGGGAACCGGTTCTTCTACCTCCGTGGTGACCACTACCATCCACCGCACCTCGACCGCTGTCCACACCGTCACGGCCGTATGTTTCTCCAACGCTTCCCTAGGCAATCCCTGGATGCTAACTATGCATCAATAGACCCCCACTCCCTCGGAGTCCGGCAACGGCGCGGAGTCCACCGAGTCGTCTGGCTCGACCAGCACCGCCACCCTCCTGCCCGTCACCTCCGGCAACGGCGAGGGTTGCAGCCCCACCGCTACCGTCACCGTCACTGTGGTATGTATGCCCTCCTTTCTCGATTAAAGCACAGTGCTAACGCAGATGGATAGACTGCCACCCCGACGGGTTCGTCTGGCGATCACCACGGCCACGGAGGTCACGGCCACGGAGATCACGGCTACGACCACGACGATGAGGATGATGAGGATGACGAGGGTGATGATGAGGATGACGAGGGTGATGATGAGGATGACGACGAGGACGATGATAAGGATGATGATGACCACCACCACCACGGTCCCCCCCGTCCCACCGGCCGGCCCCATCCTCCCTTCCCCGGCAATGGCACCGTCCCCGTCCCCAGCAGCAGCATCCCCGTCAGCAGCAGCATCCCCATCCCTAGCAGCAGCAGCATCCCCAGCAGCAGCGTCGCCAAGTCCAGCGGCTTCGCGACCAGCAGCAAGGCGGCTGCCCCCACCAACTTCCGCCGTAGCAACTAAGGCGGACCCTGGTGAAGGAAACCGTTGGTCGGTCCCTCGACGGGGCGATTCGCCCGGTCGTTCATATCTGAGCTTCTCTGGAGAAATTTGATGCGTCTAGACTTTTCGTTCTCATCTTATCCGATGGGGTGATCCTGTCGGTGGTTCTTCAATTCTTACCGGGGTTGACCACGCCCTGGGACAGTTTATCTTGTACCGCCTTTTTTTTATTCTTTCATTTCTCTTTGAGGTTCTTCTATTCTTTTTCCTGGTGAAATGCTGGGTGAATTGACGCTGTGGAAGGGACGGTCCAACGCATGACAAAAGACAAAAAGTAGCCGGGAGAATTTAGAGTTCTTGTACAAATGTAACGTGGTGTTTCTCTTGATCGGTCCGTTCACTCATTCATTCTTTGGACGTGTACGTCACAACATATTACATATTCGATTTTTTCTATATTCGTCTATATTCTCGGATATCCTACCGTATATTGTATCTTAGATGAAATCCCTTGTATCCGTTGTATTCAAGTCTATCATATCATGTCCTATATGATGTACGAAGTCTATTATACTGTACATAAAACTATAAAATATCACCTAAACTCCTCAGGAACCCCCTCCCTAACAACCCTCTCCCTCATCGCCCTCCACTCCAACCACGTAACCCCCTGCACCAAGCAATCCGCCAAATCATCCAACTTCCCAATTTCAATCCCACTCTCAATCTCCACATTTGGTTCTTCTTCCTTGTCGACATCCTTGTCTGTGTCACCCCGCTGTCCTCCCGCGGTGCCGTCGGCCATCTCCGAGCGGGTTGGGGTTTTCTTCCGTGTTCGGGGTGAGCCGTGCCATTTGGCTAGGTAGGCGGTTATTGTTTTTTGGAGGGCGGGGGAGGGGGTGGAGGGTATTTGGAGGGACAGTCGTGTATCGTCTGTTGTTGTTGTTGTAGGAGTATCTGTGGGTGTATTTGTAGTGGTTTCGGCAGGTGTAGGTGTAGATGCAGATGCAGATGTAGATGCACCCCATCCAGGCTCTGAACAAGACGCAACACCTGTATGACCCGCCGAGGTAACAGATGACGACGCTGCTATCGAGGAAATATCCCCCAAAGAAGCAGAAGAAGCGGAAGCAGAAGAACAAGCAGCCTCAAGCCACCCCCCAACAAGCGCAATCTTAACCTTCTTCCCCTCCTTAGCCGACTTCTTCTTCTTCTTCTTTTCTCCTTCCTCGCCCTTCACCTTCTCCACCCCCTTCCCATGCTCAAGAGAAGACACCCCCCTCACCAACTCCCAATACCTCCCCACCCGCCTCGGCTCAACCCCAACCACAACGGGCGGTGTCTTCAGCTGCCTCCCCAGGGTAAACAGCACAGCATGCAACATGCCCTCGAAAACACCCACCCGCAGCGACCACTCCTGCACAGCGCTGGCGCCGCCCGAGCGGAACCGCTGCCGCTCGATGAGGAGGTGCGTGGGGCGGTAGCGGGCTAGAAGGGTAGTTAGGAGGGTGTATGCGCGGGGAGCGTATGTTTCTGGGGTGAATGTTTCTTTGTCTTCTTTTTCTTTTTCTTTTTCTTTTTCTTTTTCTTTTTCTTCTTGGTCTTTTTCTGTTTGGGTGGGTTGGGGTGTTGATGAGGGGGGTGGTGATGATTGGCTGGTAGCGAATTCTTGTAGAGATGCGTCTGTTATGGGAAGACGGTGCCACGCGTTGAGGTATACTACTCCTCCTCCTCCTTTGTTGTTAGACGTGTCTGTACATCCCGTATTGTTTTTCTCTGACCAATCCAGAGTGGAAGAAATCGAAGACGAAGAAGAAGAAGAATGAGGAGGAGGAACAACCAAATGCGCAAACGCCAAATTCCTTATCCCCATGTCAATACTCAACACACTGAGTCCCTGGCTCTCATCGCGACTGCAACTGCGAACCCGTCCCAACTCCGCCGCCAGACGCGCGGCGAGAACGGGCTTTGGCCCGGATGATTTGATGCCTGTTGCTTGGGCGAGGCGTTGGAGTTGGGTTACTTTGAGGGTGTTCATTTTGCCTCTCTCTCTTTGGTATTTATTTAGAGGGTATTGTGTGGTACATTGTCTGTGGATGTTGTTGTTGTTGTTGAGATTGTGTGTTGGTTCAAGGTTGTCTAGGTAGAATTAGATTGGTGGTCGTTACTGTAGTATGGATGGATCAAGTTGGAGATTGTTTTGGTGTTATCTGTTATCACTCGCCGCTTTTACGGTGGATCGTGGATCCGTGGAGCGAATGGTTGAGCTGATATATACTTTGACCCTAATCCTACCTACATATATATACTAGATCTTCCCGTAGGCACCAAGTAAATAATAAATATAAAGAATAAATTAATGTATTAATTTAGATGAACACCCTCCCTCATATTCATACACACGGTATGCCTTTATTCTCTATCCAATCCAACATTACCCTAGGCCCAGGAGACCCGGAACCTTCTTAACACCGCGTAATAATAAAGTAAAAGAGTAGATAAAACAGAAAATCCCCCAACGCCGGTCCCAGAATCACCGATGCAAGGCGCTGAACTGCAATTACAAGTCTAAAGAGGAAAATAAAACAAAAATCACGACAGTGGCGACGCTGTCGAAAGCAGAAAGTGAAGCTAAGACATGGTCACATCTTCAACGACGCTCTCACGCACGTAAAGAATAGGCGCCCACACGCGCCAGTGCAGCACGCCCAGATGCGCCAGCCGCATGGAGATGCGATCGATATCATAGTGCTGGTGCGGCATGGGCGTGGACGGGTAATTCCGCTGCGACTCGCAGATAGCCAGCGGCGACATGTTCAGGTACTTGCGCGCCGAGGCGAACGTCGATCCCAGCAGCTTGTCGCGTAGCGTTCGCTGGAAGTACTGGAATAGCTCTGTCTCGTTGGAGAGGTGCCACTCCAGGGCTCGCTCGATCAGCCCGATCATGCCGTCGGATGCCATGCCGCCGCCGCTGCTGCTGCCGCCGCGGGCGGCGTGGACGAAGCGCGCGATCTCCAGCGCGATGCTGTGCACGTTCTTCACCCACGGCACGGAGCCGCGCGGGCTGTCGTCGCTTTCTTCCATCAGCGTGCCGATGCGCGATCGGAACGAGGCGTACGTGGCGGCCGCCGCTGGGAGGTAGCGTTTCTGCGGGTTTTGCTGGGTAAAGAACTCGAAGATGAGCCAGCAGATGTCCAGGCTGATGAGGTTCTGCATGCAGGCGCGCAGTTGCCACAGGCGGTCGGAGTCGAAGACGAACGTCTCGGGGAATCCCTCGGGGCTGTGGAACTGCAGCAGGAGGTCTGACAGGCCGTGGAAGAGGAGCGAGATAGGCCGGAAGCCGTCTGCCGGTGCGGGGTGGTGTCGGCGCTGGAGATCCCGGTCTTGCAGATCCTCATACCACAGGCGTGAGGCCTCCACGCGGAAGTTGTCTCGCTCGATCTTCCCGCGGAAGTACTCCTGCAGAAAGAGGATGGTGTCTTCGATGAGGAGTACGCGGAATGCGCGGATTTGGTGGTTGGCGACGTCCTGGAAAGCATATTAGCCCTTGTTCGATCCGGGGGTGGGGCTTGCCATCCTCCCGGCGTACCAGTTTCATGGCCTCCAGAATCGCAAACAGTGTCTGGAGGCCCCGGACAATCTCCATCGAGTCTTGGGACTGCGACCCCACACTGATGTGTTCCACCATCCGATCGGCCCACTCGTCGCGCATCGGCGCGCAATGGGTCTTGAGCAACGCCGCCAGCCACTGGGCCACGCCTACCATGTCAAGGACGCCCTTCTGAATCTGCTGCATCAGCAGGGCCACGTCCAGGTTCTGCATCACGCTGGGGTGGTCCCGTTCGGGCACCAGCGTTTTCAACACGTCCTGCAGGGTCTCGAACATGGCGGGGAGTCGCGGCTCAAAGGCTGATTGGAGATCTTCCTGCGAGGCAGCATCGCCGACCACCGCCTGGGACGCGTGGCAGGCGTAGATGGTGATCTCCGTGGCCATGGCTTCCCAATATTCGGCAGCCTCCCTCCGCTTCCGGCGACCCTTTTCGCCGTCGAGGTCCGGTTTGAAATGGAGGTCGCGATCGAAGTTGGCGTCCATGCGGAGGTTGATATTACTCATGATGCAGGGCAGGTCGAGTTCGCTCAGGGTGCCCTTGGTGACGGGAGGCAATCGCTTGGCGGTAAGAAGCAGCTTGTGCTCCTTGTGCGTGAGGTTGAGCGCCGCGGGGATGTCGATGGCTTGGGACGAGGCGGCTGGGGATCGGGACGGTGCGGCATCGTTACCCAGGGCGAACCGACTCGGTCGGCGCTGTGGAGCCGGGGCATGGTTGGGGTCGCGGTGGTCCAACGAGTCGTTCTTGGGCGAATCCTTCGAGTGACCTGAGCCTCCGTACGTTTCCAACGGACATTCGCTGCTTCGTTCCTCCTGTTGCTTCCGCGGCGTGTCCCGCTGGGCCTCCTTTGTCTTTTGGAGGTCCATCTCCATCAATCCACGTACCCCACTGACTGACAAGTAGCTCAATGATAGAGAGAGATAGCGAGAGATAGAGAGAGAGGAAAGGAAGGACGGAGAAGGGAGGTGAAAGCAAGATCGGACGAATTGAGATCGTGAAAGTTCACTCGGGCATTCCCTTTCGACAGCTGAAGCAAGGCACTGCAACCCTCCACCAGTTGGCGGGACGATCTGGGGGAGGAGAAGGAGGGGAGAATGGGATGGAGAACAACCCCCTTGGTGGAGCTACTCCTTGAGTCAGTCCTTACCTCCGACCTGTCGACGGCGAGGGGGAAAGGAAATAGTTTACTCACCTTGCTATCTATCTATTACTGACGCCTGTCGATCGCGATGTCGATCACGGACTAAAATATTCTCCTTTTCCCCTTCTTTTGGTGTCTGGCCTAATTTCTTTCTTTGTCTTTGTCTTTTGTCTTTTGTCTTCCTTGTCTTTCTTTTTGTATTTCTTGTCTCTCTTCTTGTCTCTTTTTGTTGGTGTTGACCCACAGTGTCACCTCTGGGAATAAATCCGTTGAATCAACGCGGGGACCAAGGGACGGATCCACTCGGCTGTCACGATATAAGAAGAAGCGAATAAAAGAGGAGAGTAGATATAGGAAGGAAAGAGAAGAGAGAGAGACAGAGAGAGAGAGAGGGATGGAGAGAGAGGATGGAGAGGGAAAGCAAACAAGTACAGAAGCACTGGCAAATCGGCGACAGAATTAACCCCAATAATAAAAATAAAATAGAGGAAAAAAAATCAAACCCAGATTGGCAAAGAGACCGGGATGATCGTGGTCTGATATAAACCAGTGATGAAAGGCCAGTCAGTCAGTGCACGAGCAGGGCGCGTGGGGTTGATCTCCCTTCTTGTCACATTACTGGAGTTCAAGGATGAAGAGAGGGAGAAGTCAAGGAAGTCAAGAGAGGGATTGCCCCATGCGTGTACAGTAGTAATCCACCGACTTAATAATAGCAGAGAAGGATCGATTATGGAAAGAAAAGAATTGACGAAGAGAACAAAAAGAACGATTGAAATCGAATGCAGTTGCGGGTCACGAGGGGCGCAAAGCATCACCGTCTTCAGCAATCAAATCAATCATCCCCACTTCGGCTTCTGCGTCTGCTTCTACCTCAACCTCACTTTTGACCCTTCGAGCTGGTTCGGTAAAAGTGAGGCTGAAGTTGGGGTCCGCCGGGATTTCTTTTCCCTTTCTTTCCTAGGTCTCTTGTTGTTTCTTTCGCGTTACTACTCTGGATCTTGATCTGATTCCTTCTTTCTTTCTTTTTTTCACCCTCTATTCATCCCCTCTGGTCTACATGCACGGAGAAGTTCGTTTCCGGAAGATGGACCCGAAGATACCAGTTCAAAAACGTTGAAATACTCTAGTCCCCTCTTGAATCTCCGAAACCAGAGGTGGATCAGTGAAGCATCTAGGGCTGATCGGATGCTGGGGAAGTCTCCCAAGTGGAGACATCGACAACAATCCCATCTCCCAAGTCGGTTTCATGGGGACTGAACCCCCTTGGGAGATCGCCTGTCCACCACATTCCATTGTACGATCCTGTGTACCGTCTGATCCCGACTGGGTGCTGAATGCCCTGCTCCCTGCTGCTGTTACCCGGGAGGTCAGGTACTTGCCCTGTCCTGAGTCCGGGGTTTAAGAGGGATTGTTGAGAAGAGGAACAAAGCAAAGCGTGGGAAACAGGGAGGCAAAATAATATTAATCATCAAGAAAAAAAAAAAAAAAAAAAAAAAAGGACCACAAAGAAGAGGAAGAGGAAGAAGATGAAAGGAA